ACAATACCGTACGCTCTCGTTTACCGGCTCTTATTCAGATACATTTTTTGTTCAGGCCCGAGAACAGTGCAACGTGACACTCATTCAATTCTTGGACCGAATACGAAAACCCGAGATATACGAACTTTGTGCGCTAATAAATAAAAATACGTCCCTCGGGAACGGTACTCGACTACCAACGTGACTACATCCCGGTAGACATTTTAATATAATGTACGCGTATAATAATATAATTCGTATCGAACGTCTTACTTCCGACCGAGTTTGTCGCTTACGGTAATTGCACAGGACACCACTGCCGTAATGGCAAAAGGAAGTCAGCGACTCGGAAAAAAATGAGTACATAGTAGCTGGTAGTACTGTGATGATAATAACTAAAGTTTGCAAAAACAAATAAAAAGACAACAAAAAAATGGAGCTGATACTACTGACGGGTGTGTCAATGTTTTAGGTGGAAAATTGAAAAGGTATGCTTCATAGAGATATTTAATTTAAATCTACACTCAAAAATAAATTATTGTTAAAGGAACCTAATGTGGAGCGGAATTCAACTAAACCCATTTTAAAATGCTTTAACTTTAAAACTTTTAACTCATAAAAATCTTGTCAACAATTACTACATTAAACTCGTATATTTATTTTATACCCCTAAGTATAATTTATAACGAACCTCTGGTTAATTTTAAGCGTTTTAGCTAGACTAAACAACTTTATCTAAATAAAAACTAACAATCTCGAAAATGTCAAATGGCTTATATAAAACAAAAGTCGTTAGAATGTATTGAATATTTTACCAGGTATTCCTGAAAAGGCTAATATTTTGTTAAAATTTCAGGTATCTACAATTATTTTTAACTGAATTACAATTAAAAAAAAAAAAAAAGAATCGAAAATAATAAATTGTTACTATCGTAAACTTTTCCTTTTTTCTACATTTGTTTACTAAAAAAAACTACAAATAAAATGAATACAGGTAATTCAGTTAGTATGCTAAAAACAATGTTTTAACCAGTGCCCGAAAAACATCCGATTTCAGGGCACACATTTTTAATTAAATTAATAGAATTGATAGATTTCCATTGTAAAAAAAAACCTGTGGAGGGAAGCCCTTTATACACCACTTACCTTACACATTTATATTGTTTATAAAAAATGTCAACTAAAAATGATCAACACAAAATAAACGCAAGTACAAGTTTTCAAATAATTTTACTAAGTAATATGAAATAACTTTAAATGAATAACATGTATTAGTTAAAGACTTGAGTGAAATAATTATTTGCTTGCATGTTATCAGATTTTGCTTTTGAAAATACACCTGGATACCACTCTAAGGTGGTGACTTTCCAGTGTACCTTACTATGGGTTTTCATTCTATCATGACAATACGGTTATACGTAGACTATATTTTGATACTGATGACACATTTTTTTTAGACATAAATAATCTTTAATTGTGCAAGGGTTTTGAATATATTATAATATGAAATTAACCGGACCGAGATGATGTAATGGTTTATGATATTTTTATACAATTTATTTAATACGAACAAGTTTTTAATTAAGATAAAAAAATAAAATAAATTTTTGTTGTAATTCCAAATTAATGTTATTTCTACAATAAAATCACTTTAAATTAGAAATCTTAATGTACATATTTGTAGTTCAGGATATACATTTTGTATCAGGGGACACACTAATATTTAGGTCCTGGTTTTGACTATGTAGCACAAACATATAAGCGTAAATATCAAATACATATTAATATGTTAAATTTATGTTGAATAACACAATAATTATATTCATCACAAATCAGTTACAAATTATTGCCTGTTGTTTTTTTTCTTTTAAGTTTACATGAAAAAAAAATCACAAAATAATTAATAATTACATTGTACGAAACATTTTTTTTTCTCTTTGACGTCTTAATAATAAAGCTAAAACAATACTTTTTTTTTGAATTGGTAATTTCGATAGAATTTCATTGTATAATTTTCGTTTGATGTACTCGTTAGACTGCTACCGCCGCAGACTGAGTGATGGGGGCGAGCTTTTAGTAAATTTGATCTGAAAAAAAACATACACGCACACTATATTGTAAATCAATTTCTAAAACTAATCCACAGCTACCAAAAGGAAATGATAAATATAATAATAAAACCGTTGACTTATTATTATTAATAATAATATACTAGAGAAGAAAATATATTACAATACAGCCAATGAGCGGCGAAGTTCATCGTCCGCAGTCACCGACACTTACGCGATGACCGAAATAATTTTCGGTCGATTTTTAGTGAATTCGATTCGCATCAATTTTCAAAAAAATGAATGCACTAGACATTTCAAAAAGTGATTTTTATTATATATTATCGACGGAGTAGAATAGAATTGGCTATCCGTGAATCAGTAAAGTAATTTTTTTTTTTTTTTTTATGAGGGTGGGTTCTAGTAAATTTAATTTGGCACCGACGCCACTGGGTATTACCCGGGGAAATGCAGCGTGTCTAATGATTAAAAAGTAAAAATTATATAAATTTATTATACAAATACGTGTGGTAAGCTATAATATATTTTTATATAATATTATAATTAACTTTTTCTACGGATCAATAATAATGATTTGAAAACAAACGTTCAACAAACTTTTCTTTTTTTTTTTTAACTCGTTAAAAGGTGCGCATATAGTATTTTCTAAAGTCGATGTATGTAAGTCATATGTACAGGTGTTGACATGCCATTAAATATTTATATTTGTTCATTAGAATAAAATACGGGTCGCAGTTATTATACTTATAATCAAAACTTAAAATGACAGTTTCGGCGGCGATATTTTCACAAAATACGCCAATATGTGGAAACGCGCGTATACTTACTTCGGTATCCAAATATCTAATCTAACTAATGTTTACGTTCGTTAGAATTCCATAATTTTTTCGAACCAGTAAATAATTATTCAGGTAAGTTATATGTTATCAATTTTTAGAGTCCGTGTTGTTCATACGGTGGTACTGAACGGTGTGTGCTCTTCTGCTCTGTCAGTAAACAAAAGTTCGTCAAAAGACTCGCTCCGATTGAACATTTCTTACGGGCTTTCTTGTAGAATTTTATTTTCGTTCTGTTTGATGCAGGGCCTAAAATAATGTGTCTCCCTGAATTACAAATGTGTGTGCCAAGTTTCATAATGCATGTATTGGTTTTAATTATAGAAATAACAGTAATTTGGAATTTTAACATAATTGGATTTAAATTTGTTTCGAAGACTTCCATTAGAAAATCACTACTCAAGTGTAATAAGTATCAAGGTATTTTTACTCAAGCAAAAACTAATAACAAACATAATCAACTAATTATCTCACTCTAAGTTTTTAACCAATAATTGTTATTCATTATAAATTGTTTCATATTAGTAAAATTATTTTAAAACTTCTACTTATATTAGTTTGTGTTGATCATTTTTAGTTCACATTTTCTATAAATAATATAAATGTATAAGGTAAGCATCATTTGTGTGGCGCCACGGCGCGCGGCGTTTTTATAGTACACCGCTGTTCTCTCCCGAACGTAACATAAAAGTGAAATATTTTGTCAACGGGTTGACCGAAATCAGAAATTTCAACACCAAAATTAATTTTAAGTAATATTCCATCTATTTATAAAATTTTTAATGTATAGGTTGCCAATTGTAAATCAAAAGTAGATAGTGTTTTTGTTTTTAAATGTTTTATAAAACAAATTCCGAAAAAGTTAATACTTTTCGAAATGATGATTGGCCTTCAATACATTGATCACTCTGTATAGTGTGCCACATATTTAGAAAATAATTCTCGTTTTTAAATATTGAGCAGCAAACACGAGGAGTTCTCGGCAGCTTTTTTAAAAAGACGGTTTAATGTTAGTAAATTTACTCTACATATAGAAATGACAATTGAAAAATGCTGTCTCTCTATTATACTTAATCTGTGTTAATTTTAAAAACTTTGTTTTAATCGAAATTTCCGGCTGACTTAAATATCAGTATAAATTAATAGTATTAACTATTAACACACGTAAAATGATTAACAAGCGACTTTCTTTCCTAACCACCTAAACAAATGTTTATAATAAGAATGTTTCAGAACATCTATACTTAATCGGATGATTTTTACAGATTAAAAAATTAGCTGACTATAATCGCGGAGGTTTTTATTTGTTGGATTTGGCGCTACGGTTCTATAAATACCGTCGATGTTACCAAAATCCCAAAGGTTAACTTTTCAGAAAATGTATAACCTGCAGACGAATTTTCTGTTTTACTCGTTATTAAGATATTTATCTTAACAACCATGCGCTCTCTGCCAAAATTTGCTTCCACACAAATATAAATTTAAGCCACGTGTAGAGGAAAAATCAAACAATACATATAGTTATATACGTATATAATTTATAAAATTCTGGTTTTAAGAAGTTTCATTTCAATAGGATTTTAGATTCTGAGTACTGCGAAAAATGTATTGGTTTTTTTTTATACTGTGTACAAAAATTCTACCAGACATTTTGCTCTGAAAAATTAAATACAGTACTTTTTCTGGAATGAAATCTAATTGAGATACTTTAGGGAGGTAAGTTTTTGATTTTCCCATTAAATGGGAAAAAAATGGTAAAAACCGGGAAAACGGGAAAATAGATACAATATTAAACAAATAGTATTAAAGAAAATAAATAATTCAAATGTAAGTATTTTAATTTTTAATTTACAAATAATGCATATTATGTTATTATTTTAACACAATGCGACATATACGAGTATATTCTTGTCAAAGCAATATTTTTAACCGAACTTTGTACAAAATCGTCTTTCTTTCGTGGTACTCATTAGTAAATCATTGCGTACAAATATACATTAAATGTCTACTCTATCTTCCAAACTTCTCCCCTACAATTAAGCCCACCCATGAGCGAAGTATGTCCGTCTTTTTACTCATAGAGCTGTCTTTATTTGAAATTTACTTTTTTTCTACCGTAGAAATTCCTTTATTTATTCTTCTTCTCGGATTTCATCTTTATTATTTTATTCCTAATCTGGAGACCTCAGCTTTATGCACTTAGCTCGCTATCTATGTTTCCCTTATTTATCGCCATTTTTCTCATCTACTTCACATGCCCTCTGAATTTCTCTCAAATAATCAGCTATATTATACTTTTTCTATGGTTCTCCTTTGGCTTCACTTCAATCGCCCATATTCTTACCCGTCGTATCTTGTCGTTTCGTTACCTTGTGGTCGTACTATAGTTATGTGGGCACGCTGTGCCTACATCACAGATGATGAGTCGCTCTGAAATTGCTTTTTTCTTTTTAGTTTTAGGAGTGGTGGTGGTGGTGGTGGCGGCGGTGCCGACCCTGAACCGCAGTCAAGATAAATACCGATTGTGACGATGATGAACGTATCTAGTTCAGACGAAAATATCTATGTACCGTACTCGAGCAGACCCGAGACTTACATCGTGCCCGTGGTGTTTGCCATGATATTCATAGTCGGAGTGCTGGGCAACGGTACGCTGGTGCTGGTGTTCATCCGGCATCGGAGCATGCGAAACGTACCAAATACGTACATACTGAGTCTGGCCCTCGGTGACCTGCTCGTGATCATCACGTGTGTGCCATTCACATCCACCATGTACACTGTTGAGTCGTGGCCCTACGGTGAACTCATATGCAAACTCAGCGAAGCCACCAAGGACATATCCATTGGCGTGTCCGTGTTCACGCTCACCGCCCTGAGTGCCGAAAGGTAAATACTCCTAGATAACTAAATGAAATACATATTTAAACTTTAAAATGAAAAACGTTGTGAAAATTATTAGTAAAAAACATTAAAATTTAAGCATTTTGGAGACATCGTCAAGGTTTATTTTTGATACACCAATTGAGATAAACAAACTATCTATTGAAAACTAAGAATTATTTCCTGATGAAACGTTATCAATGTTCTATTTGTGTTACACAAGTCTGTTTTTTTCAGAATTATTCAAGAAGTAGAGTTAATTGCACTGTATTGTATTATTGTATCTGATAAGTTTCCCGCTATTTGTAGACACTTTTAGAAGCTTCCTATGAACTAAATGAGCTTAAACTCAGAAATTATGGATGTTTTGTGCATAGATTGAAGTGATAAAATTTAAGTTGAATTTCAATATAAATTTCAACATGTTTTAATGGAGAAGGGTGTTTTTTAGATTTGAACTCCACTAAAGACACCCAAATAAAGTCAAGACCATGGTGGAACGCTAACTAACTTGGCAGGGGAGTAAAATTTGTATACCTGTGCATGGCGTTAATGATGTGCTTCTGGGGGTTTCAACTTTAAAATTTTTTTGGAAGTAGTATTATATTATTATAACAGTTATGCATAATTAAGTTATATATTGTTTTGCAAAGAATATTTAACAATACAAAATAGGTGAGGAATAATTTAAACGGATAATATTAAAACAGCTTAATTTGATGTAGTAATATATGTAAATTCATCATAACTTTAAATTTAAATTTAACTTTTAATTTTTAATTTTCTTCACGAATCGATATGTCAAGAAAAATTCGCATTGATATTTACAAAAAAATTCAAACCGTTTACAACACGTATTTTTTCGGTGTGAATTTACTTTTCTGACAGGATTTCAAACTCCTTATAATGTTTTCAAAATATAATAAACTTTAAAATTGCAAGTGGCAGATTGGGATTTGATTTTTTTTATGTTTGTAATTTCCTATTATAATAGGTAGTATTAAAGTGACGGGATACCGATAGTTCCTTTTTTTGTCCAACACATACGTAGAATAGCAAGTTAAACTAATTTTCTTTCAATAAGTCCTAACCAGATCGAAGTAGTGAAGCGATAATAATTCTGTAAATATTCTAATTCATGGGAATTGTAGATGGATCGGACATGGCACATAATAAAAATATTTCTATGATACAACGTAAGATATTAATGTTTCGGCAGCTCTGAATTCTGTGTTATCTGTGACTTAAACTTTCAAGTTTTAACGTTTCAATCATGGTTTTAACCTCTTCAGGTTTCCAAGATTTTTGATGATCCATCAATTGTGTAACTTTATTTTTTTTAGTATTGCCGTACCGGTAAAAAAAAATCCTACTGTTTAAGCTCTATAAGCGAAAAAAATACAAGTATTGTTTTCCCACCAATGGTGAGATTTAAACGTCGATTAAACCGGGAATGAAACAAATGTCAATTTTTGTACACGAATTTGAAATTATTTAAATATTTAAAAGTGTTATAAGATGTACTTATTTTTCACTATTATAATATCGTAATAATCGATTAAAAAAAACTATCAAATATATTTTGCTCGATCAATGTTTACTGTAAAAGAGAATCACTCTCGCTTTATGAAGACGTTTTAATCAATTGATATTCTACGGTCAGTCCTTATATTCTAAAACGGTGATACAAATCGTAGAGCAACCTAACCTAACCAGCACAGTGACAATCACACAGATGTATAACCATACTAGATAGCGGACGGCAATGATTTACATTATGTGAAATTGATAACGAATGAGTAATAATAAATCGTAATTGGCACTGATAAATTTAAAATGTTGCTTTTAATAAAAATAATAAATATCGATTATTTAAACAATAGGTGAACACTTAACACCTTACACTATTAATATTATGAACGATAGTTATTATTTTGATATTACTGATCAATAAACATTATTGATAAAAAATTTATCAAAATTATCATTTATCATTACCCGTTATCTGTTAATATTTATAAACATTGCCGTGTTATCATAAAGCAGAACAAGACATACTTTTCGGATCCGCCATCTAATATTTTTCTAAATCTGTGGACAAGCGTAAGTCAATACATTTTTTCGAAGATAAAAAAGATAATATACGATAATATCGTATTACGTTTACTTTTATTATTATTATTATTACTATTATTACTATTATTAAAAACAAATAAATACGAGTAAATTCAGTTGAAAACCAACGGAGAATAACAATTAATTAATTTAAATTAAAATATGCTTCGTTGCATTTTGCCAGCGGAATTAATTAAAAACGACTTTTTCTTTACATATATTATTCCACACAACCGACTCTTTTAATATGATTATTATTTTCGTAATTACGAAAAAACGTAATATACAGCTTTGCCGAAAATCGAACAATGTATTTAGTATAAATATATGGTGTTTTCAAAATTTACTTTTTTTTATCTAATAATAAAAAAATATATATATGGTGAACGAATAATGTAAATTTTTTCTCATAAAACTTACAATAATATTTTAACCGAAAAAAATAATAGTAAAATATCTTTTGCAACAGTTTATTTGCAGACAATTTACGATTTCCAAAAGTACGATAACATTTTTCGAAATTATATGCCTATAAATAATTATTTTTAGTAATGAAATAAATGATCGTGCGAACTTTTTAGTAACTACATAATAAGCATGTATTTTATTTTCAACAAATTTGCCAATCCATCAAATAGTAATTTAGGTTACAACGAGTGAATTATAATGTATCTATAATTATAATGTCTACAAACATATATTTAAAAATTTTGATTTCGGGCAAAATGAGAAATATATTAATATAATATAATATGTCCTGTTTTTTTCTCTCTATAAACAGCCGCATTTGATAGCACTGTAGTGTCTCGACCTTATATGCCAAGACAATGTTGGGGAACATTATAAATATTATTTTTGCTCGTTGAAAATAAAAATGATTTATTTACAGGTACTGTGCCATCGTTAACCCGATCCGGCGTCACGTGTCGTCAAAGCCATTCACGCTAATGACGGCCGTGGCCATATGGATTTTGGCCGTGATTTTGGCCACGCCGTCAGCCACGTTTCCCTACTTGGCATCTGAGCCGATACCCAACAACAACCAAACCATCGAGTACTGTTACCCGTTCCCCAGATCATTTGGCGAAGGTTACGCCAAGGGCATGGTCCTGTTCAAGTTGCTCGTGTACTACGTGGTGCCACTGTGCATCATTGGGTGCTTCTACTTTCTGATGGCCCACCACCTTATGGTATCCACTCGGAATATGCCGGGTGAGCTGCAGCACGCCGGCCAGTCTGGCCAGATCCGAGCCCGAAAGAAGGTGGCCAAGATGGTGTTGTCGTTCGTCATCATATTCATGGTGAGCTTCCTGCCCTACCACGTATTCATGGTATGGTTCCACTTTTACCCCTACTCCCGGGAAGTGTACGACGACTACTGGCACGCGTTCCGCATCGTCGGTTTCTGCCTGAGTTTCATCAACTCATGTGTGAACCCGGTGGCCCTGTACTTCATCAGCGGCGTTTTCCGCAAACATTTTAACCGGTACCTGTTCTGCTGTTGTCCATTTGCACGGGCTGGTCAAGCGGCCGTTGAATCCACTGTTCTGCAGGACATGAATCTGACGCACGTCAACAGTGCGTCATACCGACGTCACAACTCAGTGGTCACAAGTCACGTTACCTTAAGCCAGACCTGACGTCATGCGACCGCCAGGGCCAACAACAACGAGGTAGCCGGCTGCAAACGTGGCAAAGACTGCATCGTCCTCTGAGCGGACTCCCATATATTATAATATCCATTACCTGCAGACGAAAATTATTGTGTTTTTGCGATGAAGACATATTTTTTTTCTGTTTTTGTACATACCATCCCCCAAAGAGATCGCAACTATTTCGTTGTACTCGATTTTCGTTCCAACCGATGAAAACTTTCATAACGCTCCCCAAGTCGGTTTGAACCGAATCAGTGTAATATACATCTATCGTTAAAATCAAACCGAAAATTCTTTAAACTCACGATAAATTGCTTTTTTTATGTCGGCTTAAATCTCAAGATTATTGTCATTATAACTATGTATGTTCTTGTTCGCACACGTTTCTATTAATTTTATTACACCATAAGTGTATACGTATACTTCAAAAACACTTGTTCCAATCGTTTCCCTTGACCGAAATATAAACAATTTTTTGTACTCAACTAATTGTGCGTTCCAAAACAAAATTCATACAAAATTATTGTTACCTACATATATTATGTCTATAATAAACGTAATTAACGCTTTTTAGAAAATTATGTATTTCAGTTTCAAATACATGAAAGAGATTTACTGTCGAGTAAACTTTGCCCTTAGTCCTCACAAACTAGCTCAATACCACACTTGTATTATTTACTTATCGTGTTAACCTAACCAATCAAGATAATCAGTTTATATTAAAAACTTGTCTGAAAATTGTAGACTGTAATGTCTCAATGCACCAATGTCCACTAAGTCTTTAGTATCTCAGAAAAACAATTTTGATATGGAACACTGACGGTGTAGCGCCACTCTATTTAATTTGAGTCCCTGTTGGCTATTACCAGTTGCCATTACCCGAACACGTGTAGAAAATTGATAATACATTAGAGAATTGTTCTCAACGAGTGATTAAAATCACCCTGTATTTTTACGGAGCATGAGAAAATATTTCAATTCATTCCATGGACTGGAACCTTAAAAGACCGTACCGAAAAAGACCAAAGACCGGAACTTTTTGAAAATCACAACACTGGAACCCTTAATATTTTTTTTAAGAGCCGAAACCTTTATTTTGATGTAAATGTTTTTTTTCGGTTTTTTTTTTAATTTATAGTTTAAATATTTTAAACAAATAGTAATAATACTTTATATGAAATCGTAGATCTATCCAACTGTAATAAACAACTCCCTAATCCATCCTCTTGTAGTCTTGTGAATGTACTGACTTCAAGCGATCGCATTCCTCGTGCAATCCGTGAGTTAATGTTTTGTATTGTGAATTGAGTTCTTTTAGTATTTAATTTAAACATCCACCGATATCAGTATTATAATTGAATTATTCTTACGGTGCTTAACGCACTGAGTTTTGTTAATGAAACCCAACTACGTTGTGCCTATGTATTATAATCAAAAGAAACTAATATATTATATTGAAAATATTGAAATACAAACATATTGTATTCTAAACTATTGTATACTACTCTGTTATAAGTTAAATGGGCCTAGTTAAAAGACCGAAACTTTTTAAAAACACAAGACCGAAACCCTTAATATTTTATTTTTAAAAACTGAAACCGAAATTCTATATTTTTGAAAAACACTTAAAATCATGACAGTCCCTGATTCATTCAGATCCTCAAAAAAAATACAATCTAAACGTTTCGTTTTTATTAAATTTTGCTTCTTATATATTGCTAGGGTTTTTGTGATTTATTAAACATACAATTTCTTTTTCTAACTGATTAGTGATTAGTTATGATGCTACCTATAGGTTTATTAATTGTTTTTGTTTTACACACACCCAATAAATATTACCAGAACTTAAAAATGTTTTTATATGTATAAAAATGTTTAAATTTATATTGAAATAATTTTTGATTGAATAAATTCCATAATACGAGGTTAGGTTCACAACTAAGTTTCACACCACTAAGATATGGATAAGGGATTTTTAAAACCTTGGTCTACTATTCTATCTTTTTATTTTATTTTATCTAGACATTTAAAAATTCTAATTCAAATTTGTGTAGGAATTCAAATCCAGAATAATATATTATAATTAGTAAATAAGTACGGAACTATTATGTACAGGATAGCATATTATATCACTCATAATTTCAAAAACTATCAACAGTTTTGAATACGCTTCTTCACATAATTTTAGGACTAATAATCTAGAAAACTATTTTCAAAAAACAATTATGTTTTTACCATTATTTGGGTGTACTTAATCAATAGTACCTATTTTTAAGTTATAGAAGTTATTTTTGTCATATGAGGTTTTGTCCTAGATCCCTCATCGTGTACAAGTAATAAAAATTGATTTATTTTACTATTTTTTTTTTCATTACATTTAAATTTACGATTTCTTTTGTAATTGTGTTATAATTATTACGCTTTTCCGACTTTGAGTAATTCCGAAGTTGAATGTTAAATGTCTATTTCCTGCGTACAGGTAGTCAACATGTACTCAAACCACATTTTATATAATGTGTTATTGACATTTCAACAACAATTCTTTATAAAATGTCTACTGGTTTAGTGGTTTGAGTAGTTTTAAGGGGCGAATGACGCCAATGGGCTCAAAAGATTGTCTTGTTCTTTAGTGGTGTAATGTATATTTCTATATTCTATCATTTTCAACCAAATTTCATAAGTATTTATTTTTCTTCTTCTTTAGCTTATCGGCTGTATATTATAATTCACACCGCTAATGTACGCAATCTATCTTGTCCTAAATCATTCTTCACAATTCCCCAGTGTACTGTTTATTTGTTCAGGTTACATGTGTCTTCAACTATCAAAACCAATTTCACAGATATTAACTTGTCACCATACTTTTGATATCGTATAAACTTCATAAAAATGTTTCATTGGAGTGTGAATTTAATGATTAATTTGCTTCTAATTGATGTATATATTGATATATATTATGTCTTATGTGATGCATTCTGTCAAACTAGTCTGTCGCAAAACGAACTACTCTTCTGATATTAATATATTTAATTACTTTTTTTAGCATTGTACAACATTGTAAAATGTTTAAATTAAAAATGGTTTAATAAAAATCATAGATCTATACGTATATGATGCATACACATCTTCAACAAAATTATAACATAAATACGTTATACGTATACCGGTATACCTGTTGTCAAATATAAAATTAATCAATTCATAACATTTTAGTTCTTACATAGTCGGTAATTAAACTACATAATACTGTTAAAAATATAAAAAAAACACATATATTATAATGTTTGATTAAAATCCGGATTTATACAATGTCCTAATAACCTTTGACATGATGTGTATATATTAAAATATTAATTATTTCGTCAAAACTATTATTAATATTCATTATGTACTTGCATTAAAAAATAAAAATTTAAAACGTGAAAATTGGCTTCTTCAACTAGTTGTTTTTTTTAAAAAAAAAAAAAAAGTTTAATAACATTTTACTGATCTGAAACACAATAAAAAAAACGTGTATTCCAAAATTATTAAACTAAATAAAAATTACCGTAAATTAAAAAATATAATATAATACAATACAACATACTTTATACTATACATATAGGCACATTGCACACGAATTGTACACGAAAACTCGATCGAAGACTATGACGTTTCCATCATACAAAAGATCAATCAACAACTAGGTAGGTACTGTTTGATAATATAGTACAGCGATGGCCGAGGGATTTTATATCGGTTAAAGCAAAAAAAAAAAAAAAGAAGTCTTCAATCAAATAGGCCCTCTTCAAAGCCTAAAGAAACGAAACCTTCATGCTACGTAAAGGTGAATTCACAATGGTTAATATGATGTATAACATTATATAATATAGGGTAGGTACATGAAAATACGACCAAAGACCGCGTATCCATTGTGAATATTATCGATCAACGACTAGGTATACTGACAATGATATGTGCAACATATAGAGTTTGTCAAAGGATCGTGTTATTATATTTAAGAGGGGAAAATAAGGTCATCGATCAAATTGGCCCTTACCGAGACTAAATAAGAACCGAAACCACCACTATACGTTGTGATAAAATTATTTAGCACGACCTTAACCGAATCTACCAAAATAACAGCTCGTAAAAAATAGCCCTATACATCATAGTTAGTTGATTTATATATATAATTTTAACCCACAAACATAATGTATAGTTGTTCGGGGTGGTTTTTTTTTTATTTTAAAGTAAAACTTCTATATTTTGGTATAGTAGATACATTCCTGTATAATGGAATAATATGTAATGACATAACGTAACATTACTTAGTAATATTGACTATCCAGATTAAAACTGAAATAACTCAAAAAAATACTTTTTTTCAAGAGAATCATTTAAAAATTCAATGGTTGTATTTAACTATACAATATAAAATAAAATACGTATATATAAATTTTTTGTTATACACATATATGACCACTTTATGGATAAACTTAATTAATTTTAACACTGGATATGCTCAATAGCTTAACTGATTTGTGTTGCATTCTTAAATTGAAGTTGTTTTAAAATTAAATAAAAATGGTGTATTCAAAACTCACTTTTTATTATTATTCTTTTTATTTTTACTGACATGAAGTGGATAGTCTATATGACATTATTGAGGAACTAGGATTTACAATACTGAATAAACTTAATAAAATTGTGTACAATATTAATATTGATTTATATTTAATATGTAGGTATATCTTAAATTTTTTAAATTTGGTGTTTGTTCCTGGAATGCGATTTTAGCATGACTGAGAGAATATTGTACGACCTTATCAACACCTATAAAAAAAATTATTATTATTATTTTTCATTTGTTCTATTTGTACATGAAAAATTAAAAAATTAACAAATAAGATACGTTGGCATAAAATTGTAAGTTAACAATTATTTTCGGTGAAATCTTCACAATTGCCTTATGGCTATCACACATTTGCATCGTTAATAATAAAAGTTTTTTGAATTTTAAATTCAATTTGGTCCAATTGCAGCTATACATTCCAAATCTTACGGACTCCTTCTGTGAAAAAATATGAATAATTTAGATAAAGTCAATTCACTACGAAGTCGAATGTAGATATGGTGACATTACTTTAATGTTAATCTTGTTCACTAGATAGCAGAGGAAAAATAAATCAAACAAGACGTAAAAAATGGCCGTTGATAATTTTAATATGTTGAGTATGGTCGTCGATCTCGTTGATGTGAAAATCTATTAAATAAAATGGACGAATAATAAGTTGTTACGTAGTAAAATGTAGTCATAAAACAATATGAAACATTTTAATATAAAATGTGATATGAAATTATTTTTTTTTTTTCATATAAGTTATTTTTAATATGAATAACATCGGCCAATATAAAATAATATAAGCAAATAACACGAAAATGTTAAAATCTGTGACAAAATGAAATCTAATGTTGACTAATTATCTAATATTAATATAATATAAACGTATATTCTATATAATTTTTCAAAAATTGTATTTAGAATGTAATATTATAGACTCCTATTACCAAAACCAATGAATATGTTAGAACTACAATTCCACCGGAAGTTATAACAACGGATGGTACAAGAATAATCCATAAAATAGAATAATACAATTTCAACATCCTGTAAAAATAAATAATAAAAACATTCAAGATGCAAATACAAATTCATAAGTATCTAGGTAGGTTTAATAAATTTAATTTATTTTAAAATTCATAGCGATACATAAACTAACAGTCTATGATTTATATTTGTATAGATATATTGAAAACTATGCTAAATTTACATACCGATAAAGCCTTGCATGGTCAGAAATAATTGATTTCAAGTCGGTAATACACTTTTCTGTATAGCTGTTTTCGCTTCCTAAATAAAAATGTCGCAATGTTATAATTGTAATTATTGTGTCATATACATATTATATAGTGTAATATTTAATATATATTATAAAATACAATATTATCATAAATGTACCAACACCATTTTAATACGTTTTTAATTTATAATTTGTATTTATTTACTTATCGTATGGCGTATAAAAAGTAATACATAGTTTGTATAATAAGAAACGAAAATTAAAAATGAAAATTACAACAGGGATTACAACAGTAATTAGTATAATTTTTAGTAACTAAACACTTATTTTTACACTTATTGTACTTTGTTTGTTTTCATAAAGTTCTTTTCAATGTAAAATGCATATTTAAAAATAAGAATACAAGAGATTTTAGATTCTGAGCGAAGCATGGAGTGTATTGGTTTTACAATGGTATTTATTTTTTTATTTCTTCTCTATTAACAACCTTCCTACCAGCAATTTTACTCCGATTCACAATGACAATAAATATAACAAGGACGCCATTTTATACAAGGCCTTGAGGGCGCAAAATGTCTTAACCCGGCATTGGACCCATGAATTTACAATTTATAATAAGGAAAATAATACATTCAAATAATAAGTTAAATTTAACTTTTTTCACAATTTAAGACTTATTCGCTGAAACTATAACTATTGATTCAATGTATATTGAATCAATAACTATTTATTGATTCAATAGAGTTTTGTGCAATCGGGCATTAATGTTATATCGTAGGCACCTCCCCAAATAGTAATACCATAGTTAATTATGGATTCTACTAGAGCTTGGTATACAATTCTAATTTTTTTTAATTTCAAGTAAGCAATCTAAATTTTTGAAAGCATAGATTACTTTTCTTAATTTTATCGCTGTCTGTTTAATATGGTCATGCCATTTAAGGTTATAACACATTTTAATGACTAAGTATTTACCAAATTTTACTATTTTTCATGAAGTTTGACATAATTGTACAAGATTTTGGATTTGAACATTCATGTTCGTAAATACATAGGCTGGTGATATCTGATTAGTTAGAATTAGTTCTACATATAGTGTGGTAATAAATAAGTTTTATGTAAATTTAAGAATTGATTATAATGTAATTGCACATAACAAATTAATGATTTTTCTCAGGTCATCTTGTATGGGTGAAAATACCTCGTCCCAAGAGTTACAATCAACAAAAAGAACAGTGTCATTAGCATTATAGACTTATTTAACATGTGTCTTTAAATCGTTTATTTGATTAATTTAAATATTAAATAGGGTAGGCGAGAGATACTTCACATATTGTTAGTGTTTCTAGACTTAAGGAATTATTTATTCGAACTCTTTGTTTCCTATTTTTTTAAATACGAGCTTAATGAGTCGTTGACTGAACCTTAAATACCTTGAATTTATTAAATGGTCTATAATGTCGAATGCTTTAGCTAAATCTAAGTAGACAGTTACGCATTTTTTTTTATATTCAAATCCATTATAATTATACGATTAGTTAAATACTGTTGCAATTGCTTGCTATTATCATCCCACGTTCCTAAGAATTTTCTTAGGAGACATTCCTGGACGATATGTTTGATACTTTGCACTGAGTCTCCACAGACATACAGTACTGTCTGTCATTCCCCATCTGAATAGCACTTCTTTATTTCAGACATGTCTGATTTTAATACTACAAGGTTTGACCAATAAGTAATGAGACTGTTTTTTTTCCACGCTTGTGGTAACACTGCGAATCTGAAACTTCGTTCGGTTAATCTCTCATCCCTCCTCTATCGATACATGTGCTCGCGATTTTCGTACAATAATTAGGTTTCCAGTTGTCTTATGTTTTCGACAACGTGTTTGTAAGGCGTGTCACAAATATGGAACAACGTAATATAAATTTTGCGTTAAACTCGGCGATTCCGTTATGGAAACGTACGATAAATTGGTGAAAGTGTTCGGTGATGAAGCCCTAAGTCGTGTTCAGGTGTTTCGATGGCATAAAAATTTTAACTGATGATTTGTCCATGAAAAAGCTGTGTGCAAAGATGGTACCTTCATCATGACAATGCTCCATGCCATCGTGCCTTCAGTGTGTCGCGATTTTTGACCTCTAAGAACATCGCAGTGTTGCCACAAGCGCCCTATTCGCCGGATATGTCACCCTGCGACTTCTTTTTGTTCCCTCAAACAAAATTAGCCGTGAAAGGAACGCATTTTGAGTCCATAACTGACATCCAGAACGCCGTGACGAGGGTACTTCAGGACATTCCAGTCGAAGCCTTCCAGAAATGTTATGAGAGCTGGAAAAAACGTCGGAACCAGTGTATAGGGGTAGGAGGGGAGTACTTTGAAGGGGATCACATAGATGTATCTTAATATTTAAATATACGTATTTTATTGAATTAGTCTCATTACTTATTGGTTAGACCTCGTATTAAGGTAGTTCCATGTTTGCCTAAGTAAGCTCATAGACATTGGTGGGTGGCATGGATATGTTATTGACCGTGGTTTTAAAAAATTTGGACCACCCCATGTTCCATTCTTTCTCCAGATCGAAAGATTCAGGTACATTGTCCTATATGTCTTCTATAATTAAGCCTAGATTAAGGGTACATTGTCTAGAACTTGATGAGTTGGATACGCTCTAGAGGTTATTAAGCTGTTTATCTTTTGACATTCACTAATAGTTTTCTGTTTCCATCTAAGGTCGGGTAGTCAATATTTGATAGAAAAAGAAGCCACGGTAGAGAAATGGATTTTAAAGTGTCCAATATTTTGTATGTTATGCTCAGACACTGAAATGAGTTTATTTTTCGACTGTTTTGATCATTTCTAATCTGATTATACATGTTTTGGTATTATGATATAGATTTCAAATTAAAAACTAATTATCACCAATTCACTTTTATCAAAAAAACAACCAGAAAGGAACCTTTGGTGAAAAAACAACATTACATATTCGTATAGCGATTTGAAAAAAATGTAGCTACATAAAAATTGAAAAAAAAAAACACCATTTTTCGGTATAACAATTTTCAATGACTCTGGAAGTCTAGCAGTTAACTGCCAATATTATTCAAAATTATATGTATATTTGTGATGAAAAAACATAAAATGAAAAAAAAAATAAAGGTGTATTTTTAAATGCTTCATAAAACACGGAATATATTGGTTTTAATTTGGCATGGGAAATTTTTGTACAATTGTTGTTGATTTATAAGTTCCCTTGAAAACAAAAGATAAATATGGCTAAAAATAATAATACTTTGCTCAGAATTGTTTTTAATAAGCAATGATTATAGATACAATTTAAACTACTCGAACAAGCTGTCCCACGAAGATATACCCCTTTAATATCTCCGGAGATAATAAATATAATCAAATTCTGTTTTTTTTTTTATATTGTTCTCAGGTATAAGGATTACAAATACTTACATTAGAATTCATTTTTTTCTTAGTAAAAAATTTTAAAAAAAATAACTTTATTTTATTATTTTCGGAAAATTTTAAGATATCCATTCTGTAGAATTTATTTTTATGGAAATTTAAATATATCACGTGTATGCCGTTTTAAATTTTAATAATCCGTGTGAAAACCGATTGTATCAAGTAACGCGGTTAGGTTATTCCCTAGATAACATCGGTTTTCACACAGTTTAGTAGAATTTAAAATGGAATTACTTAGAAACTATTCATCGGGTATAAATGTTTAGTACATTAAAATTTTTAGAAGAATAAACTCTACAGAATGGTCATCTAAAAGTTTCCGAAAATAATAAAATAAAGTTAATTTTTTAAATTATTTTTACTAAAAAAAAAAAATTAATTTTTTTAGTCCTCGTCCATGTGAGTAATATAAAAAAATCAGAATCTGATTATCTTTATTATCTCTGGAGATATTCAAGGAGTACATCTTCATAGGACAGCCTGTATATCCTCCCTTTCAACTTCGCTCCTAAAACATTGGCACAATCATCAACAGTATTAACCATATATATAATCTATTTAATATTTTTACAAAAATTTACCTATTACGGTCATTTTTCGGTCATCGGGGTTCGTGTGCTCGTCACCAATTGATGCGAAATCATTCGCGACGATCTCGTATTGGGCCATCAGCACGAACGAGAATGAAATGAACATGGTATTAAACATTACGAACAAATATCCCATGGATGTCACCATAAATACTTCGATCAAGTAGAATAGATAGTAGTAATCGTTGTACGTCCGAGTGGTCACCGGAAACCTGATGTCGAATACGTTATAAAAACGTTTAGTCTTCGTGATATCTATGTCATGTACTCCAGTGAAAGTGTTGAAATTTAGCAATTGTGGATACAAGATCCATGCGGATACGGCCAAGACCAAAAACTTGCACAGATAATTAGTTGCCATTATAGACACCTCGCGGTACTCGTAAAGGATATGCTTATGCTGACGACTCCGTCTGTTAGTCAAGAAGTTTACGCCCGTCACTTTATACAAATGCCAAATGTCTTCCGCTCTATATATAAACGTGGATATTTCTACCAGACAGAGAATGTTCACCTGATAGTAAACCAGCAAGTTGGACAGGTTAACGTTGTCCAACTTGCCTTCTGTCTCGACAAACAAACCGATCATCCCGTAAACCGTCAAACATTCAATAATAAAAGTCACCAGAACACAACACACCCGATAAATGTTACAATTGAACACTTTCTTGGTTTTTGGGTTGAATAGTGCGAAAAATCCGATTCGCCTCAACAGCACTATGTTGACTGTGTCCTGTGTACTCATTTCGATCATTGGCAAATTGAATCTAAAAAGACTAAATATATTATGATATCAAATTTCAAATTTAACCTTATACCTGGTCAAACAATTGCATAAACATAAATCAGAAACAAAATTTAATTAGCTAATAGCTATGAATATAACTTAAAAATTATTAAATAAGTCTGTTATTTTATTACTACGTCTATATAATTGTGTATATTCGGTTTAAATTTCAGGTCTCCACAAATATTTTATACTGAATTCAGAAAATAAAAGTACACGTAGTACATAGTAATACAATTACATTATGAATCTAAAATCACGTATAGAAGACGAATGATAATTCATATGTGCATGGACATTTTTTAAAAGTTTAATAAAGTAAGCTCTGAAATTTTGTTAACGTGCATTAAATAGAATAAAAATGATTCAAGCTTCAAGGTTTATAATGAATCAAATTAAATACAATTATTTTTGTTTTACCGCAGTTTCTCACATGAATAAAAAAATGTTGTTTTTATCTATATATAAATAAAGCATACAAAAGTATCAATCTAAAATGCAAATTTGGTTGGCCAAACACACTTTTTATTGTAATAACAATAATTTTTTAAAATATTCACATTTTTGGTTTATGATTGAGGCAAAATTTTTGATATCAAAGTTATTTTATAGACGCAAAAAGAAGCACATATTATAGTGAAACCATTATATTCTTTGCAATGCTCAGAATTTAAAAATGTATTTTAAAAATTCAATAATTTATCAGTGTGCGGTACCGTATTTTTCGTATAGTGTTAGTATTTTTGTACGAGCAGTGCACACTGAGCATCCAGTACGTAGACAACTCTATTCGATAGAACAATACAATTGTTTCCAAAGTCTGTAAAACAAATATTCATATTATACCAAAAGACTATGTAGACACGTCTTGCTCCGCTGTCTCGATTAGGTACTAAAACTACATTGACTCTGAATTGAACTCTATGATACATTTTTATGTTACATTATGACGTCAGCAATATTAACGAAAAATGAATATCATATTATCTGTAGTATATTTAAATAAATAATTTAAACCGTCACGGCATCAGCATTATTGAAATTAAATATTTAACTGATTTCAATTAACGACTCCTCAAAACGAATAGTTTTAAAATAATTAACGTTTTTTAAAATATCTATCAATATTTTAATCATTATCTCAAGTTTTGCAAACTGAATGTGTTGGCGTCGATTTCCTGTATTTTTCATTGGCGAAATTAAAATACCTGCGTGTAATAGTGCAAAAAAAATGTTTGAATTTGATGCCTGAGCAAAACATAATTATGTAAATATTACAATATTTTCGATACGTTTTTCTCGTTTTCCTCAAATTTTAGGAAAACAATAGCGAAAATAAAAAATTCATCTCCTCCTTACACCAAATAGACAATATCCATTTTCCATTAGAAACCATCACAAAAAACACATTTTATAATGTTAGTTTTTGATAATCAAACGAATCGTTCGGTCATGGTTTAATATATTTGGTTCTGTCGCTATCTATGTTTTTCCCCGTTTATTATATTAATACTATTTCGTCACTAATCCTTTAAGTTCCCTTTTACCTTATGGCACGTGATTAATTCGAATTTAATAACATTTAACTTGGCATTATAGAAATAATATTACTAATTACTATACTAATATTTATTATGAAATGAGATAAATTTTTCGATGACATTATAAAAAATAACTCCTTAAACTGTTCTATGTTTAAAAATCTTTCCATTTTTTACTGTCTAGGCCAGGGACTTAAATTGTGTATAGTATGACACACTTTGTATTAAACGAAATCTTATAGTATGTTAAGTATGCAGTACGAACGTATAAAATGTGTATAGCGGATACAAAATGATAATTTATTTGTAAACATTTTTAATTTTACATTTTTTTGCATTTTTAATAATAATTATTATTGGAGAAAAAAAAATTATAAAATGCTTATTTATTAAAATTGTAAATGACAACAAATGACTCGTAAAACATTGACGGTTATCACATATTATTTAAAATAAAACGGAAGTACAGAATAGATTAAAAGTAATTTTATCATCGATGTAAACATCATTAGATAATACATAGTTCATAGATAATACATTATTAATTAAAACTGGGTCAAAACTGATCATATGTGTACCTAATTGACATTTAAAGACCATAAAACACAAAAATAGTATTTTTTTTTTATTACGTATTATTATTATTACAAATTCGTAAATACAAAAAATGTAAACAAAACTTTCCAATGATGATTCATTTTATAGTTTAGTGTTTTAAAATTTACTTGTGATGGCATAAGATCCAACTACGGTGCGCGGCGTGGCGGCCGTGTATGTTATCACTGGGAAAAACAGATGCATTTTCGGTTATTTATTAAATGGCTGTTATTGTTTTGTTATCAGTAAAAATAATTGTATTTATATCTAGCATAAAGTAATACTCTATGGGATGGATATCATAAGTTGAAGCAAAATTTCTGTTAAAAAAGTTGTCCACAGAAAATAAAAATCGTAATAATATACTAATATATATATATTTCATATATTTTCCCGTTTTTCCTCCCTTTTTTTTTCAGTTTTTCGTATCTGATAAGAAAACTCTTGAAAAAATCTAAAAATAACTTCTCTAAAGTACCTCCCCATATCGATTTCCTTTCAGAAAAGATGCTACACGTAAAAATCAGACAAACCCTCTGGTAGAAAAGTTGTCCACAGAAAAAAATAAACATCTTTGTAAAACCATAAACTTCTTCGCTCCACTCAGAATCTAACAATCACTCTGTATATATATACTACTGTTCAAAAATGACTAACGCTCGCTTTTTGTCGACAACTATAAACATAATAAATTAACTTTATATATATTGTTGACATATTCTGAAAAATTCAGACTTTCTAAATAATTCATGGGTTTTAATAGTCTTTTTGCGACCCTAATAATTATAGTGGCTACTAGCTCTAATATGTCAATTTTCGATCTATTGCGATTATAATATGGAAGTTCAAAAAAGTAAATTTAAAAAAATGGGTCTTTTAAAATGTAATTTTATAATTACACAGAACAGCGATTAATTACTTGTATATTATATGAAACTATTATTAAATAAATTTGTTAAAATCGTGTATCACTTTATATCAAAAATTTCCAGAAATATCATAACACTCATTTTTCAAGTGTCAAAGCTTTTAGGTTCTGAGTGAGTAAAGCGAGGAATTTATTTTACAATGAAATTTATTTTATTTTTTTTACTGTGTACAAAATTTCCACTAGAAATCTAGCTCCGCTTAAAGGAAATTTTATCAAGTTTGCACTTAAGGGAGATCCCTTTTAAATTTTTTAAGTAGTTTTTCCAATAAATAAATAAAACTGGGAAAGATCCAATATAAATATTAATAATTTAAGCCTAGTGTAAAGGAAAAATCAAACTGCACCTATAGTTGTATAATACGTATATTATTTAGAAAATTCTGATTTTAAGATGTATAATTTCATTTCAATAGGATTTTTATTCGTGGGGCTGTCATTATTTGAAATTTACTTTTTTTTCTACCAAAGAAATTTCTTAAATTATTCTTCTCCATTTTCGCTTTAATTCTTTGATTCTTTTAATTCAGACACGTGAGCTTAAGACTTATGCTCGCCATCTATCCTATTTCCTATCATTTCCCTCATCCATCGCAATTTTTCTTATTTACTCTAAATTCCCTCTCCATTTCTCCCAAATAAAAATATAAACATCAGCAATATACTTTTTCTGTAGCTGTTCTCTGGCTATACTTCAATCGCCCATAATATATTTGTCTAACCTAATTAATTAATATTAGTTAGTATTAATAATATTAATATTTATTAGTAAGTACCTATACTACACTAGCTATAATATACGACCAATGTGTAGGGCAAACTAATAATAGTTATATTGTACAAAACTACATAGACTCATCAATTTGCTAATAACATTTTATAGCTTAATTAATTATACACAATACGTATTTAATTAAAAATGTACACTTTCTTTTACTCACGATGAGACAAATACTGTTAATTCAAAAATGGCAATATAATATTTAAACATTTTATTGTTGACATTAATTTTTATTTTCAACGTTATAGAATATCTAGTAAAATGCTGTACAAATATTATAGTTGGACATTAATCTTCAAACGACTTCGCATAAAATGTGGTACAATTTACAAATTTTAACATATTTAATCACATGCAAAATATAAGTTATTATATATTCAACTACAGTAGACATTTGTTTGGTATGCTGAATATGTTATGCTTCAAATTTTGTATAGCTGGTGAGTATAAAACACTTGTTAAATTATTGTCGATTATTAGCTCTGGGCTCCTTTCCCCTTTGGTCTCATTAATATACCGCCACGTGCTTAGTGAAATAACTATTACTACCTTCACTCGGAATTGCCGTCGTGCTCTGAGCTTCTTTTTCTTAGGTCTCACTAAAATACCGTAACGCGTTTAGTGAAATAACCATTGCTACCGTATTCGTGATCCAAGTCCCTCGTCCTACTGATCTCACTATCATACCATTGCGCGCATAATAAAATAACACATTAACCCAAAGTATAATTACATACGCATTCTTATTGTATACAATAATATATCTTATATATAAAATTCGTGTCACGTGTTTGTGGTCGCGCTCTCCCGAAACGGCATGACCGATTTTAATGAAATTTTTTTTGTATATTCGATAGGTATGAGAATAGGTCGTAAAGTATTTTTCTCTCTCATACCCCCACGCACTATTTGTTAATCGCGATTTTAATATTTTCGATTGTATATATATACACGAGCAACCCTAAATAATTTAGCTTATAATATAATAAATACAATGATTTGTAGATTTGCGTTACCCCGGTAACAGGGATGAAGAAAAATGGTGATAAAATTATTATTAAAAGTTAATTGGAAAATATCATGTGGTCATCAAAATCGGTCCAGCCGTTCCTGAGTTATAAACGTGTTATAACCCGACTTTTTTTTTTTATTTATATAATATTTTTGTTTATTCAAGGGTTGCCACGGAAAAGAAAACAATAATAATTATTATTATTGCTATTATTTACACTGTTCAAATTTCACAATAAAGCACATTTAGTCAGCCGTAGGTACCCACTTTCCACTTATTTGTTATCATTAAATTCTAACACGGCCAAAACCAAAAATTAATATGGATAAAATAATAATAATATAAATTGGCACGGGCAACGCCGGGCGCGGGACAGCTAATATATATATATTTTGTTTTTAATAAAGCCATTCGTCCGATCATGTACATGTATACTGGTATTCATTACCCTTTCCTATGTGTATACATTTGTAATTTCAATTCTTCCTACTGAAAAAGTATTGTTAAATTTGTTGATCAACCTGTAATTAATGTAAGAATATACGCATGTATGTCATTGTTAACATAAAATAAAAAAATAAGATAATATTGAAAATCATTGTGTATTTTATGAACGGTCAGGAAAAACATGGCTCGTTTCACATTTTTGTCTTGATTACTTCCAAAGTTACTAAATCCGAAGTTATTAACACCGCTATTTTTTTTTTTTATTATCCTATGTAAAATAATTATTCCCAAAATTGTTATTATTACTAATTACAGCCATTTTTTTTTTTTTTTTTTTTGATTACCTCCAAATATGTTATCGAATAAATTATTACCCGCAATATTTTTTTATTACGCCGTATATTATTGTTCCCGATATTCTCATTATTAGTAATTACTAACTTCCCTTTTTTGGATTTAGGTTAATTCCGCTCTTCATCTCTATGTACTCCACTTTTTCCACGAGACATAGCGCTTATATTTACTTTCATTAATCTTTTCCGAGCTTTTAACTTTTGTTTTGGATCTAAAGGCGTATAACTTTTTAATCCTTTTACGACATCACCATTGGACAATACTAAAATAATTATGTCAATTTAAATCATTTATTTATGTAAATTATGTGATTCAATTTTTAGTAGATTTATTTTTTACCTAAAATTAATTTTCGTCCGTATGCAAATTTATATTGTCCGTCAATCTGAACGTCAATCAAAAATTGTTTTGTCCGGCATCTCATCTATATTATAATATATACATTTTAAATAAATTGTTATTCGCTAACAATTTATATACTTTTTCATTGATAAAACAAATAGGTATCATACAAATAACTATATACATATAAAATACATAATCGTGGAATATACAGTGGTACAACGAGCATAATTTGAAATCACCCGTGATAAATTATGACCATTAATTTCAAACACTGTTGTTATAAAAACAAAGATACTAGCTATATGATAACATCGTAATTAGGGTTTATTAAAAATACAACAAAATATAGTTAGCGATCCACGGATTAATGAACTAAATTTTTTTTTAAATGACCAATAGATAGGTACTAGATAATCGCTATCAAATATAATAATATTAATTTCTACAATTTCTATTTGCAGGCAAATCAAATATTATCAACACACACGCCACTAATTCAAATCATTATTTAAAGTAAATATAAATTTTGTATTCTTAAAATTTCGTTTTTATTGTAATATAATATAAATTTTATTTTTACAAAATACGAAAGAATGGCAACACATTTGAGTTGCATCCATTTTTTTAAATTAAATGATTATTATTACTATACCTATACTAGTTATACTATATAGCCAACTTTTAGGGAAAATATATATTTTAGAAATATTGTTGGACAAAATTTCATAGATTCGTAGATTTTTTAGCTAACCTTTTGTTATCCACAATATCTACATAATTTTAAATGTTCAATTATTTTACTTACGATGAAACAAATTCGGTCAATCCAAAAATGACTAGATAATATGTAAACATTTTATTAGAATAAATATAATGTATATTTTCAGTGAGATAAAGAGTCTAGTGAAAAATTTTAAAAATATTAGTTGTATAAATAAGCATCAAACGACTTCGTATACGTTTTTTTATAATTCACAAATGTTAACATTTTTAACAACAAACAAAATAGTAGAAGGTTTTTATGTACAACAGTAACAGGCATTTATTAGGTATGTTAAATACACAGTAAGTTTAAAATATTTGTTAAATTATTGTCGATTACTTCATCTTCTTTTTCTTCTTCTACCATAATCTACTCTACAAGAGTTTTTGCCGCCATCACAACTTCACGTCACTTCTTCCGATCATGGATTATATTTCTCCAATCATTTACTACTATCCTTTTTAGATCTTCTTTGGCCATATCCATCCATCTTTTCCTCAGACATCCTCGTGGTCTCTTACCTGTTGGTTTCCAAAACAGAACTGCTTTGGTTATGTTATCGTCACTTCCTCGCATAATGTGCCCAAACTGCTGGATTTTCTGGCCTCTTACGTAATATTTAATTGGAGTCATTTCTGTTTCCTCAATTAGTACTTTGTTAAACTTTCTCCTCTGCATATCAATGTTTGCGTCTCATTTGGGAACATATTTCATACCTCATACCTTGTTTTCGAAAATGATAAATCTTCGTTCTGTTACGCTTGTAGTCGTTCATGCTTCGCATCTATACGTTAATATAGGTATCACTCACATCACTATGTAGAGTCTAACTTTTGTTTTCTTTGATACAATTTTTTATTTGAAAAATGTCAATAATGCAAAGGACGCTTTTCCTGCATTAACTATCTATATTCCTATCTCTTTTGACCAGTCATTTTTTGCATTTATACATATACCAAGGTATTTAAACTCATTAACTTTCTCATACATCCAGTCATCAGGGTCAGGTTCAGGGTCCATTGAATTTTCTTCCGTATCTAATTGTTCCATAATCTTTGTTTTTTCTACATTTACTTTTAGTCCTATTTTATCTGCTGATTTTTCTAGAGCTTTCAATGTTTTCTCTATATCATCTCTGGTATTGCCTATGATGTTGATATCATCAGCAAAACCCAGGATTTTAATTTTTTGTCGGTTTATTTCTCTACCTGTTGTTTCTTTTTGTTTCTCTCTAACCGTTTTCTCTAAAGTTGGATTAAATAATATTAGAAATAACGCATGTCCTTGTTTTAGGCCTGTTTCCACTGTGAATGTTTCAGAGATGGTCTGATCTATCCTGATTTGATACTGTTTTTCTTCCATACAAATCTTGATTAGACTTCTTAGCTTCTTTGGTATTCCAAATTCAGTCATTACGTTGTATATAGGCTCTCTCGATGAATGCTATTATGTGCTTTTCGGAATTCGTATTTCTTTTTTATGATTGTCAAATAACTATAACTGCAATTTGCTCAATAGTTGATCTTTCCTTCCTAAAACCACATTGATATTCGCCTAGGTTTTCTTCTACATAAGGACTTATACGATTCAGTAATACTTTGGCAAATACATTGTATGCTGAGTTTAGGAGCGATATTCCTCTGGAATTTCCACACTCTGTCTGGGTGATAACCTTTATTGTGAATGGAGATAATTATTTCTTCCAGTTTTCAGGAATTTGTTCTTATTTCCAGATCTTTTGGTATATTTTGAAGATAAACTTGTATATTTTTTCGCCAAAACAATCTTGACTTCCTCTAAGGTTACATCGCTAATCATTGGTTTCGCTATCTAGTAGGCACACGTTTCCTATTGGGTTCAGTGGTATTTCCGAATTTAGAAAATCTATGAAGTATTCCCTCCATCTTTTAACTTTATCACTGGGTTCCAATTATTGTCAATTACTACTCACTAATATATATTTTAAACAATATACTATTATTTCACAAATAAAACAGATGTAGGTAGGTATTTAAAATATGATTATCTTAGTATTTGTAGTTTATTTTATTTATATTACAAACCAAAATCTATAGTAAAAATAAATCATTTTCAAATTATATTAAATTTTAGTCAAAAGGAAAAACTCATTTTTTCATAATAATTTATTTATTTCTTAGAAGATGTAGGAAAATATCATATAACCTATACCTAATATCTAAGACCTAACCATAAAAATATATTCATTTTAGATATCATCAATTACTCGTAGTTTAATAATTGTTTTAACCATCGGAAATGTTCTACCTATATAAAAAATATAATTTCTCATTTAAGCCTATGATCTTATAGGGTCTTCAAACTTGGATTTAGATCAAAATATCTCCAGCAAAATATATATGTTGTAATTGATAGCAAAATATCTCATATAAAAAAATATCTCTATACACAATGTCTCCAATGGAAATATCTCTAAGGCAAAATATCTCCTTTAAAAATTATCTCTAAATAATATCAAATTTATTTTTTATTCAAGTTCATTCTTATTATTAAATTATCTACTTATATTCAATTATTATTCAAAATGTCTCAAAAAATAATAAAACTTAAATTATTCAATTAATGAGTATTAATTTTATTTTATTTTTTTATAATTTTCTAGGATTTTTATAATAAATGGGAATAAACAAGGAAATTCACGAAAATAATTCTTTTATAATGTTAAATTTAGTTTTTTTTTATTTTGTAATGACAAGGGGTTCATTATAAGTTCTACTTAGTAATCAACAAGAAAAAGTTGAGTTTAATATAATATATATATGTATATATATTTTTTTTATAAGAATTTTAATATCAAATTTTTACGAAAATTGTTAATATAAGACCTTTAAACATGTATAACCGAACTCTGCTCTGAATTATTTTTCTTTGGCAAAGATTAATCATCTCTCTATATCCTCCTTTATATCCTACCTTGTATAGCCCCTTTTCTGAGTGGTAGTTTAAAGAAATCATTTTTTGAAATTTTCATTAATATTCTAGATAGTGAGGAAAACCGGGTCCTTTAGATTAAAAAAGATTAAAAGATTTAAAAACGGCTGTCATTGGAAAAAAGGTAATTATTATAATAAAAATTATCACCAAATCATAATAATAATGAATACAAGTAGTAACGAATATTTTAATAATGTCTTCGGCTTCATAATGATTTATTTATTTATTTGATAATCATCAATAATAACAATAAAAATCAGAAATTTAATAAGAACAATCATGATTCATGAATAATAGTAATAATTATAAAGCATTTTAATAATAATAATCAGCAAACTAATAACAATCATCAATAATAATTATAATAATCATTAACAAATATTATAAGCAACATTTCAATAAAATAATCAACAATAATAATATTCATAATTTTAATAAGAGCAATAATAATAATAACTATACAAATAATGATAATTAAAATAATAATGAGATCCTTAAAAATCATAATCATAATCATAATCAGCATTTTAATAAGAAGCATAATAAGTTAATTAATAATAATAATATCCAATAATAATAACAACAATTGTATAAAAATTACTAAAAATTGAACAACCTCGGCACAACTACTCACCAGTCATGAGTATAATAAAACTCTGCTCACTGGAAAATAGGCGCAATAGGACTGACCAATTGTTTTTGTTCAATCTACTCCATGGGAAAGTGGACGCATCCCGACTCCTGAAGCGCGTTAGTTTACATATACCTAATGTTCACACCAGATTATAGAGCCATTCCTTCTTCCCATTTTGATGTCCAATTTTCTGATCCCTTATTTAGAGCCGTGCATTTGTTAAATAATACTAATATTTACCATTTTCCTTAATATAACTTTCTTTTTATGTCACTTTTATTACTTTATCCCTTGTATTGCTTTGATGTTATTACTAATTATCTATACATTTTTATTTTTGTTTATACCTATGTAAAAGCCGTTTGGCGTACATTTATAAAAATAAAACAAAATTGTATTATTATTATGATCATTAAAATATACTAATTATTATTTTTGATGATTATGGTATTTTGTTGAGGGATGGATAGTTGTTATGAGTATGATGATTTTAGATTCTAAGTGGAACGAGGAATGTATTGGTTCTACAATGATGTTTATTTCTTTTTTCATTATTATTATTGATATAGTGCACATTATAATTATTGGACTATTGGTAAAAATTATAATTTAAGTGATCATTATACTTATTATTACCTATTATACTTCATATTAAAATGCTGATTATGATTATGATTTTTAAAGCGCTCATTATTATTATTATTATTACTATCATAATTTTTATTATTATTAGGTACCTACTCTTATTAAAATTATGATTACGATTATTGCTGATTATTTTATTAAAATGCTAATTATGATATTTGTTGATGACTATTATTATGTTTAATGATTGTTATTAGTATGCTAATTATTATTAATGTTGAGTAATATTATTACACGCATTGATGATTATTATGATGCTAATTTGATTATTATTATTAAAATGTCCATTATCATTTATTGATGGTTATTATTATTTAAATACCATTATTATTATTATTCGTAAGTTTATTAATTATTATGCTTATTATTGCTACTTGCTGGTAGAAAAATTATCCATGGGAAAAAAATACCGTAATATTTACTACTAATACATTTCGTACATTTTTACTGCGTTTTTTTCGGTTTTTCCCATTTGTTGAGAAAACTCCTGAGCAAAATGAAAAATTATATTACCTCTTTAATCAGATTTCCTTTTAGAAAAAGTGCTATCATTGAAAGTTGGTTGAAAATTGCTGGTAGAAAAGTTGTTCACAAGAAAAAAACCGACAAAACCTAATCGTGAAAAATGGACCGAGTTCATGAGTTCCAGAACCCTTCCCAAAAGTAGTGACACAATATCTACATTGTAGAAGTTTGTTTTAAGATTCATACAGAAACTGGCTAAATGTTAAGCAATACAAATAAAAAAGCAGTGTTCATGGTCTTAAATGATAAGTTCTGGAAATCGGGCTATTTTTATTAGGCAATTTTAGTACCTGTTTTACCCGCTATTGCAATAGCGTAACGCGCGGAACTTCACATATTTTAAAATTAAGTTGAAAAACCATAATAATAATTATAATAAATAAACATGTTGTTATTTATTTACAGACATAAAAAGTAATACATCAATAAGTATTTAAAAATCGTAAATTTTCGACATTTGTATACAATTAAACAAAACCGCATTAAAGTTAAGTTTAAGTTACTCCTTGACAAAAAGTGGTAAAAAGTAAACTGTCTCTTTAAACAACCACAAAATTAACACAAAGAAAATAGACAGTTTCCTGGCCTTAACTTCCAAGATCATGACAATGTTGCTCATAAAAATAGGAGTTAAATTAGGTTATGGACTAAAAAAAGAAAAAGTTTGGTCACAATATAAATGTATAGGGTTATACTAAATGTAGATTTATTCAGTTTTCTCAGAGGTAACTGAAATTTGGCCATTTTTTCATGGCTAGGTTTTTTTAAGTAAGATACCGATATGAAATTGTGTGTACCGTTATGTAGGTATTTTCGGTTATTCGGTTTTTTGGTATGTTAACATAAAACGAAATTAATAAATTAAAAAAAAACTGTTAAATTTAAATATAATATGTTTATAAACATTATTTTATTTTATTACAATATTAAAGCTATTACGCTATAAATGTTAAGCATTATATTATTGAGTTTCCACATTTCACAACCCATATTTTTTCTCATATTTTATATAGTCAAGAGTCGACTTTTTTTTTGAAATAAACTCAAACAACTGACCTCCGTAAATTGTAACGTAAATGTTCACGACCACTAGTCACCACTATATTATAACAAATAACCCTACAGTCAACAAATTTAGATTTGAAAGATAAACAAATGAACGGACAATCAAAATTGATAATTGTATACACTCTAATGATAAATCGATAACGAGTTAAAACGGCTTGATAAAAATTATTCCTCAAATCCTAAATAGATCTACAAATAATATTTCAAACAAAGATTACCCATTCGATTTGTTAATTAACCGAATAATCGAAATAATAACTGAACAATCTAAATAACCTAATCTAAGTAACCGAGATTATTTACACTACATTTTCCCTGGTGAAATTTTACTCCCGGTAAATATTTTCTAGTCAAATTTTTCCGGGGGAGGGGGGGGGGTAAATATTCGCTAGTGATGTTTTACCCCCCCCCCCCATCGAATATTTTACAGGGAGGTAAAATTACACCTGGTAAATAATCGCAAGTACACCGGTATTTCGATGGACCGAAAATACTGCCAGCCCTACTATAAACTAAATTAAACTCAATATCCTGTCTATAAATTTTTCGCCAACAATAGATTCAATGCATCTAAGATATTATGATGATAACTCACTTTTGGTACATTACTACTATGAATATTAATTCAAATATTAAAACTACATAATAGCAAACTATATTAAATCATTTTAGTAGTTTATATCAAGTATTTTTTTCATTGATAATAAAAAATGTTCAACCTGTATACACAATATAACGCGTAAAAATCAAATATTAGAATAAGATAAATAGAAATGATCACAGAATAGAAGGTCTCAATCATTGACATTATTAGTAGGTAGGTAGGTAGATAGAAAAAGAAAGATAATATATTATGAGTAATTTTAGTTCAGAATTAGTGCACAGTCTATTCTATCTGAACATTTATCCAGTTTTGAATTTGTTGAGTAAGTTTTTTGAGAAATGTTTGTTCATCGCAGTTAGTTCATCGCAATTTAGTTCTTTAAAATGCCCCCAATCAGATGTACCAACTTAGGTCGCAGAAATTGCGGTTTGAGAGGAATGTGTGGTGGTGATAAAATAACAGTGGTGCTAAATGATAATATATTTTTGTTTATAGTATGGTTTTTATTGGTTGCAGATTAAAATAATAATAGTAGTATATTGGTTACTATTGGTTAATCGGGCTGTTCGTTGATTTGTATTATTTTTTTTCATTAATATATTTAGTAAAAATTGTAATGATGTCTGATTTGAACTCGATACCATTGCACTAATATTATAAATGTTGTCTTTACATACTCTTTGAACAAAAATTTAAAAGGTTGATCAAAACGTATTTAAGGTAATTAATAACACACAAGATTACAAATAAAATCTCTAAAAAGCTGTCTGCTTTAGTGTATGACTCTTACTGACCGTGAAGCTGAGAAAATGGTCTTACCAATGATATCAACCAATCTACCATTCCAGTTTAAATAGCTCTAATTTCCCATAAAACTATGTTTTTCAATGACCATCAATAAGACATATGGTCAAACATTAAATGTTGCTTATTAAGAGTTTAGTCCTAACCTTCCAATGTTCGTCCCATGGTCAATTGAACGTGGCTCTGTCACGACCGCAAAAAAAAATTTCCTGTCCCAGAAGGTGAGACACTTAACGTGGTACACCCAGAAATATTTAATACTTAAGGCAAATAGTAATTTAAAATTTAAAAATATATGTCATAAAGCAATTCTTTTAGTTCGTCGAAGGTGGACAACCCACTTTCCACCTATTTGTTTTCATTCAATACCAAACACCAAAAAGTAATATGGATAAAACAAATAATAAAAAATTGGCACGGGAAACGACGAGCGAGACATCTAGATTAATTTATAATTTATTTATTTATTTTATTATAAATCAATCGCAAATATGAAATTGTAGTATATTTTTACTACATAACTACACAGAAACATATGTGTTTACTGGGTAATTAGTTATATTCAATATTATGGATTATACTTTAATATGATATATAATACATTATTGATAAAGCATCACTATCAACTGAATACCGTTCAGAATCGTTTTTTCGTTAGCAATAGTTTATCGTAGTATTTATCGTTTACATGATTTACCCATGTACGGAGTATGTCAGTCTTTTTTTTTCTAAACAACAAATTTTTTAATGACATTGAACATTTCGAAATAATTTACAACTACAATTCTAATGAATAAAAGTCCTAATCGTTTCAAGTATGACATGACAAAACCAGAGCATTTACATTGATCATAAAAGTATTTTGCGGAACCAAAACCAGATTTAATATAAAGTAATTTAGTTTTTCTACTGTAAATAACCATAAACCATTGGGATCAAAACATAATTTTTAGTGGATCTCTATAATCTGATTAACGTGATGATGTGTTTTTTCTCAAATAATAAATAAAACCCAAAAATCAACAAAATAAAACCCAATGCATTGTTATTTGTTCTCAATAAATTGTTTTAAATAGCTTAAAAAATGTATTAGTAATCTAGAAAAATGTTTGAACAAAGTAGGTATAACATTTATATTTTTCTTAAAAAGTCTAATCTTTCATATGAATAATTTTAAAAAATTTAAAAATAACAAACATAATGTTATTCATGTGCATAATTTCTGAATGTATATGTATTGGATTCATTCAATATTATAGCATTATACTATGCAAAATTATATAAGTACCTAGAGAGTAAATAAGAAAATACCCATAGGTATCAACATGGTGTCTGTAATAACCCGTTGCCACTTATGATTGGCTGTCGGCTGGTGGTTAATAGTAGTGTTACATAAAAATGTGAATAAAAAGCAATATTATGAAAAAAAATTATTGAATAAATTATACAATTGGGGATTGGTAAACCATAAACATAATTGTCACAGTTTATAATAGGTACCTACATATGTGCTAGGGAAACTATTTGCTATTATTGGCAAATCATTTGTTACTTTTTGGCATAACTTTGGAATGAAACTTTCGGATAAAGTGGGCTACTTGAACTTGCCAACCTGAATAATAATTAATGATATAAAATGTAAAAACTTGCTAATTTTTAAAACCGATTTGCTAATATAAACTAGGTATTTATTTAGTGTTTCTTGGCATACTTTTGGTGTAGGTATATTGGATAAAGTGGATGGGATACCCGATGTAAATATAAATTTGCTAATTAGCCATGTAACTTGCTAATTTTTAAAATCAACTCGCTGTGATCTGCTCATTATTCGCTATATTTGGCATTGGTGGATTGGGTAAAGTGGGTGGGCCAAGTTCATGGACATTTTACCCATAGATAATATAGGTGTATAATAATATATTATGTTATATTAATTATCATATATATTTATATAATTTTATATAGATTATTTTGTTAATAATCTATGATTTTACAATTTAGATATGAACACTAGTGAACTCTAGTGCAGTGTTCATAACGTTCATGTTCATCATGGACCACAGATAATATCGCAAAATATTTTTATATATAATAAACTTATCTATGGGTTTATGACCGTGGTTCGTGCATTTACCATATCACAATTATTTTATCACGATCACAGAATCACCACAGTGGTATCACACACAGACATAAAATTATTAAACATTTGGTACAATAAATTTAAAATTAGTTACGTATTCAAAAAAAAAAAAATGTTTGAAAATAACTTAAATTTCAAATGAACACAAAATGGAAACTTACCACAAATCTATCGTTACTCTAATATTTTATTCAACTGTTTTGACGAAATATTCTGTGGAAAATGTTGAAATTAAAGGTGTATCGATAGAAAGTAAGTACTTATACTATGTAGTCATAAAATAGTTAAACATACCTATATTAAGTAGGTGCATAAAAATAAGAGGACTTGTTAGTACTTGGCTATTTTATTTTTTTTTAAAACTATTATGTATTATTATACAGACTTTTATAATCTATATATATATATATTATTATATACAAGAAAACCTATATACCCACATAAAAAAATCTATATAAAATGTGTTTATTTAGAAATAGTAAATATTTGAGGTATTAAAATACAAATATATTAGTAAAATGAAATGAATATCCCAGCGTCCGTCACATTTCTACCTATGTATGTGTCCCCACATTTTGAACATAATAACTAAATAGGTATAAAAATTGTTTGAAGGTATATAATTATAGTTATTATTATTTGTTTTATATAAATTTTAATTAAATACAATAATCATTATATTTTGAATTTAAAAAATAGACCATACTCATAATGTCTGTACCTAAATCTATTATAGTAGTGCATACTTTTGGTTTGATCTTAATCTTTTATATCTACTTTCATATTGACCACTCTGGACACAGATAATTTAACTATGCTTTTGTATATTCTAATGCAAGATTTATATAATTTATCAGCCCCCTTTACAGAGCATATATCCATTACTATGCGTGTTTTTTATTAATATTTACTAATTCTTTTTTTTTTTTTTTTATTATAATATTGTAGATGCAAAACTATATGCAACAGGAAAAGATTTCTCTTGTTTGGATGGATCCATTATTATTCCTAATTCATATATTAATGATGATTATTGTGATTGCCCTGATGCAAGTGATGAGCCGGGTACTTCAGCATGTCCAAATGGCACATTTTATTGTAAAAATAAAGGACACTTACCTCTCATCTTACCATCATCTCGTGTCAATGATGGAATTTGCGGTACTAAATTTATTTATACATTAATGAATACAGACTAGAATCTCAAATAGGTAACTGAAATTTAAAAATATTTCAAGTGGTCTTTTTTTTTCTTATAAAACTACAAATTAAAAGTACCTATTATTATACACATATATTTGTTTGTTTCACTAACTAAACATGTATTATTTACTATTCATTTACTTATTAATATACTAATTTATAATTATTTTTATGTAGATTGTTGTGATGGATCTGATGAATGGGCTAATAAAGTACGAAATGGTGCATGTGAAAACACATGTAAAGAACTTGGCCATACAGCTAAAATAGAACTAAATAGAGTAGACAATTTATATGCACGTGGATTTGAAATAAGAGCTAAAATGATTCCTCAAGGGAAACATCTTCTATTAAAAAAGCAGGTAAGTTATTTTTAAAACCCTTGTTTTTTCAAATTTTGGGAACTGTTTTCATTTTATTATATTTATTGGTACTCTAAACTAGGAATATATTTTTAAAAAACTAAGTCTATATTGAATCCTAATGATTCATGTATTAGAGATAAATATATAAAAAATTTGTTTTCAAACATTCTTATTGGTTATAGTCTAGTTATACACAGCTATTATTTTTATGTTCAAGATGTAATATTACAAATAACAGAAAAAGTGTATAAAAGTTGTCTATCACTTTTGGCCAAAATTATAAGCTGAGGGATAATATAAATTTAAAAACCACAAATCATTGAAAATAAAAACCAATTTAATTTTGTTGTTCAGAATGCAATTATACAACTTTTGCCGAAAAAGAAAGATGCTCAATTCATCAGAAGTAATACATTTAATGACCTAAAAATTGCAGAAGAAAATGAAAAAAAAGCAATAGAACAAGAAAAATTATTACAAAAAAATGAAGCATTAAAAATATTCAACAAAATTGATACCAACAAAAACCGAAAGTAAAATTTATATATTAAGTTCAGAAATATGTTATTTTTAAATAATATTAATAATTTATTTAGAATTGAAGTGTCAGAAGTAATTGTTTGCAAAAATTTTGACCAAAACAAAGATGGCTTAATTTCACAAGATGAAATCAATGTAAGTGAATTAAAATAAAATCTGAACGATTTTTATTGAACCAAATGTTTGTTTTGTAATTTAAAATATGAATTATTTTTTTATAGTATTTTATGGAGAATAAAAAGGAAATGGATTTGAAAGATTTTATGACAAATAGTTGGAGTCGAGTAAAGCTATTAATTCTTGCAAAATTGCGTGATGTTAAATATCCAGCTAAAATAAATATCTTAGAAGAAGGACTAAATAAATATAATAATTATAATGTCAATAATGAAACAGGAAAACATAAATTATTAAAAGATATTGAGATGGCAAAAATTAATGACTTATTATATACAGAAAAAACAAAAATTCTAATCAATGGTAATTTATTACACCTACTTTTAAAATCCTTAGATTAATGTTAATACTGTTTCACAATTTAAAAGAAAAAGTGTATTATTTAAATGGCTGTAACTAAAGTAAATAAAAGAAGTTTTGAGTTATTTACTAGGGAACATAGTTAACAACCCACTATCTGAGGTATAAGTCTAAGAAAAACAAGTTATCTTAACTTAAGAAATTTAAATTTACTTAAATGAAACGTATTCAAATTATTTGATAAAAATGGTTGGCAATACTTATTTAGATTATTATTTTTTTTTTTATATAATATAATGCAGCATTCATTTTTACTATCTCTAAGGGGTCCAACAGAGAAAAAGTTTGAAGAAGGCTGTTATAAAGAATACCTAACTGAAGTTTATTATTCGTATTTATTATTTGTTTATCATTTATGAAAATAATTTATTGGTACATATAACTAAATAATATTTGTATATGTGGCTATGTATGTATATACATATTTGTATTTATGGTCTGATGGTTAAAATATGAAATTAATTTTAGAATCAAAAAGATGTCGTGAACAATTTGAAGAAGTTGATAGAAAATATAAAGATATTCTTAAAACAATAACTGCTTTACACATATCTTCTAGTAAAGATTTTGGACCTGAAAATGAATTTGCAGTTTTAGATGGACAGTGCTATGAATTGACTGATCGTGAATATATATTTAAAATATGTTTATTTGAAAAAGTAATAAGAATTATTTTTTATTTTGACCTTCTACCACGCATGTAATTTCCAAATTACAAGTCGCGTACATGGAGAAAAAATGTACCGGTATAATATTTATTGTGCAAAATGTACACCTTTATACATTACTTTATATATATATATATTTTACACTTTTGAATCAAGTACCGAGGGCGGCACAGACGATAGTCACTTCACCCTCCGGCTTACATTGTTTATTAATGATAAACTTGCACAAGTTGCAATAAATTAATCAAATAAATTATATACCTACGATATTTAGAAAGCTAAATAAAAGTACAGCATTAAGCTAATAAAGATAAGAATAATAATATTATTTACCTATTATGCATGGTAGAAAATTAAAAACAAAATCTTCAATAGCAATATTTTGATCAAAAATCAAAATGTATAATTTGTTTTTATAGGTAACACAAAGACCATTAAACGGAGGCCCAGAAGTAAATTTAGGTGTCTGGAATAACTGGACCAACTCTGTCAATGATGAACCAAAATACCACACAATGTTATATGATAAAGGACAATATTGTTTGAATCGTTTTCAAAGGTTTACATATGTAAGTTTACTGGTACTTTCCACATAAATTAAATTTGTTTTACTTACTATATTTGTTATGTTGTTGAAAAGGAAATATTATAATATTTATGTTATTTTGTAAATAGGTACTCTTGACTTGTGGGTTAGAACCTAAACTTATATCGGTGAAAGAGCCTAATATCTGTGAATATTTAATGGAATTTGAATTACCATCAGTATGTGTATTAGAAGATTCTATATATACAAGAGAACCCGACCGAGAAGAATTATAATCAGATATTGTTGTACATATTTACATATTTGCTTGAACTGTAACTATTATACTCAGTATTCATTCCTAACACAGTATGTAAACAAATATGTAATTAAGTATTGTTTTCTCAAAAAAGAATCCTATAAGAACCTCCAGACTGAAAATCAAAATCTAGTCTCTTGATTACCGTGGGATTACTATACCACCAAATTATTTGATGGATATGCATTTTTACTTATTACTAATTACCAATTAATTTGATTGCTAACACGTGATTATATAATATTATAATAATTGTAAACATGTTTACATAATTGTTTTGTATTGTGCTATAAATGTCTGTACAAAAACTTTGTTATTAAATATAGCAAGAAAAAAAAAAAGAAATTTAGAATTATTATTGCTACTCTACAGTCCACTGTACATTTTATGCAAAAATGGATTGTAAACCATATCAGTATTTCCCAACTAATTTCTACAATTAATCCTTGGCCACCTCTTTTTGATAAAATTAAACAATATAATTTTTAACAAGTAATTACTTAAAAACCCAGGCACGGTTAAAAAGTGAGTTATTCTCCACTTATTTCTTTGAAATGTTTTCATTATATCACATATAATGTTGTTATTGGGAAGCAAAGGAAAACAGAAAAATGTGGTTCAATGATAAACGTATGAAGGCTTTGAAATGAAAAAAGGAATGTAAAAATCAGTGGCTTAGCGACCTTGAAAATAACGTTAAAGTAATAGATCCAAACGCAAATTAAAGGAAAGTAGCTGAAGATATAGAGAGATAAAGGAGAATTTGCTATACGAACTAGACTTAAAGGTTGAAAAACCGCCTTATAAAAAATATATATATATACATATACGTATAGGTAGGTACATAATTAATAAATAATAATTGACTATTTTAAATTATGTGTAACTTTATTCATTGAATGTTAATGGATAGGATACCTAATAGGTGTTACCTATTTACATAAATACCGCTAAGTACCAGGAATTTGAATTATTGTTTGTATTGGGGATAGGTGTGTTATCATTAGTTAAATACAGGTGAAGTGCTTTCAAACGACCTACCTATGAACTCTTATTAACATTAATCCAACTGTCGATAAGACAAGATTTTTTTTTAAAGGTAATTTTTTATTATTATGATTATTATATGTAAAGGTATTTATCAAAATAAAATAAAGTATTTATCAATAAGCACCTAGACCTCTTTAAGTTTAATTCTTGACTGTCAGTTTGCCACTATGATACTATATAACTGTTTAACAAACAAAATTATATTTACTACCTATATAATACAATTAAACTTCATAATTAAACCTGTTTTAACCCAATTGTGTGCCTGCCTAACAATGAATATAATTTATAATAAGTCATAACTAATAATTGATTGAGATAAACCTTAAATTCTTATCTAAATCTTATCAAAAAACCGACATTCTTACTCACCACCTAGATTAAAAATGCAACAAAAAAGATCTCTTGTTGTTTTTCTATTGGAGCAATATTTTGGTTCTAAACTTAAAGTGTAAACATTTTAAATATTGAAATCGGTAACGCCGTGGTGTACCGTAAGTAGTTGCCATTTTACCTAGATATAATTTGTTTTATATTTTTTCCCAATTATTATGAAAACCTCTAAGAAAATTAAAAAAATAACACCTCACAAACTAGATGTACCAACTAGATAAAATTTAGTTCCAGAAAATTGCTACAATTGATAGCAAGTTTTCTATTCAAAAAACCTTATAGACAAAAAAAAAGCTAATGTTGTAGGTGAGTAGTGAATGCGGAATGCATAAATTCAACCTAACCAGTAACCAGGCCCATATATTGAGGGAGAATTAGGAGTTCAACTCCCTGCAATTTTTAAAGTATAGGTATATATATTCATAGCATACATAACATATATTAAATACAAGTTCATGTATTAAAAATATTTTAACCCCACCCCCTCCCCCTAAAAATTGATCCTGAACACATGCTTGCCTGTAAACAATAATAAAACAGGTATTCTATAGTAATCTGCCAGTAAATTACAATCATAATTTTCCCTGTGTTTTTTAGTTTTTAATTATGCAAAAACATAAAATATCTGAATTAAAATATAGTTTTTCAAATTTATTAAACTTGAAAAATAAATGAAAATTATTTTATATAGTTATTTCTTAAGTGTTTTAGTTCATTTATATTATCATTAGCGTAGTTCATTGCAAATAAAGGTCACTTGTCGGATTTTGTAGATAGGTACCTTATAATGTAGAAAATGAAAGCGAGAGTTTAAAGTATGTTCGCAAACTAACAAAGAAATAATAAAACTACTTTTTTCCATTGCAGCTAAAAGGAAAGAAGCCTGGAGGATACTGAGCGTGTTGTTTCTTTAGTATCCTAAAGGCTGATTATGATTGGTTTAAAAAGTTAAACAAAAATCTTAATAGCACCATGGCATTCTATATAAACGTATTTTATATAAGTAGGCAAACTAAACGATTTCTTTTAGATTCCGGAGTATACTTTGGAATATTTGAATTTGACAAACTAAATCACTGTTTCTAAATAAGTTGATGGTATCGCTTTTAAAACGCCAAGGCCATATTTTCCACTTGAGATAAACAAAAGTTGACGAGAATGTTAAATTTAATCTATTCACCGACAATTCGTACAAACATAGATTATGGATATTTTTACTTATTCTAGACAGATCCCCATTGGATTGTCCACACTTCTAATATTTGTATCAAATAAAAACGCAAAGCTACAAAACTTCGTGTACAATTTGTGTACACTACATATCAATCAATTAATTTTTAAGCCACAAGTTCAATATTGTTAGATAGTTGATATAGACAAGAGAATTACCACGAAAGGTAAGTTCTTCAAGAGTGTAGTGAGACTGACTGAGGAGGTAATATGTTGTATAGTCCGCGAAGTATTGAGTGGCAGACAGACAAGTAGAACAGAAAATTAGTGTAGCAGAGATGAGAATATTTAGGTGAATGAGTGGTGACGAGAAAAGATAAGATAAGGAATAAGTACATAAGAGTAAAGAGTTAGGTAGCTCAGGCGTGGCTTCGGTGTCAGTAGAGACGCCGGAACAACGGTGGCAGGGTGTGCGACTGGGCACCACGCCCCCATAGTAATTGTTTCGTGGGGGTTGGGCCCCCGCGGAAAAAAGAACAAGTCTCGAATCGAATAAAAAATTCAAAGTTTTTATAATAAAAACAAGTAAAAAATAGGCTAAAAATATAATATAATTTTAAATAGTATCTTCATATAATTCGGGTAGTCAACGATCGACAAATAGTGTACTTCGAATTCCCTGCGAAATGCAAATATCATTATTTTAGAATGTAGCAGCGGTGGCGGTAAATATTGTTCTAAGTATTAACATTGCATTTAAATAATAATACATTATAATACTACTAATGTAAAATAATATGTAGTATTTACAATCAACGGTATTTCGAATCCTCGCACTGTGGCGGACCCGAACATTTTGCCGCAGACTGTTTCGTCATTTAACGGTAGTTTTGAACGTAGGAATGATTAACGGGGAGTGGGATCAATATTATGTTGTCAAACCAATGTACTTATTGATGTTCATTATGATGGTGCAATCTAAATTAGATGGCCGAAATTATAGTTTTTGAATTATAACACTTAAAAATCAGTATACAGTAGAATCCGCTTATTCGGGACACCACATAAAGGGGACAACCGCTTAATAGGGACAAATTGGCATAGTCCCGAACGAATGTATTCGTTTAAGGCAATTTAACTTCGTTTATTGAGGACAAACCATCGGTTATAAGGGACAAAAATAAAAGCGTCTAACTAGGTATTCTGACCTAAATTATCTACTTTCTTATCGAAACTGTAATTATCTAATCTTTATGGCTCTATTATATTTTATATACGTCCGTATATAAAATATACTTCACTAGATGTTTGTGCAGATTTTATCTATAAGCAAAGTCTTGATAAATTACAGCAAAGAAGAATGGACGATTTTCTGCAGCCTAACAAAATATGAATTAAGTATGTACATAATGTATTAAATAAATTTACGATATAATTATACTAAATAGTAAATATAATGTACAACTGCTAATAATAATAATAATAATAATATGTAATTTTTAAATAAAGTATGAATCAAGTATGTATATATTTTTTAAATAAAGTTTTTTAGTTTTTTTTCGTCAGTTCGGCTAATCGGTACAGTCGGATAATGGGGACAAATAGGTTACCGCCCGATGTGTCCCCATTAAGCGGATTCTACTGTACATGTGTGGTATGTGTATTCAATAGGTACCTAACTCAATATTGCATTTTCCGTATTATATTGATTATCGTAGTCCAGTGGTGATGGCTACCCATTGTCTGTCCAGAAGTGTCTCTAGGTCGAATTTGTGTGTTATAAAGTTTTTTTTTTCACTTTTTACCAATAGAAAAAATTATCCTAGACACTGTTTTAGATGTTTTAACAGAGGCGTACTTAAAAGGGGCATTCATCTAAAAGGCACTCTAGTTCGACCCGTAGAGTAATAATTATAATAATATTATATTACTCTATGGTTCCACTGTTGTCTTTTACCATTTATTTCTAGCACAGTAGATCTACCGTGATTTCTAGTTACAAAATAAATTTGCCAGGATCGCTAATGCGGGCTTGCACTGTTTCAAATTTACCAGGAAATACCAGTACAATATACCAGCTAGTGGATGATATCATTGAAAAACTCTCTTCTATAAAAAGTCGGAGGTTAGACTTTGTATAATAAATTTATAACGTCCATTTTAATAATATATTTAATTAAATACAAATTCATTATTTTATGGTATTAAAAAAAAATGTTATATTTTACAAATATAAAATAACCCGATTCCTACGTTTAATAATAAAACTATTGTAGCTGTGACGTTACTTTTTTAAGGAATTTTATATTTTAAAGAGTTGGTAAAAATATATTTCACCCCCCCCCCTTTCTCTCAATAAGAAAGACCTAAGTATGCCACTAGCCTTTAATTGGTGCCCCATACAATAATAATTATCAAAAGCGATTTTCCTTGCAAAATAGCATATTTTTTTACCCTATGAGCAACTTAATTGAGGTGTTGTTGCATTGTCGATCGAGGGATATTTTCTTTTTTAGCTGTAAAAGCGAGCGAGTTACCCCACCAGGTCTTTAGACACACCAAAAAATGCATTTGTTTTTCTCCTGTTACCTACCCGACGTGGTTTTGCACAACAAATCGAGGGTTTTTCGTTTAAAATAGTCCTAGAGAGCATTAATAGTAAACCTATTAGTCATTGAAAACCTTTTAGAAAATTAAAATATGACATCCTTAATGCATCAACTAGACAAAATTACCTTACAGAAAAGATACTACATTCTAAGATTTCTTTTCGAAAAGTTGTTTACAAACAAAAAACAAACACACATCGTAGGAAGGGCGGTGCGTCAGAGGAAACTTTGGGACGGCGTCTTCCCAATAATTATAACATGTACCTAACAAATATGTTTTCAATTATTTGTGTAAATCTACTTTTGTCACTTGCATTTACTATACATATATATAGTAAAATATTTTTAAATCATATTCAGAACGAAGAACACAACAGGTCAGAACAAGTAACTCAGTAGGTAAGTGAAATGTGAAATAGGTCGAATTAATAATAGAGTCTCTCGAGGTAGTTATGTCACCAATTTTATACATACAATGTACGTAGCTGCTTTAAGTGGTTAATCTTAATATCAGCGATAAAATGTATTCATAATATGCTGACGACACATAACATGACGGCCATCGTAGTTTCGGTTTCTATCTGGGATACAGCTTGGAATAAGTCTGATGCTGACATGTTAATAATAAATAAATGGTTTTTGTCTAATAAATTATGATAAATCAAAATTTGTTACATTTTCCAATGATATAAGAACTACACCACAAAAAAGTAAAATTACTATACAAAATCAATTAAATTGTAACTCCACAACATATGCACCTATCTCAAATTATATAAACAAGCTTTCATTAAATATCTCGGCATTGATCAAAATCTAATATGGAGTATTAATATTAAAAACTTAATAATTAAATTAAGACAATTGACTTATGTTTTCATAAGTCTCTGTCACCGGGCTGCACGTTATTCCGTATTCATTGCGTAACAATATTATTATGTAGTCACTACACAATACACACTACTTTGTAGTGCGTCGTAAACTTGTCACGTTTTTCAATAAAAAAAAATAAAAGTATGTAATTAAAACATTGTACATTAGATGAATTGACAACTATTTGCATTAATTTACGTATGATGAAAAACTAAGTTGATCGGAACACCAGTACCTAGGTACTAATATTTCAAGTAGGTAAAAATGTAAATAAATAGCACCAATAGTTACACCAAAGTTAAGTCACCCCATACATTTATTTCACACACCGCTAATGCATAGTAAAACCAATAGATCCCACGCTACGATCGGAATCTAAAATAAATACAACCAATGACTAATGAGGATAGACGTATAAACCCTATGAACTCGCCCCCCATGAGATAAGATTAAGACCGGATCTCAGGTTCGGTATCTGAGGGCGGATTTTGTATATGATCGCATTTTAGATTCTGAATGTAGCGAAGAAAATGTTTTGTTACCTACTGTAACGAAAATGTCTACGAGAAATTTTCCTTCGATATGTAAGTGTAGCACCTTTTCTGAAAGGAAATATTGTCCACTCTAGATGGTAATTTCAGGTCATTTTTTTTATTATTTTAAATTTTGTTTTTTAATATAATTCAGTTAAAAATATTTGTAGACTTAAAATGTTAACAGAAACCTTATATTTACTTTTTCTACACGTGGTAACATTTTTTAAAACATTTGATCCATTTTTGAACTATTCATAGACATTTAAAATTTGTGTGTTTTTACCCAATTTTTATTTGGTAGGCACTCTATGGATAAAATTGTTAACTTTACAGAAATTTGACGAGGTTCACTATAATCTGTACATAGTGGTTAAAAAAAAAAAACGAGAGAAAAAAATTCTAGCATTTTAAATTTGTTTATAAGAGTTAAAATCAAATTTTGACAAAAATCGTAAATATTACGGCCGTTCAAAACATATATAACCAAACTTGCAAATGTTTTTTCTCAGCTATAATGCACACCCGTCCTCATAATATAACCTTGCTCTTTTTTAACTTAGATTCTGAATGGATCGAAGAAGCTTCTGGTTTTACAAAGTTTTTTTTTTTTTATTTATACCCGATTTTTCTACCAGCACTTTTTCTGAAAGTAAATTGGACTGGGGAGATACTTAGGTAGGTCATTTTTCGATTTTATCGTCAAATGTGAAAAACTGCGAAAAAGGTAGGAAAAACGCGGAATAATCGTTAAGTACAACATTAAACAAATATTATTAGAGAAAAAAATATAATGCCTATTTAATTATTTTACTACATGACATATATAATGTTAACAAAGCAACTCTATCAACTGAACTCAACTTAGAATCGTTTTTTTCGTTAGCAATGGTTTATCGTTGCTTACAGATAATATAACATATAACATTGGTTGCAGCCGTCTCCATAATACTAGGACAGTTTTTTTTCAACTCAATATATTAATTTATTGTTGGGTGAAAATGATCAGTGAACTCCCTCCCAATTCATCTGCGTATGCTACGCTCACTATGGGTTTTAAGTAGTAGTGAGTATCAGCAAATAAAAGTAACAGGAAGCATCTATTTAATTTTTAGACCGGCGTGGGAGTTTCTAAGACCTGTGGGAATCTGAATGTTTAGACCGTCCCCACGACTGCCTACCAGGACCCAACTCGGAATCTTATTGAAATAGTTACAAATATATTTATCATTCAAAAATCAAAATTACAAGTTCCCAAAAAAGACGAAATGTTTCCTGACACAAAGCTCCGAGTGAACATCAATTAAGAAATAACAGTGGGTTCTCACGATCGTCTGTGCTATTTCGCTTAGGCCAGCAAAATAAATTTTTTTTTTTTTTCTTATCAAATATCACGCCAGTGTTGAGACTGGTTATGTCATACGATTCAGAGCGTAGACACACAAATAGAATATAAAATAATCGTAGCAAAGATGAGAATGCTTAATTGAACAAGTGGAGTAATAGGATAAGTAATGAATAAGAAAGATTACTAAAAAAAAAATAGAATATATAGATGAGTAGTAACTTTTAAAGTCGGTTAACATTTTTTTAAATATTTTAAATACAAATAGATAGGAATCTATCTACTATTTAAATGACTACATTCACTTTTGGTGTGAAGGCCTCAAAACTATGAGCTACTAAAATATCTGTAGGATGTTTTCAATTTTAGTAAATTCTCAGTGTTCTTTGTATACTGATTAAACAGAATACTCAATATATTATAAGAGTACACAAACAAAAAATAAAAATGGGAAGAAAATTGGAAAATCTAAGCTGTAATTCATTAATCACACATTATATGGAATCAAATTCACATCTTTTTTATTTGTATATATATTATCTGATAGGTGTCATTATATTATAATAAGTTTTGGTAATAACATGCTGATTGTATCCTAATATATAATGATCACAATTTAAATTAAATCAAATTAAAAAAAATTAAATAAAATTAAATAAAAATACTAATATAAAATTATTTTCTTAACGTCTTGATCAAATATTAACTTCAACATGAAAAGCTCGTTAAATTACAATATATTTAATAATATATGGTCAAATGATGAGTATTATAAATATCCAATGATACCTTTGAATTGGTTAACTTAATGGTATAATATTTGTTTTCTTTTTTGTTCATTTGCAATAAAATCATCTCCAAAGGTCTTGTTTACTATGAGTATTAGTCTTGTATTAAAAAATTGTATCTAAAAAATTGTATCTAAAAAATTATTATTGTAAAAAATAATAATAAATAATATAATATTGAAACAACTACAATTATAATGAATAATTAATAATTAAATGTGTATAAAAAATAAGACTTAAGAAATAAATACTTGAATAGTGAGTATAGTTTTGGCACAGTTGTCCTACTTATGACCCCTGTATATCATTTGTAACTTCTGATCAGGTCAAACATACATTTTAATTAGAAAAAATAAAACAAAACATATCAACAATAAATACATAATGTCTCAACATGTTTGTACTTCTTTATAACTTTGCCCCTTTTAAAATATTTTATGAATAATAAATATTTAAATATTAAAGTACATGAATATAGTATAAAATATTGCATAATTAATTAACTAGATTTTATGTATTTAATACCACAGTGAATTGATTTATTGTTACGTTTAAATATAGGAATTAAGTGTAGACAAATGATTTTCTGATTCTTCTTTTCTGTTTAGACTTTAAATGCTTATAAATCTGCAATACAGAATTAGAGTTCCAAGTACACAAAATAGTAAAAATGCTGACAAAATTTAATATTTATCAAACAAAGTGCATGTGATATACATAAACCATATTATATTTATTGATTATGAATTTGATACAATTTTCAAAACTGTAAAACTTTGTACCCTTGTTCAACATACCCTCAGATTTGTAAACATTTAAAGTTTACATTTCTGGAATATTTTAGATTTTTATAGGAATATTTTATATTTTGAAGTGAAAATAATTGTTAAAAATGTTTAGAATGTGAAATTAAAAGTAGATATTGTCATTATACAAATTTAAATTACTTAAAGTATTATATTTATTTTTAAAAAACTAAACAAAAGAAGTACTAAAGGTTAATCAAATTGTAACAAGCTAATAAAAAGAACAAACATGATGAGACAAATTTTCTTCTGATCACAAGGCAAAATTAAAATATAAAATGTTTATAATAGAAACAAAAGTTATTTGAACAGGAATTATAACATAGTTGTATATTGACCAAATATATATTCTTTTTTTAAATTCAAAAATGAAATACATTAACTAGAAATAATTAGACAAAAATTTAAATATCGCTTTTCGATGAATATTATTAATATTATAATTTAAGAAAAAAATAAACAAAAATAAAGTAGTTAAACCAGTTCATTTTTGTTGATCAAAAGATATGGTCAATAATATTGTTTTATATGATGTTGAACAGCAAATGCAAATACCTATTGATTAAAACAAAGAAAAAGAAAAAGAAAATAATAATAATAATAATAATAATAATAATAATAGTAAATTGTAGTAATGCCTATGCACAAATCAATAGCTCCTATGAATACTGGAAGCACGATTTTGAGAAAAATAAATGGGACAGGAAAAATATTTTAGATAATCGAATAACACTATAAATAAAATTTGTTTTAAATTTTTATTAATAATAAGATGATAAAAATAGCAATTTAAAATTGGATCTCAAAACAAGATGTCAGCTTGTTAAAGGGGTCCTCTTTTTAAATGTTCTTTCTTTGAACATAAATTTCTATTGATCAGGATTCCAAAAGTTATTATTATTATTTTTTTTATCATTCAAATAAATATATTCAATACATGCTTTTAACTGAACGATATTATAAATTATGAAAACACACTTTCCTGAGCCTAAGTGTGCTTACATTAATTAAAATATGATTAGGACACTCATATGTTAGGTCCTTTTTTTTAATTTAAATAAAAAAAACTCCATTTGTTTCACTTATATTCAAAACAGATAACAGTGCTTGCGTTTTCTTCTTGAGTTTGGTTTACGTTTCTCTCGCAACCTTCGTTCTTTCTATGAAATAAATAAATATACATAGAGTTTGCATTATTACACATACCATGGAAAATCTACTTACATCTTTCCTAATTTCTCTAACCAAAGTGTAAAACGCTTCATCGACACCTTGTCTCGTTTTAGCAGATGTCTCAATAAATGGTACACCATATTGTTTAGCTAAATCAGATGCTGCTTTAACATCTATTGCTCTACTTTGTAGATCACATTTATTTCCAACCACTAAAAGCAAATTAAATAGAACAAATCAGAAAATACATTTTAAAACAAATATTTTATCAATAAAATAAATTCTATAATTTTGAACTAAGAGTAAAATATATAGGCTCTTTGAAACATCAATAATAGATAAAAGTATATTAAAATAAACACGCTATTTCATGAAAAAGGAGGGGGATATAAAAACCTAAATATATGATTTCATGTTGAACACATTTTAACAATTTTTTATTTACGGGAGACAGTTAGTTACAGTGGCTGCTGCTGTGATATATCTTTTAAGGATCCAATCTATCAATCTGGATCTGGAATCCAATCTGTTAATTTGCTTAAAATGGGTTAGGTAGACTAAAAAAGTAAAACTACTAGATAGTAGATCATCAAACTGGACATGGATTGGAGGTTAATTGATTTAAATCTGGTTTCAGATTTGATGCTTAGTATTGGTAGGTACGCACTATGCAGAATACTGATCCATAGCAGCATTCATTATTGACTATTTCAGTGTATATTTCCCGAAGTCTATTATTTTTACCTGATAACAATACAATTTTCAGAAAAACAAAAATATAAATTTATGAAAAGCTAACACAGAATATGACAACATAATAATACGGATTACAGATAATATTTCATAGAGCTGACAAATTCCTGATTTTTCTTACAAGTGTAATTATTTTGCTTGTGGAAATGCAGAATACACATTTGTTGTTATATTGCATACAAGACAAACAGAGAAAACAAATTTTAGATGCTACTTAATCATATGATATGAATAACCACATTTTTGTAATTATTTTTCAAGTGTTAAAAATGAAATTAAAATTTTGTATTTAATTATTCTGTATTTATTTACAGTAAAAATATTTGAAATAGTTATACATTTTATAAACATTTCAATAAGGTCATTATGTTAATAAAATAATTAATACTTACAAACCATTGGAACATCTTCAGCATCTTTTACTCGTTTTATCTGTTCCCTGTAATTACTGATATCTTCAAATGATTTAGTATTATTAATTGCAAATACAAGAAGAAAACCTTCACCGGTTCTCATATATTGATCTCGCATAGCACTATACTCTTCTTGACCAGCTGTGTCTAAAATATCAAGTAAACACGTTTCTCCATCAATTACTACTTGTTTACGATAGGAATCCTCTGTAAATAAATAATACAAATTGCATTATGGGTTAAAACAATAATTAAATTGTCATTTAATTTAAAAAAATATATAAAATTATAATTTCAATAGTAATCAAAAATAACACATTACTTAATTAAAAATTCAGGAATTCACTTATTACAATAAAATGAAAACAAAACTAACCAATTGTTGGATCATACTCGTCCACAAAGCTGTAAAAAAAAAAAAAAAACAGACCAACAAAAATATTTAGTACATTTAGTCAAAAAATAATAGTACAATATACAAACTATAATATGAAAGTAAAACATACTGGTTTTGTATTAACTGTATTGTTAAGGCACTTTTACCAACACCGCCAGCTGAAAAAATAATGTCATGAAATGCATTAGAAAAAATTGTTTAAGAATAAATTAATGCTACAGAAACGGTAGCATCAAGAATATTTTAATGTGTTAAGTGAAAACTTTATACAGTTAACATTGATAAAAATAAAATTATATCTATTAAGAGGTTTGTTACTAGGAGGTAATCATAAAGATTTACACTGTATTACATATTATGCTATTGTAATTGCACTCAAACAAACTTTCCTATATCATTTAACCAAGATAATCAATAAGAATTACAATCAATAACTAAAAAATGAATGATAAATACCTACCAATATCAATTAAAGAACGAACAAACATGAAACCTTAAATTTTAACACAACTTCATAATAATAATAAACTACTTACAATAATACTTTGTTAATCTAAATCAAAACAGAAATTCCTAATGTTGAAAAGTACCTATATTAAAATTTGTCTAGTACTACTACAAGGGTATGTTGATTCTATACAATTTCCAGGTATTTCAAGAAATTGATAAGACAATAGAATGGAAAATCAAGTATATTAAAGTTGAAAATGTTATGGACAATCTTAAAGATTATTAGGTACACCAAAATAAGGAGAAACAACTATTTTGCATCCAAGTTTCATTGTTTCTAGGAAATAATCTAAAATCAATACTCTAATGGATAGACTGAGCTATGTATGAACTAGTATACAGAATTGTGTGAACTGAAGCAATTCAACATGTGTCATAAGGAAACAATAGGTGGTGTACCTTGTACAAGACACATTTTGGATATCAAACAAAAACACAACAGTAGTAATCTATACAAGTACATACATACGGCAATCTCGCAGCAATAACGCTTTCATTGATCATCTGTAAGGCCGATGAAACAATAAACAACCACCAACCGTCATCGACAGAGAATATGTGCACCGCAAGTAGGCAAATTGGAAAAAACATCAAATACTATAGATTCATAGCAAGTAATTGCTAAAGGGGACTGGAAGTCAGAGGCATGAACAATAGGTAACTGGACTGGGGAATCGATGGTGGTGTTCACACACGAACCATCGACATTGCTATTTTCGTAGGTAAGCAGATAGGCGGATAGGCAGGTAGTAGGTACAGCAGTACTTACCACCGACGACGACCAGTTTGTATTCAGTCATATTATATTTTTATTATTTAATTTCGTGATCGGCGTCGTCGTGTCCGTGACGTTGTCTGGTCGGTCGTCCGGTCGGCACACCGCAACGACGAGAGACAAAGGGCACTCTGTACGCGGTAGGTAGCGGTGGTAGTCTTGTAGAGTACAGTAATTTGTGAACCGGTGTCGACGCTCGATTTGACGGTGGCTGCGACAAGTGACAACGACGACGACGACTACGACCACGGCGGCGCGGCGGTGCAGGCGATGACGATAATAACAGCAATAACAGGTATATCACGGTAAAAAATACGGTAGAAACACACCCCGAGCGTGTAAATGTGTAGCGGCGATTAGCAAAGAAGGCAAAAAAAAAAAAAAAAGGAGAAAAAAGTTTGATTTTTTTCTTTTCTTTTTTTATTATTCTCTAAAAGGGGCGTGACATTTATTTATTTATTTTTTGTTTACAGCACAGCCATCTTTTGTACGGCGGCGCACGCAGCCTGTCCAACTGTCCGCTACGGATAATATTCCTCGACTAAGGCTCGACACTGATGCGCGCATCGATGTCGTACAACTCGTACTGTCGGCGTCGCAATTCGTAATCGTCGTCCTGATTTTGATGATACGCGCACTCGTAATTGGAATTAATTTCAATTAAGTAGGTATTTATTCCTCGGAGGTACACAATGGACTGCTGGTTTGGTCCTGTCACCGGTGAACGGGGGAACTGTGTGTTTATGGGCGGCAGGCGGGGGGGTTTCACTAGATGTATGTTGGTGAATAAAAATACCAGACAAATTCCACGGACACCGAAGTTATTTCGCCACAACTATCGGTCGTCGTTATAAATAATAATATACAACTACAATAATAATAAATAATAACATAGGATTACACAACACGACACCAACGAGTAACGACGTCGTGCGATTGGTGGGAACTGGTAATGCACTAAATGACTGCGGGGAATAGAGGGGAACGTCACACGAATTTTGATTGTTTAATTATGTCTGCTGTGCATGTCACACTGTCGATAAGCAGCTGAGTTGATATAACCAAATAGACTGATAATGGCCATCGGTATCATAGACTACTACACAGTCACAGTTACGATTATAAGATAACATCTATATTGACTAGTTAATTAAAATACAGTATATTTTTAATTTATTTTAAAATTATTATGTCATATCTTGTACGAGATGTCCTACGTTGTTATTCGAATGCTGATAATTCGGTCAATATTCATTATTTTCAATTGAGTTTTGTGTCCGGGGGTAAAGAAAATTTGTATTTTTATTTTCATCCCTATTTTATAAATTGGCTATTTTGATAACTAAAAGTGAAAAAATAAAGTTATTTTTTTCAATAATGAAAGGACGAAAATAAAAAATGAATATTAACCGGGTTATTAGCATTTGAATAGGGACACTCTCTATTTTATAATAAAAAACTATAAAAACTTTTATGGTATGTCTAAAACAACCAAGACTTATTAAATAAAAAACAAGGTTTTTACAAATATTACATTTTTTTATTTGAAATTCATGATGTGTAGGAAATAATAATTATTATTAATGATTAATGTAGGTCACTAACATTTCAAATAATCTCTGCTATTCCTAGAATAAGGAAATTACCACAGCAAATAAGTTTAACTTTAAGACTAACAATGAATGTTCCAAAGCAGGGAACAGTAATAGTGTAGGTGGTAATAATCAAAAACTTAAATAGTTAAGGCATTTTGTGACACATATAATTTGTGTTTTATATTTTACTAGTTATAAAATATAAACATTATGTTTATTACATGTATCTAATATCTATAGATATCACTATTGAAGCCTTCGGCATCAGCAGTATTTCAATCTATCGTAAAAATAATCAAAATGATAAATGTTCCATCGAATTGGTTTTCTGATGTTCAACTATTCGATTATACAATAATAATTTAAACAATTAAAAATCATTACAATATATTAAAATATTATACCTAAGTTTTAAAAGTCAATCCATTAGTACACATTCAATTCCCTTGGAGCGCTAGTACATCTTTGCACATGTAGATTCGGTTTGGGATATAGAGTAATATGAGGAGACCGGTCTTCATCTCGCCTATAGCATGAGTTGAACAAATATAATTTATGATATCTATGGAGTAAAGTTGAAACGCAGTTTATGTGGGTCTTGAACATATACTGGGTGGGTGTACCCAGTTGTCAGAAAAATGATAAGATAATAGCTACAGCGGCCTTCAGTAATACCAATATCGAAAAGATAAAATTTAAATCAAAATGTAATTAAACCAACAATATGGAAAATATTGTTTTAAATTATTTGAAATGTGTATTCGTGATATACAGGTGTCCCACGGAAATACACAATATTTTTTGTTATGTTCAATGTGTTTAATTTTTTTTCTTCTACAGATCCAAAGTCTTGCGTTATGATTCCTTTATTTTATATTTCACTAATCTAAATATTTTTTTTTTATTTTACAATCGGATTATTTTAAACAATTTTAATAATGATAGTTATCTGTGTTCGTATACTTTTATTCATTTATGCACATTTTTATTTAAAATGTCCAGTTTAGTACAGCTTTACTGTATTGTACCTGTTGCATTACTCTATACTCTATTCACCGTAAATTGACCCACTTGCTCGACGAAAACCCTTCGAAAAAACCCTGCTATATGCACGGTCGTGGCGGTAGCTTCCTGCGTACTACGACGAGCAACGACGATCACCGAACACCACCAGTCAATTACAGACCACAGTGGCTCAGTACATATGCGCGGAAGCGTATACTGAATTACTGCGTTACTGAGTATAGTGGTTAAGACAACTATAAACGGAACACGAATAATAAAATATTATGGAATATTTGTAATAAAAAAATGAAAAGCGATTACAAACGATGGATACTGCTTTAAAATTGATACCGCTAACCTTTTTTTTTTTCGCAGTGAATCGACACCGGCCCTGGGACAACAACCGTAGTACTTCAGGGCCGGCGCCATCGTTTATTCAACAGCAAAACATATTAAATATATAATAATATCTTAGCAAATCTAAACAAATTACATTATATTCACATCATTGGTACATGTTACATTACTAAATTATATAAATAATATAAATAAAAAACAAAATGTATATAGAACATATGTATGATCATTGAAACTTCAGTTCTATTCGCGAGCCATCTAGGACCGATGACGGACTCGGAACTGTTGAGGCATTACTTCGGATCCGCCACCGTCGTTTATTAATAAACTATCAACAAACGGTATACTTTTTCAACAATACAAAAATATATAATAATATACACAATAATATAACAAAATATAAAACATTGCACATATGCTTACATATTGGTGCACAAATGCGGACAAATATAGAGAAAAAAAAATATATCCACCGTCTGAGCACCTCAGTCCCGTAAAAGTCTTTCCCAGGACGGCGTGTTCGCCCGCCATCCTCGACTTCCCGTACCCCTCCTCCATGCTTCCTCCCGTACTCATGCTGCCTCGTGAATATGATGATGCAGTGTTCGTCGTCCCTCCCGTGGTACCATAGAGGTTCGTTCTCCTGAAGGCATCGGGAGATCCAGGAAGGAATCATAGAATATGATCCACAGAGCCAGCCCAAGAACCAACCCCTAACCTAACTTTTTTTTTCTTCATCATTAAATTGACATCGGCTCTGGAACAACTTCTATATTACTTCAGAGCCGGCGATGGAGCCGAAGATTCACCCGACAACGTTCCAACTCCACCAGTAGGCGGCCCTCCTCGTCCAGTTTTAATCCAAGAGCGCGTAAGACTCTGACAATGGCCGACTGGTCATTACCAAAACCCGGTTCTACCCGGACCACTGACACCTCGTCCTAGGATCCAAATCTCGTGGTAATTTCTGTTTAGCGGTGAGCATTGATTTCAAGAACGCATTTAACTCCCTCAGATGGAACGATATTCTTGATGCTGTAGTGGAGTGGGGGTACCAGAATACCTGTATGCAATGTTCCAATAGGACTAGCACTATCGAGTCACCTGCTTCACCAGGTAGAGCCATGGACGTTTCCATAACGGCAAGCGTACCGCAGGGTTCGGTAGTAGGTCCGCTACTATAGAACGTCATTTATGACTCTGTAGAAGGGCAGAGCTTCTACATGGATCTCGGCTCATCAGATTTACCAATGACACGTTGATTATAGTCAGGAAAACAATCAGTAAACTAGAGAGTCACGCAAACGAAGCGTTTAGTCTGATTGGAGGAAGAATTCTGGGACTGGGTTTTCAGATTGCAACCGAGAAGACAGTTGGGGTGCTTTTCACCAACAAGTACAAATATACGAAACTAGTGGTGACTATTCTTAGTGAACTCATTAGTCTCAAGACCGAGATGACTTATCTTGGGATTACCTTTGACAAGTCAATGCTGTTTAAGTTCTATGATAAGATAGCTGCGGAGAAGGAGGAGAAGATCAGCGCCTAATTATCACGGATCATACTAAACATGAGAGGCTCAAGGAAGCCAAAAAGACGACTGTTATAGTTCGTAATGCACTTAGTTTTGTTTTATGGCGCACCGACCAGGCCATATTCGCCGAGATACGTGCTTGGGAATGGGACCCTATTAATGAAGGTGCAAAGGAGAGTACTGTTGCGCAGTATCTGTCTTTATCGCACGGTATTCGAGGTAACAATCAACATTATAACAAACACCTCACCGGCGGATCTGTTAGCTAAACATAACTACTTGAAAAATGACTAAATCACGGTACCTAAATGTATTTTTAATTGTGTGTAGTATATCAATCATTAAGGTTAAAATTAATTTTTTATCATAAACGTATGTCCAGTGAATTTTATTAGTCGACCCTTTATTATGACCAACTGACTACCACTCATCAAAAAAAGAGGAGGCGATCGCCCCTCTTGAGTTATAGGTTCGGCGCCACTGCAGGGTGATAAATCTATCATAAGACACTCATTGTACCGGAAAGTATTAACTTTTTTCGACATTTATTTTAAAAAAAATTTTAGAAACAAGCAGCTCTGCAATTTTACATTTATGTTATTTTTAGTCACGCTAATTTTTGGAGGTGAAAGTACTATCTACTTATAATTTTTTAATGGCAACCTATATTGAAAATTCCATAAATAGATGGAGTAGTAGTTAAAATAAATTTTAGTGTTAAAATTTATAATTTTCGTCATTCCATTAACGAGATATTTCACTTTTAAGTTTGGGTCTGGGGAGAATAGTAGTATATTCTTAAAATGCTGCGCGTTGTGCCGCTACACAATTGGATGCTACATCACAACTACTCTAGCCAGGCCAAAACTTAAAAATAAAATATCTCATTAACAGATCGATGAAAATTATAAATTTTAACACCAAAATTTATTTTAACTACTACTCCATCTATTTATGGAATTTTCAATATAGGTTGCCATTTAAAAATTAAAAGTAGATAGTACTTTCACCTCTAAAAATTAGCGTGACTAAAAATAACATAAATGTAAAATTGCATAGCTGCTTGTTTCTAAAATTTTTTTTAAAACTAATTTCGAAAAAAGTTGACACTCTCCGAGATAATGAGTGTCTTACGATAGATTCTGTATATCCGTGGTCCACCTCTGCCGAACACTGCGTCGTTTATACTGGAAAAGATAATAACATGGATTATGGACTGGTAACGTCTTGCCGTACTTCCGGCGGCTGGTAATGGTATGGTCAAGTTAATTATGTGGTTTTAACACGCGATTACATAAGAGAAGGAATTTGTCAGACGGAGTGATCCTTGTGACTTTTTTTTTGTAACCTTTATGATTTAAAAATATTAAAAAATTTAAAATTTAAAATAATAACAATTTGATATTGTTAATGTACCATACTTATATGTGTATCTACAGTACTATAGTACTACCTAATTATTTTAACATTTTTATTTTTTACTAGTTAAAAGTATGATGTGTATTGATTTGGATTTTCATTTATTCTATGTTATGAAATATGAATTTAGAAATGAAGTACTTATGTATGTTATTGTATTACGTACCTATACGGCTATACGAGGACTTTTTTCGACAAGTCACCAAAATATTATCAAGATGAATTATGTTAATGCCGCTTGAATACAAACATAATACGTGTATTTGATTGATTATGACATATACATTAATAAACTAAATTAATTGTGTTCGCCATAAGTGTTTTCTTTGTACTTTTTAGATAAAGACGGTTAGGTTTTTTTTTTCACAAAAATTATTCGTGGTTACACTGATTTGAGGTAGGTTTTATTTGTTTACATTTTTGAGAATTACATGGGTCGAATAGGGAGTGCACCGTCTAGTTTCATATAATCCGAGGACATATCGTGGCGCATAGACATACAATAAATATTATTAATATGCCTATGGTCGAGTGGCTTTATGACGATTTAAATTCCTAAAATGTACACCCAATTGTAAAATTATTATTATTATAGAATTGTATGGTGGATTTTTGTCGGATTTGTTCCGTGGATTATGATCGTATGACTTTATGGCGGGTTATTTGTCGGATGACATTTTGTCGTGCTTTGTCCGTAGTCTACAGTGTAGTTTATAAGAGAACAACATTTTGGGGCTCGTCACTCGCCCGTCAAGGGGCAAGGTTTATAGATAATATTTATAAACCTTGCTCGACCACCATATTGTGTACAGTTGTTCGCTCAGATTATCTTTTATCTATAGTAGTATGGTACTATGGTAGCACACAACAGTTGTAGTGCTGATTGAAATCGAGTAACATCATTTCATCATTCATTACTATCTTTTATTGTTTGTATTTCCATTTCCCAGTTTTACTAATTTATTATATTATCAATACAATTAACACTGTTGGTTTTTATTGAATTGTTGTAGGCCCTTGGTGAATGAGTTTACATTACTATACAAATATATTTAAAATTTTCTTTTTGTCGGGGAAAAATATTAGTAAATAGGGAATTTTCTAACCTGAGTTTGGGCAAGTAATACAAATTGAGTTACGAACCTTGGTTAGTGTTAGACGTTAGTCCACCTGACTGCCATAGCGAAGATTTTATTACGTGGGTTTTTTTTTTTTTTTTTAGTTGTGAGGCGGCAGCACCATAGACTCGACAATGGGAGGGCCTAAGGAAGGCGTTCAAAAACAAATACAACAAGACTGGGCGAACCGAGAGTATATTGAAGTGATCACTGGCAGCATTAAAAAGATCACAGATTTTCTCAACTCGTTCGGTAAGCTTAATATGAAATGCATTTCGATTAGAGTTTATGTCGTGTGTGTCTGAATTCGAGCAAAGGACAGGAAAAGTCTTAACAAAAAATGTACCGGAAATTGAGTAAAAAATTAACTTAAATATTTTTAACAAGAGTATACTTTTCTTTAGCACTGTGATTTATAAAAGTATGTACCTACTTTAATATTATAAAAACTAAAAAACATAAATATACTCTCATTCTTTAGAAATTTAACAGATAGTGAAGTATGTGATTAGCTCAATAATTAGTTGTTCAATTTTATTAATATATAATATAAAATGTTTAAAAGTCTCATAGTTGAATAAAAGCAACATATCAATTGTCTATGAAGGTTTGTTGTATATGAAACCATTTAAAGTAGCAGTATTCGAAAGCAAAGTCATTAAAATGAGAGTTTTACTACCAAATTAAATTTAAAAAATCCAAAATTAATTTATGACCTTAGTCATTTGCTAAATGAAAATTTGCTTATTGCATTAAAAAAAATTAAAATTAACATAATTGAACTAGCAAAATTGTCTACTAAGTTACTCAGTCAAATTTGTCTGAATCTATCATTGTTAGGACATATTAGCGTATAACTAAAATCGGTCATTAAGAAATCAAAGAAGTGCAAATCGTACAAAAGACGAAAAATGTGCTGAATCGAAAAACTTGCTAGGCAAAAGTAAGTTATAATTAAAATTTATGGATATAGAATAGATAAAATAGTAATTATATAATATGAACAATTAATCTATAATATTATTATTAATTGATAATTGATAACATTAAAATAAATAAAATATTCATTGTTGGTAAATATGAAAAAATAAGTTTGTCATTGAAGATTAAATAATTGTACAATAAGTAGCAATAAGAATAAAAATGAATATAAACGTAAAGGGGAAGAGAGGGAGAAGAAGACCAAAAAGAGGTAGTTGGATTCGATTGAAAATGTTATGAGGACACTCAAAGACAGTTAATGTATGCGAGGTGGAGATTAGGTCAAGTGAAAGTTTATGATAGGAGCTCAACCCTAAAGACTTGGATTAAGACAAAGGAAATGAAAAAGATATTAACTTTTATTGTGTTAAATCTACTTTTTACTTTCTAAAAAAAAATATATTTTACTCGATTCTAAAAATTCTTTCCCGTGTTTTTTATTCCTCGAGACTTGTTTTCCTATCATCATTCCTAAGTGTATATCATAGTCATATAGACAATTACTTTGTCACATAGGTTTAACAATACAATTTTAGTTGTTCAGTATATAATTTATAATGTACTTCATATTATACAGAGTTACTTATCCATATTCTTTATTATATTGTTATGCATGAGTTATTAACATGTATAACAGAAATAAGTTTTTAATGTGTTAAATAGACGCAGTCATATATTTTACTATAATTTTAGATTGCAGGGATCTAATATAACACTGAACCTAAATAAAACTCAAAGGTATTTTAATTTATTTACTTGCCCACTACTCACTTGAATATTCCTATTTAAGATTTAAGTACAAATTATTTTGATTAACAAACAAATTAATTTGAATAGATAAAAATTATATTTGACTATTTCATTTTACTTAAATATTATTTTTAAGTTTATTAAATAACTATATGTTTGTTACCATGGATACACATTTAAAAATTGTTTGATCAAATTAGTATATCATGTAGTCATATCCAACCAGTATTCATTTTAAATTATAGATTTTCTTTAAATGTGTGTTTTTTTTAACTCCTTCCGCTAAAATGAAAGTAACATATTGTACAGATGTTGATAGATCAGTTGTACTGAGTAATTTTGAAAAACGAGGTTGGGTTCATGTCGGTCCTGATGATGATTGGAACTTTTACTGGGCTGGTATACAAACATGTCGTAGTCTATTTAGCATTGATAGTGGCTACCGAATGCATGACAATCAAATGATCAACCACTTTCCTAATCATTATGAACTCAGTCGTAAAGATATGCTGGTTAAAAATATAAAACGTTATAGACGCGAACTTGAACGAGAAGGAAGCCCCTTAGCAAAACGTTTAGATGGCAAATATTTATACCTCGATTTTATTCCAGTTACATTTGTATTACCAGCAGATTATAATTTGTTTGTGGAAGAATACCGCAAGGTTGGACCAAGTACATGGATCATGAAACCAGTTGGAAAATCACAAGGAACTGGAATATTCCTCATTAATAAACTATCAAAATTGAAAAAATGGTCTAGAGAGGGTAAAAATAATAATTTCAATACATCTGCAATTAAAGAATCGTATGTTATATCTAGATATATTGATAATCCATTACTAATTGATGGCAAAAAGTTTGATCTACGTTTATATGTTTTGGTCACTTCTTTTCGTCCACTAAAAGCGTATTTGTTTAAGTCAGGTTTTTGTCGCTTTTGTACAGTTAAATATAATGCCAGTGTAGGAGAGATCGAAAACTTATTTGTTCATTTAACTAATGTCTCTTTACAAAAACAAGGTGACGAATACAATAGTATACATGGTGGTAAATTAAGCATTCAAAATTTGAGATTATTTCTAGAAAGCACAAGAGGAAAGACAGTAACTGAAGCTCTTTTTGATAATATAGTTTGGTTGATTGTTCATTCATTAAAGTCAGTTAGTTGTATAATGGCTAATGATAGACATTGTTTTGAATGTTATGGATATGATATTATAATTGATGACAATTTAAAACCTTGGCTGATTGAAGTAAATGCATCTCCTTCATTAACGTCTACTACAGTGAATGATCGAATTTTGAAGTATAAATTGATTGATAATATGTTAAGTGTTGTTTTACCGCCCAGTGGAATCCCTGATGTGCGTTGGAATAAATGCCCTTCTCGAGAAGCAATGGGAAATTTTGAACTATTAATTGATGAAGACTTGACTGCAAAAGATAAGCCTGGGTCATCAACTAAAGTGGATCAAAAGGATAAGTTCAAACGCAAAATCTAAACAAGATTAACTTCATTAAACCATTAGTTAATGTCTGGCAACAAATAATATGTTTCAGAATTATCTGAATAACTAATAACTAATTATACACAATTTTATTGCTTTGTAAATATAATAATTTAGTTTATTATAGAGTTTGATTCTTCTATTTTTTGTTTGTTAGTCATAAAAATGAATATAATTGTAGTCTAAAAATCTTCATGTGTGCTTGAGCTTTTATACCAAAAATATTTAAAAATAATTAGGTACTTTATTTAATTAAATTAACATTAAATTTAAGATGTTTCACATTTATGTTAATACCATGTCCATAGCAACAATTCATAAATAAACAATAAGACAAATGTTAGTACCTATTTATTAATTACCATGGTGTCCAATTTATGGGACAAATAGACAACACAAGCATACAAGAGTTAACTGTTCTATAAAATAAAAATCATAAAAAACTTTTTAGTTATTAATTGTATTTAACTACTTTTGTTTTACCGATAGTTCATGAAATATAATTTTATTTAGGTATAATTGAATTTCATTATATTAATTTAAAATATGATGTTTATCTATTTATTTAGATATGTCATGTCGATCCAGGTTAGCAATTTTAAATGAAAAACTAACCACTCTAGAAAGAAGAATTGAATACTTGGAAGCACGGGTAAGAATTGAGTAATAGGATTTTAGGACTACAGTGAAAAATATTTTTATCAATATTTAAAGATTAGTTAGTTCTAACTATTCTTTACAATAATTACATTTTTTTTTTTTTATTTACTTATTTTTTTTAAGGATTTAATATTTTAAAGTGGTTAACCTTTTAACAAATAGTAAATCTCAATAATAAACTTGATATTGTTATTAACAATAATAATCAATAACCCTTAAATTTAATTTATTTCATTGTAAATGAAGTGTTATTAGTATACTCGTATAATAAATTAATCATATTATTTTGTTTTTTTTTTTTAGGTTACCAAAGGAGAAACCCTTTCATAGTGCATTTTATTACAATTTAATGTATCTATGTAAATAAATAAATAAAATAATTGTATTAGTTTAATTATTTTCCTAAGTAATATGATTTTAATATAAGCCATTTAATAATCATAGACATTGTATTTAATACCTTCTTTTGTGTTATATTTGTTTAAGATATTAATTAACTTTTAATAATTTATTCTCATTGTTAATAAACATTTACGTGATCATATTTTTTTCATTGTATATTGTTCTTAATTTAACTGGAAATGCTTCAAAATAATTACTTGTTTTAACTGTTCTCACTTAAAAATTGTACAATGTTTTTTTAGAATTATGGAGTGATGTTATAAAAGAAAACACTATTGAAATATATTTAATAATTAAAAATATAAATATTGTTGCATATTTTAACACTTATAAAATAACATTGTATACAGTAGAAATCATTACAATGAGTAAAATACTAGGAGGTCCAGGCCCGAGCCTATATGATTGTACATTAACATTACTACTAGTCTAGTTAGAATGAGATAACAGCTACGATAAAAAATAAAACAAACTATACTATGAGTTTCCAGTTCCTACAAGCAAGTGGTGTTTAAATCATTGTTTAAGTCAACATGATTGTTATTTTTATCTTAAGCATTTCTGTTTGGTCTAACAATTTTATCCACAGAGTACCTTCCGAATAAAAATTACGTACAAAACTCGTAAAATTAAAATATCTATAAATTTGACCACGTCAAGAAAAGGAAAAAATAAGTTTTCTCCCCAAATTTAAGTCTACAAATATTTTTTACAGAATTACAATACAAACAAAATTGAAAATAATAAAAGTATTATTTTCGGAAATTTTCCCGTTCTCTTAAGTTTTATCCTGTGTTTTCTTGTTATTATGAATATTGCTCGGAAAATCAAAAAATAACCTTCATAAAGTACCATCTATTCATTTTGAAAATATTTTCTTTCAAAAATGTGCTACACTTACATATTGAAGCAAGATTTTTGGTAGACATTTTTGTCACAGTATATAAAAAAATAAAAAACCGTAAATCCAATCAAATTAATCATTTCCAATTTTGATTCTAGAAATATATTATTTTATTATATCTTTTCAAATTCATTGTTCCCATTTAGTTTTTCATAATTCTATCTCGTCCTTGAGAGAATATTTATTGAAATTTATAAATTAGATGTGTGTCATTCTTGTTTCAATTAAAGTATTAACAAGATCCGGAATTACATTTATGGCATTTGGAACCAGTTGCATTTGTACTTAAGAATTATGTATATTTTGAATAAAAATAAACATCACACGGCTTATGGGGGGGGGGATCGCTCCCACCGTCTTAATTGAATACCCAATTGAACTTAGAAAGGATTACAAGTTTAATATCAGGCAATCTTCCTAGATCATAAGACTTGTGTACAGTCATTAGGAATTTCAAATATAACTGGACGAAAGTGGTTTTCAACAGCCACTGTCATAACTGGAGAGTCAACTATTTAGGTGCAAACAAATGTGTATGGACCCCTCTTTTTTGAATATCATAAAATGAATACCGTTAATGATGGAAGTGGTCAATGGTTTGAAAATAATTGAGAAAAGTGACTAAAATTTACAATTAAATGACTAAAGAGTGACTAAACAGTGAATGGCATACAAAAATAAGTGGCTTACATTAACAAAAATTGCATTTATTTAACATCATTTGTAGTAGTGAGTAATAATTATACTATTATGGTAGGTTAGGATTGGTATAATGGTATGATAGTTTAACAACCAGGTTTTATTAAAGAATTTTAGTAATTTAAAATTATATAACACTTTAAATTTTTATTTCATCATATAGCAAATTATAAAAATATATGATGATAACAAGGTCTCGTCATAAATATCAATATAATAATTATTTTTTATAAAATTGTAAGAGAATACTTAAAAAGTGAATAACTTCCACCCCTGTACCGTACATAAAAAAGATTCAAACCATGGGTGTTTTTACTTCTTAGATAGGATACTCATAGTGGATGTAATGAATTTTAAAAAAAAAACTTAAAATTTAAAAATCATAAATGTACCAAAATTGTCATTAAAAATAGATAATATAATAATAATATAATATGATATAATATGATATGATTATTGATCGAACAAACATAATTTGCAATATTTGCAATATAAAAAAAAAGAAAGGTTTTATACTTTTTCTTCAGATTAAATATTCAATAATGATACCTACTAACTACATTAATTATGTTATGAATATGAAGGTATTACTAAATATTTTGGTGAAAACAATTTACCCTTAACATGTCAATTGCTCTCAAATAATTTTTATTTTTGTCGTTTTTTTTTTTTTATTTTAGCCGCACCGCTGAAAAATGTTTGATTCATAATTGAATATATATAAAAAAATAATGTATATTATATATTATGTTATAATAATATGCTATGGATAATAGGTATGCTACACAGTACATAATGATATATTTTACAGTAAAAAAAGGCAAGAACAGTTATTAGCTAAACAGCATTAATGATATCTATTGTCGATTAGTAGATATCGTCCTCCAGAATCACTGGCACAAGTAAATGGCGAGCTTAGTGCACTGTAGTGTCGCATCGGTATAGGTACCGTACAACAAATAATCAACAGATAGTATCTTTTTTATGTCATTCCGGGCCGAGTAATTTCTCCTTATATATTTTTAATGAACTATTTGAAGTCAAAACGGATCAGGTTTTTACATTTTCATTAAATTAAATTAAACACAAGATAATAATATAATTATTATAAATCAAAGTATTTTGCAAATGAAAGAATAAAATTATTTTTTGAGTGTTGACGGCTATGGGTCCATTGATTTGGTGGGCCCTAGTGCTGTGCACCGCCTGCACTTATGATTTTTACGGCACTTTCCAGAACACATATATCAATATTTATTTTAGCTCTATTGGCTGTGCCTAATAGATGATGGGCAATCTTCCTTCTTTTGTTGGCACTGAGCCACTGAACCATAAAATAATAATCAAGAATAATTATCACGCATTCTTTGTGTTTGATTCTCGGATGCACGTTGGGGATTAGACAAATTTTTGTATTGCCACTCCATGTTAGTTTTCTTTCCTTTCTTTACGTTTTTGGTAAAATGGTACTGTTGGTTTTTTAGGCCCAGGTTATTGACTTCAAAAAGAAAAATGATGAAATTAGAAATCAGTTTGTTAAACTCAGCGTTAGAAGTGTCGTCTAATGCAGTGCTAAGGATAACTTAGAAACGATTGGTGAACGTATCCGTTATCTTTAGATATATTTGAATAAAAAAAAACAATATTTGTTTATCATAATTTTTAATTTTAAAAACAGTAAATAGTTGTATAATTAATTATGGTGAATATTATAATTTAATACATTTTCATATAGAAAACACAGCTCATTTTTTTTGGTTGTGATACCCGTATTTATTATCTTTTCCTAACAATATTGCTTTTTTTTCATATCACCAAACAAATAAACTTTGGGTATTATACAAAAACTAACATTGCTGAAACTCGCTTGTTTGACAAAAAAAAAGCAATGTGGGGCATTTTAAAATATTTTCGTTTTAAATTTTGTTATTTGTATTGAAATTATTGTTTCAACCCAATTGTCACAAATTTAATTCTAAGTTATGCAATTTTGCCATGTTAGCCATTTGTTAGACTGAGACAGTAAATGCGAGTATCAATTCCTCTTAGTTAATAGCCATAATTTCTTTAATAAATATAACAAATATTTAGAAAATTAGTACACATAGATACTACAATTATCGTTATTTATAATTAAAGTAATTGTGTTTTTGAAAATTGTTATTGTAAGCTTTTTGAAATACTTCTAGTATTTTAATATTATAGTAATTACTATTTGTATACTGATGTTGAGTAATTCAGTATTAGTATTAGTTTAAGGTTTCTAATTTATTACAACAAACCTATCTAAATTATGATTAATTATTGAGTAAAGAATGAATAAGGATTAATTTTTTTTTAACATATTTAATAATAAAAAAAAAAAACAAAAAATATATTATGCTCGGGAAAATTAAAAATGTTAAGTTTATTGGGACAAAAAGACAAAAAACTGAAAAATGTGTGAAATGGATATTGCATATTGAGAATTAGTAGACAAAAGTTTATTTTATCTTTATGAAATTAACTTTTTTTTTACTACTTAAATCAGATAAGTTGTTTCTAATTGTATTATACATATAGGTACTTTCCAAGTTTGATATTAGACTTCATAGTGCAACTTTTTGCAATCAAGTCTGTTGACTTATTTATTTTTGGATATTAAGTATAATTACATTTTTTAAATAATAAAGTTAGTTGCATGTTACTAAATGTTGAATATAAGGGGGGAATAATCAAATAAATATCAATTTAATTATATTTAATTGGTAACAAAACAAAATTATACTATTATATATAATATAAAATAAAAATATAATCAAATTAAAATTAGAATGGATATAGTAAGTCATACAAAGAAAAAATAAAATATTTCATAATTGTTATCAAAATTAATATTCTACCATCAGGTATATTTTTAAATGAGCCCCATTACAATATATATTTATAAATGTATATAAAGAGCATTTTTTTTCTACAAATAAAAACCACTATAATTATGTAAATATATGTTGACTTTTAAGTCTAATAATATATTTGAATATATTGTATTTGTTTTTATCTTTTTTTTTAGTGCCTATATTTTAGTTTATTTCACACTTCTATATAGATTATATGAATTAGTGAGTTACTCATTGACTATATTTTATTCATGAAAGTATATAAATTATTTTAAAAAACATCGAACAATAATTTAAAAAAGTAATAGGTATCCATAAAAAACTCACAATTATTTTATTATTCATCACTCTTGAAAAATTAAAATAACTAGCGTAGGGCCACTTTTTCTTTCTAGTTTGATTAATAATTATAAAATTATATTTAATTTCACCCAAAATGTCAACAGTAGAAACATAAACATACCAGGCATTTATCTACAAATAAATTACAAGGTACTACAATACATTTACTGGATAATGCAAAATGCTGAATAGTATCCTATTGGTAAGAATTTTACTGCACGAAAATAGTTATTAAAATATATGTTAAAAACATAGGGATTTCAGATATAAATATGATATAATATACCTTAGTATTTAAACATTCATATTTATTATCATTTGATAATGAAAATAGTTAGAATAATTTAAAATCGGGTTCGTGGTACTGGATTTTTTAAAATGAGAGCACTTTCTGCCGACATAATAGGCAACATGTTTTCACTATGATAATTAACCAAATGACTAACACTTTCAAACATGCGGTCTTTAGTTCTAACTGCACCTTCTGGATCAATTAAAAGTAAATGTTTCTTGACATCTCCTTGAAGACCAGTTAACACATACTGTCCAGGAGATCCTTGAGATTCTCTAACTAGAAAATCACCATCCTAAATAAACAAAAATATTCATAATAAATATGTATGAACAAGTTACAAGAAATAGAATAAATGGATTTTATTGTTTTATTCAGTGGTAGTTGCTGACAATCACATTTGATGTTTGATGAATATTGGTTGCACACTAAGAGCACATTGTATAAGAAAATGTAAATCAATGAATTTTTTCTTAGTACTGTGTTTATATTAAATATAAATATTATATTCATATCAATGGGAATAGATTTTTCTCTAGATATTATATTATTACATTACAGTCTAAATAGTTCATCTTAACTCAAAAAAAAGTTTAGACATATGTTAATTTGTACGGGCGATTTTAATATTCTACTTCATAAATAGAAACATTAAAAATATTATTTAATAGCCTCATTTTTTATTTTTCAGATTAATATAACTTACCTGTTTTAGTAACGCTTCAGCATGTTGTCTTGTGATACTACCATGAAACCAAATTTCATCTTGTAATCTTGAAGCTATTATAGGTGTAGATTCATGATCAACAAAAGGTTCTACTGGTATTTAAATTGATTGAAAAAAAAAAACTGTATTAATTACCTCATATATTATATATATAATTATTAATTTATATTGACATACGCATATCAAATACATCACGTGGTTGCGAATTGTGGTTTTTATTTCCAACTACAAAATCGTTAACATAATTATGAGCAGGATGGGGTGCAGGTGGTGGAGGTGCTTCACAATTTAAATCTATTAAGTTATTTGAAACTAGTCTCTCTAAAATTATAGTTGAATATAATTATTATATAAAAATAAAAATGTATTTATACAAATTTTACCTCTATTACGATGATCATGATATGATGGAAGAGGTGGGACAGGTGGAGGGCCAGATTCTGGAGGAGACTTTCCTGGTAAGTCATTATAATATTCTCGTTCGTCTCGTGTACTCGTGCTTAAAACTGGTGAAGGTTTTGTTAAAAACTGTTTAAAACGCAAATCAAATGCTTGGCCAATAGTTGTTATAACATCTTGTGCTAGTTCACCTTCTCCACATTCTAAAACATAACATGCTCTCCAGTCTTTTATGTCTTTTGCTACAAATGCAACAAAATCAATCGTATCCTGAAATAATTTTTAATTATATAGATGTTATATGTATATAAATAGTGTAGCAATAGCCTAATTGTATTCATAGTTTTCTCACACATGTGTGCATTAATAATTTATCAATTTATTTGTTCGGCGACATACTCATAAATAATTGGGCCTTAGCTTGGTTTTAATGATAATCGAAAACTTTATCTGTAAATTCCACCTAATACTATATAATAGAAAATTAAGATTCTTGGTTAAAAAATGCGATTTATAATAATTTGAACAAAAGGTCCAGGTATATGTTTGAAGGTTCGACAAAAAGACTATAAAATACAATTTTTATCTTTTCAAAAAAATATTCTTTAAGCAATTTTGCTTACTAAATTTGTACGAGATATTTGCATAGGTTTCCACTAGTTATTGTTACAAAAACAATTTTTGGTATCATTTGTGTTCTTAATGTACTTAATTATATTGGCAAGCAAAAATACGGCTAATAGCTGTAATTTGTTTTAAAAAATTGCTGTATTGAGCACCACTTTGAATCGTTTTCCATTAACAATGGTTTGTCGTTATGTACAGGTATAAATCAAATAGTTTTATTTATTCTTAAGTATTTGCTTATTCTTTTATATAGTCATAGCCAGTCTGTGTATGAATATTACAGTTTGATGATTAAAAATAAATAGAGAATAGTTTTGAATGGCAAAAAAATATAAATTTCAATTTTAATTGAATAGGCATGCAATTTTCATTATGATTACATATTTTATCAACATAATATGTATACAACAATATAGGTATTTAATACATAACTGACTATAGGATTTTTATAAATCATAATATTTGATGTGTTTTATTTTGTTATAACCAAAGTTTAGCAATGCAAAATTAAATTCTTGTTACATATATAAGCGTAGACAAAGACAAAATCACAATTTGAAATAATATTAGACAAAAAAATGATTTATTATTTTTTATTGATATTTTAAGATTTATAAATTTTTTACTATTTAAAAAAATATAATTAGGATTTTTTTTAAATACAATATACATTAAAGAAGAAAAAATCACAGTTGGAACAATGTATTTATTTATTTTTGTCCAGACATCAAAAAACATTTTTGAACTTTTTTCCAAATTTTTATAAATGAGACTTTTTAACCATTTACCAGAAATTAATTTTGATGATATTAAAATCAATCACATTGACATTATGACAATAATCTCTAATATTTTTATATTTCAATTTTGAAATAACCAGATGATATTAAATTTTTAAAATGTTGGCCTGTTTCAATTTTTAAAAATACATTTGAAAAAACTTTTAAAATTAGTTTTTGATCTTTAATTTTTAAAACCCAATGAGGTTAATAATTGTTTTTAATGACTAAAACCTAATGATCAAAAAAATAGACAATTTAAGTAATTTAAAATAATATACTTAATATTTTTAACCATACTATTCTTTTTTTTTTATAAATGATAGTCATCAGTCTATAAAAAGGAGAAGTGAAATAAATACATACGAGGAAGCAACTCGGCTCTGTTATGAGACAACCATATGCAACTCAAATATTAATTATGGACACAATTTAAATGTGCTGATATACATATTACGATTTATGAATATGAAATAATTTAAATAATCTTACAACGTCGCCACCAGATGCAAAAGATATTCTAGGCATATCATGTGTAGAAATAATTGCATGGGTATCTCTTAGTTTTAATGTTAAACATGTGCTGGATATAGACAAGGTAACATTTGAACCTGCATGGTCCATAATTGAATGGTCGCCTATAAGTCTTACAATTTTTTTATCTACCTATAAAATATTAAGATTTGCAATTATTAATATATTAAGGTAAAACATTAAAAGATATATCTTTGTATGTTATTCTTTTGGTAATATTTTAAAATTACAAATAATTTACACATATTTTTAATAATTTAGTTTACTTTTCGTTTTTTGTCAGCAGTTTTAAGTCCAGCTGCTTCACAAACTTTATTTATGCATTCTCTAAAGAAAATTATTACAAATTTATTTAAAGTAACTATTTAACAATATCAGCAATGAAAAAAATGTTAAACTTACTTGGCAACTAAAAATCGAGTATCAAAGTCCAAACTTTTCATAGATGTAAGTACTTCTAAACATCCGATATACTGAAATTTGATTATTCAATTATTTTTAAAATTTAACAGTATAAACAAAAACAAATTATTCAAAAAAAATTTACCCGAACTTCATAACAGACACTACTCCGTGTAATAACATTATCTGGATGTAGCCATCCTCTAGCTGGTTTATTCATAAAACTTCCCCATGAATCAGGCATTTTAACTAATAAACTTGATTACCTATTGTATTACTAGAATTATAAATTAAAATGATTTAAACATTGGCAACACATATGAAATGTACATTATAGGTAATGACAATTGTATTAATCATACCTAATACCATTGATCAATGCTATTACCAATAGTTTTACACCATTATAAAAGACATCTGTATTTGGTTATTTTGTTAAAGATATACCGAGGATTTACAAACTAACGCAATGACACATATTTTCTATAACAAAGAAATCGAAAATTTAAATTAAGTAGTAAGTACCTAATATTTCTAACAAAATTTTATCTTGAAATCGAAGTACTCAAGCAGTATTATAGATAAGAATAGTAGCCAATATTATACCACAGAATAGATTAAACCATGACCATGTATTTAGTCATCTAAACACATTTTGTTATCATCTGGAACGTTTTAGTGGAGAGGGTAATTTTAGTGGGGTATTTAATATTTGATCCAATGATCATTTGTTCCACAAAATAATTTTTCTAAACAAGGAAGAAGTGTTTTGTATAACAAATGTTCACTAATCGCAAAACATTATTTGTTCTACGAAACACTTTTTTTTATTTTCTATACGTGGAAGGTGGAACAAAATAGTTATGCCTCAAGGAAAAAAAGTAAATTTGTGGAATATAAGTGTCGGAACAAAAATATTGTGGAACAAACAGTCTAAATTCCGAGTTTTAGTGGGTGAGAGTGTCATTCTACAACCGCGCACCCTATTTTAGCCTAGTAAGAAGACACGGGGTTCCGGAGAATCCGGACCGGCAAGCCGGTCTGGCGTTCCCCTGTGTCGTAAGGAATACTAACACCGAAACACCGCAGAGCTCCGAAATGACAGAGCCTCACGTACCAATGGATTCGGGCCGAGCGCTACCCCCGCCGTTAGTTCGGCCTCAGCCTATCTCTTTGCTTTCCGTTTTTGGTTACGGACAACCTTCGGTGTGATGTGAGCCCGCCGAGAGACTGAGTAGGCACCAGGGAGATACCCCCGTTCACGGCCGGAACCGCTTGCGAGGCCGTTCGACCTAGAGCTTTCCTCGAGTTAGCTTTTGACCCGTAACTACAATATCACTCTAGTGACGGCTACCACGAAACCATTCCGCTGTCGGCAGGAACTCGGCCGAGACCAGAGGCCTGCCGGCGTGACGGGCCGCCGCCCCAATTGCTCGAGGCAGTGTGGGCTTCAGCCATCCCGTAGTACCGGCATTTGTATCGCAGGTAAAATGCTCGACGGGAGTATCGTCAGGCTGTAACCCTCCACTGCCGGTCTACCCGGACAGGGGAGCGCCCCCGAGCTCGGGGTGGGCTCTTTGTGGGACAAACAGTATACAATCATTCCAGTGATTTATATATGATAATTGATTACATTTATCATATCACTACTGTTCTTGATGAATCTCGGAAAAATCTCCAAAGCAATTATACTGTCAAAAAGAATGTGTATAAAAACAAAAAAATTGATTATTGCATAATCAGTCAATGCTTAGGCTATTACCATATTAACCTTCAGATAAAAATTTCCGGTACAATTTTTGTAGGTACACAGAATAAAAAAAAGGAATAGAAAAAATAAGCTGTCTTAGAATAATGGAGACAGGTGCAGTCACTGTTGTAGATGAGAGTTGTGAAGGTAGGACATAGTCGGAAATTTAATGTATATCTGTACGCAACAATTAACTATTGCTAACAAAAAACAATTCTGAGCGGAGATCGATTAATAGTGTTGCTTTGTCAACAATTTATATGTATTTCATATAATGGTAAAATAATTAAAAATGCATTTACATTTTCTTTAATAATATTTGTTTAATATTGTAGACATTTTCCATGTTTTGGAAAAACTCTTGGGAAAATCAAAAAATAACCTCCCTAAAGTATTACCCCAGACACTTTTCTTACAGAAAAAGTGCTGCTACACTAGGAGCAAGATTTCTAGTAAAAAGTTTTCAGACAAAAATAAATAGATGTATATATATATACATCATTGTAAAACCAATTCATTCCTCATTCAATCAGAATTTAAAATAAATATAAACACTCTTTATTTTTTAATTTTATCATTGTTACTTTAGGCACTTATTAAACTAAATTAAACAATCTATTTAATTTTTCGTGTTAAAACATAAGTAAACTAAATATCTAAAAATGTTTACATTTTTTTTTTTGTATATAAGATTATAAATCTAACAATTGTATTTATTTTAAAATATTTCCTCGTAGACTCATGATTCCACTGTATAATTTACTTGTTAACTTTGTTAAAATATTCTTTGGCTAAATTTGGATCAGGCCTAATGGTTGGACTATTTGGCTTCCAGTTCATTGGACAAACTAAAATATAAATTAATATTGCATTAGCAAATTGTATTTAATTCAATCGTGATTTTATACAATTTTATTTTTACCTTCTCCATTTTTATCAACAAACTGGAAAGCTTGAACAAGTCGTAGCACTTCATCCACAGAGCGTCCTACTGGTAGATCATTTATGGTAATCTGTCTTACTATTCCCTAAAAACAAATGATTAAAACATTAAAATTCCCATACAAAGAAAAGTTATATCATTTACTTTTGGATCTATAATAAAAAGTCCGCGGAGTGGTATACCATCAGGTTCAATAAGAACATCATAAGCTTTGGCTATTTTTTTATCATAATCAGACAATAGTGGATATGCTAATCCACCCAAACCACCATGCTATATAAATGCATTTAAAATTAATATAAATAAACAAATAAGTGAAATATTAATAAAGTTGATATTTCTATTAAGAAGAAATAATACCTGCACGCGCTCTCTCACTCAAACTAATGGATGATATAGCAAAATCTTCCTTACACAGTCTGCCTAAAACTTGCTTAATTTTGGTTTTAGAGTAAAAGCGCCTATTATAAAATCAAAAGAGGACAATATTCTAGAGGGCAAGATGATGAATTTCTTTTTTTAAATTTTATTTGTATTGTTACAGAAAAAAAAAAAAGAGATGAATTAGGTTTTATTCTTAAATGATGTATTGAACATTATAACTGGAGTAATAATTAGAATAATAGGAAAATGCATAATTTTGCCTCCGAAATTTTATCTTCTTTTAATTTTATTACAGGTTCTTTTACTCTAAAACCAAAATTAAGAGAGTTTTAAGCAGACTGTGTAAGGCAGATTTTGCTGTATCGTCTGTTAGTTGGGCTGAGACAGCACATGTGGGTATAGTGTCTTCTTAATTATTTATAAATGCAAAAAATATGAACCTTTCGAGGTGTGTTGATAAATGCTAAATGTGAAAAATGTGAATCACATGAACAGCCAATTACATTTACATCAATCTCTTTAAATGCATTAATGTGATCACTAAATGATACCAGTTCAGTAGGACAAACAAATGTACTGCAATCAAATTTGAATAACTATTAGTTTTTCATTAGTACATTATTAAATTAATTATATAATAAACAAACTTACAAATCTAATGGATAAAAAAATAAAACCAAGTACTTTCCGGCAAAATCTGCTAAACTGATATTTTTTATTTGCCCATCAACAATAGCTTTACCCTCAAATGTTGGTGCTTGTTCTTGAACCTTAACATTTTTAACTGCAGATAAAGCTAAGAAACAATAAAATATTATTATATTACCTAAAATATATTGTTACATTAAATTTGTAGACCACAATTGTAATATATATTTATTTTGTTATGGTTAACAGACAAAACAAAATTGGACTATATTAATTATAATGGTGGTAAAAATTAAAAATAAGCCATAATATACAATATAAAATGTATTTTTTATATTTCAATATTTTTAAAAATTATGTTAAATAAAAATTTTTTAATTTTCATAATTAACATATCTACTTAAAATTTCAAAATTTTTGTTCTTTTTTTCCGTATTGTTTTTTGTTTTCATCGCTTACCATATTTAAGTAATGGAAATATATATAAGTTTTAAGATATTACTAGTAGTGCAGCACAAAAGGGGAGTATAGCAATATTGACTCATTTATATTTTACATGCTATTGTGTAACTCATAAGTACTTACAAAATGATCGGGCAACTGAATTAGTGATTGCATTAGAATTATACTTAGGAATGTTCTGGATATGAGTTTGTGGTAAACGAATCTGAAACATAAATTCAGATAAAAAAGGGAAATTACACATTTTTATTTTTAAACTGTGAGCTTAATTTTAAGAACTAATGATAAAGGTAACATTGAAATTAAAAATATGAAAGAATTGAAAACTTTTATTTCAATACATTTTCTTTGCTACTTATGTGAAATTGCTGTAGTTTTTAAAACTGAAATTCATACTAAGATAAATAATATCATCAAATATAATTTATTATTTATGTATACATATATAAATAGATTACAGAACAGGAAACATTCTTCCTTAAAATGGTGAACAAATGTGGTATTTAAAGGGCTGATTTTTTTTTTAGTTATGGTAAGGAAAGAGGATAAGTAGAACAGAATTGTCTTGGTTTAGGTGAGTAGGTAACTCAAATAAACTTAGACCAAAATTATGGTTGGCTATAAGTTTAAAATACAATGATATAATTGGTGAGAACTAGCATGTAAAGTAGAAGTTCCAAGGTTTATTTTAATTATTCTTTATCAAAACCAAATAATGTTTAAAATACAGAAAAAAGAATCTTTAAGTAGGACTGCACATGCTATGAACTCATTATATGTCATAAATTGTATTGCAACAAATAATACAATTTTATTAAGTGATTGTTTATAAGTTATAACACAAAATATGTGAACATTTTTTTAACAATAGATTAAAAATTATAAATATGTATATGGCTAAATAAGTACGCACTATATTCTAAGACATACCACAGTACCTAAAAATAAAATTAATGGTAATTCAAAATTATGCCTTACCGATAAAATAGAAGAGGTAAATTTTCTAAACATTTTGTTAAGTAATATTAATAAAAATTAAAAAAAGTACAATTAACTTAAAAACTGAAGGGTAGTAGATATTAATTTGATTATTAAAAAATAATATATATTACATAACAAAATGAAACATGATCTTAAGCTAAACAACAAATTGTACATTATAATTGATTATACAATAAATGATAATACAAAAAGGAAAAGAATCGCATGCCTAAAAAGCTCTGAAGTAACCATAATGATAGCACTATTGTTCCATTTGGTTACTTATCTATATCATTAATTTTTAATGATAATATCACTATTCGTGATTAAAAGCAAATGTTAAATTAATTTTGAAGTCAATCATTGAGTTGACAGCACGGACTCGGATATATCTAATTAATATCTTAGTATATTTTAGTCCGAAGTTGACAGACATAATTAATTGATTATGTAGAGGATTTTTAAAAGGCTGTTTACTACTCTGAGTGTACTAATAGAAAACAAATTTAAATAACAGTAATATCATATTTATCTATTCAATAAGAATAGTTAGGTACATATTTTAGTCACCAGAAAGTACCGATGTTCCGCTAGCAATATTTGATAAGAGAGTCCAGCGGTTCCCAAAATGCGTAAAATTCGATATAAAGGCGTTACATAAGCAATAAATACACAGAAATGGACGATATGCAGTGATTTTGAAGGCGCTTAAAAAATTTAAATTACTTCATACATATTTGTCGCAGTAAACCGAAAAAGTCGGATTAAAAATAGAAGGAAATTCAGGGCACCCCGTTTTTTTTCTTTAAAATAAAGATAGAGAAGAGTACTTTACGACTGTGTGGTCGTTTAGGCTTAGGTTCCGAACGACTAGGTTCCGGCGCATTTCGCTCCGGAAACACTCCTTTTACAGCTCCATTTCCCGGATTAAAGGGTAAAGGCTATTTATAAATAGTAGGAAGTTACATGTTTAAATAGCTTAATTTTCAAACCGACATAAGTGGGAAAAAAAGTAAGAAAAAGTACAATTTCACGATTTCATTATTTTATAAAAACACGGACGACGTTTTCTATCAGAAAAAAATGATTTATTCGAAAAATCACAAAACACCTTTTTTGTTGCCTTTTTGATTTAATTTCTCACGATATCATTTCTAAAACTTTAGAGCCACTTTCAAGGTTTTAAGGAATTTTAATTTTTGGTAATTAATTTTTTTAATATTTTTAACATAATTAATTATTTTTTTAATTTTGAACAATTTTTATCAATATAATTTGTCAAATATATTTTTAGAATATTAATATAAAATTCTTAAAATCAGCATTATGCCTAATATCACTATATTAACGTATTATTATTTAATCTTATTTAATCATATTTAACTATATTTGGACAATCATCATTATTTTATCGTTATTTACATACTTCGATCGATGGGTGGACCACTGTTGTAGGTGAGAAGTTAGGAAGTTAGAGGGGAAATTTAATGTATACCAATACGCAACGATTAACCATTGCTAACGAAAACGATTCTGAGCGGAATTCTGTTAATAGTGTTGCTCTGTCAAAAATATATATGTCATATTATGGTAAAATATTTACATACCTATACATTATATATTTTCTTTAATAATATTTGTTTAATATTGTACCTATTTTCCCATTTTTCCGATTAATTAATATGTTTCGCTCATCTATATATTTTAGGATAGCTACCACTGACACACTACAATTTGTAGGTTGCATATTGCATATATTTGTAAAGGGTTAGCTCACATTACAATGTATGAAGAAATATCTCTGCTTTGGAAACTTGTATGGCTAAGGTTTTTTAATACATTATTAATAACTGCTAATAAGTAATATTAAAAAAAATAATAATAATAATAATAAAAGTTAAAAATTGTTGATCAAATTAATTCGGTAGCAAAAGAGTTACATAATATATAAAGTTCTATGCTTGCATTGATTTTAATCAGGTTAAAGCGATAAGTTAAATTTAAACATTATTTTTGAAGTTTTTTTAAGTAATATGCTTATAACTTTTATAAACACTAACGAAGGGACAAAATACACTAATGGGCACTAAAAAAGTACAAACGAATGTCTCAGGTCCTTAGGACCTTTAATTTAAAATTGTGGGGGACATGGACTTATAGGTACTAGTATTCTAAAAAAAAAAATGTCCATAATAAACAATATTTAGTTTTATTTATCAATATTTTTGTGTAATTGTAGTTGGAATGAAATATAAGAAAAAACAAAAATTAAAAACTAGTTTAAATTAATACATACAGAATATAGATAGATGAATACACCGTATACGTAGGTACATTTATAAATAGAAAATATGTAACATAAAATTCAAACTCTGTAGTTTGTAGGTATGTATATAATATGTACCATACAGACTAAAAATGTATTTAAAATTGAATATAATTTCTTAAATTTAATTTCGCCTTTTAATTTCTACCAATGCCATCAAATAATTATTGATATCTATGATTTCATCTGCTATACGGGCTAAATCAACTGGTTCCGATTTCTCTTGAGCACTGTGTGTAGAAACCCCGTGGAATCGCACGTCTTTGAGGAATTTTCTTATTTGATCAATTGTTTCTCTTGATACGTTAAATCGAATAATGCTCTCGAAATACTCAAATCTTGCAAAATTTAATATCTTGTTAGCGTCAGTAATTGTATTTTGATCAAGCATCAACGGTTCAGAACTAGTATACAATTCCCATATGGTTTGGAAAACTGTGAATAGGTCTCTGAGGTATAGAAAATAATCAACAACATGTGATAACAACGAAAACGGAATAGACCCAATTATATTTTTTTTTATAACAAAGCTATAAGATTCTACTACCGATTGGTGGTAAGATTCTAAAGCGTCAGTTAGTATATAAAGTACTCTATAAAACAATACTTTTGTCACATATTCGTCAATTGAATTACTTACAGTACGATAAAATTCATCGATTTTACTAAATTCAAGTGCATTATATTTCTGGTGCATTATTTCTATCAATGGAACCCGCTGTATGAAACAATCAAAATAACATTATATTACAACTAGATAAGTAAAAATATGGGTTAAATTTTTCTTTATAAACTATGACTAATATAGTATCCATATACGATTAACAAAATGATAGTTAAAAAAATGTATAGATTATGTAAAAAAAAAATTAGTAAAGTTACCATTTTTGAATTATTTATATTTTCATCATTAACCATCTTAATTTTAAACTGCATTATTTGGTTATTGACTTTATTTTTCTGTAATAATAATTTTAAAAAGTGTTAAAAAAATATTCACTTTTATGTATAGCATTGTATACTTGCAGATACTAGTATGGTACCATATATACTTTACATTGGAAGATAAGTATGCACTGTATACTTAGGTATATAATTATATAATTGTATACTAATAAGTAGACAACAGTTTGTAACGTGAAACATTATATTATTCAAATAATTATTTATTTATTTACAGGTTAAACATTTATTATTATAAAAATAAGTAATGTTTGTTTTTAACATTTGAGTTAAAAAAAGTTTGTGGGTATATTTATAATAAATTTTAGTTTTCAAATTAATTTTTATCTCAAACTATACAGAGTGATCAATTTATTATGAGACACTCATTATCTCGGAAAGTATACACTTTTTTGGATTTTTTTTTTTGAAAACTCAAGAAACAAATAGTTCTGAAATTTTTTTTGTCAACCTTATTTTGGGGGTGAAATTAATACCTAATTTTGATTTCCAAATGATAACCTACATACAAAATTCCATAAATAAATGTAGTATTAGTTAAAATAAATTTCGGTGTTGAAATTTTGATTTTCGTCAATCCTTTGATGAGATATTCGACTTTTAAGTTTAGGCCGGGGGAGAGTAGTGGATCATCGTTTGAGTAGCGGCTTCGGCGCGCGGTGTTTTAATAATGCTCCACTACTCTCCCCCGTCCCAAATTTAAAATTGAAACATCTCGTCAACGGATTGACAGAAATCAAAAATTGTTTGAGTCCTAAAATTCTTACTAAAAAGACAGCAAAAAAAAAAAAAATAAATAAATAAAAGGAATGTACAAATTATTTTAGATGTGTATAAATCGAAAAACTTTTGTGCTACACATTTTTCTCTATTTTGAATATTTACATGGTAAAATGGCTGTAACATAAATTTTAAATCAACCTGTATATCTGTAAAACTATAATAATTAGGTATTTACAATATTTGGATAGGAAAAAACCACAACGATAATAATATGTGTAGAAAAACAACTTTACCATTGAGTGCAATTGATCGCTATTGAAATTATTTCGTAGATGAGCCATAACTTGATCTACCGGAAATACGGTCTCGTGTGTGACAGTTAAACTTTTTACTGTATCCGTAGGCTATAGGAACATTATATAAACTTAAAATACCAATTAATATACCAAGAGATACATGTATTATAATATTATAATTTTACCATCGGGTACGCGGACGACACGCTCGTCGCGCGAACGGGGCTCTGGCTACGGCGACGGCCACATTCGGGAATGGGGGTCACGACTTGCCGTTACAAGACCCAGGCCGTGGTGTTTAAGGTCGGGTATAGCCCGACTGACCTGAGGTTACTCATTCAGGGTCAGACCGTTGAGCTGTGCGACACTCTGAAGTATTCGAGCGTCGTGCACATGATTAAGAGGACGTGGTACGACTCACACCATCTAACCATGGCCAATAAGACCAGGTAGGTCAAGACGAATTTGACTGGAATAATGTCGAACGTCGGTGACCCAATGAGATCAGAAGGCGTCTGTTGACGAGCGCTGTGCATTCAGTTATGCGCTTAATATGCGAAGATCGATAGGGCTCTCGCGCTAGCGGGGGTCCAGTGTAGGGCTGAAATTAGCAAAGTCAAAAGCAACAGTACCTTATCTAAAGAGACCGGGAAGGTTGCCGAATGCACGACCTATAGACCTAATGGCTCGCAAGTATCGTTCGAAGCCAGATGAGCGTCCAGACCGATCAGGACTGACGATAGAGGAACCCCCCAGCTGAGAACTATGGCAATGGTAGCACCTGAAGCATATTACAGACTAGAGCCTTGATATGATAGGTCCGGAGGCTTAGGGGGTACGTTGTAAACCACGAACAGCGGACGCGAGTAGATTAGGGCTCTGATTCACACGGAACTACTGAGCTGTTGAGTGAGAACTCACAGTGAAATATTCTTTCATTAATATTTCAACGGTTTACTCCATAGTATCGGCTGCACCCATTGGCCGGGTCCTGTCACTGTGAACTACTCGATGGTTATGCTGAGGAGGACGACGCATTCCACACTCTCGTTCGCTGCGAACCGATCGATATTGAACCATATAATTGGAACTTTCAACCCGGGTAGATGCTTAAACCTTTAATGCTGGAAAACATGGGAAACAGGAGAGCGGTGGTCCGTTTCCGGAGAGATGTAATGAACTATAAGGAGGAAGCTGAGCGTCAAAACTAATGCCGATAAGGGGTAACTCCGTTCTGACGGGTAACTTCTTGAAGGAAAGCAACTGGGAGAAGGCGGGTTATCGTTTAGGTTGGGGAAAAATGTATTGTGAAGAATTGTCATAATGGGATAATGCCTTTGACACCCCAACCCAAAAATATGTATTTCTCAATATAATGATGGTGACTCACTACTTGACGTACCACTCAACAGCAATTCTAAGTGTAGGTGTATTGCCGGATAAAAAAAAAAAATATGTGTAGTGCCGATTTAAGAAGGATGGTAAAATCAGAATTGAGTTGACTGACTAAGTTTCGAAATTATAAATTTTTGAAGTTAAAATATTATACAGATATTATGTTATATTAAATAACTCTATATTGTCTAGTCAATTATACGTTTGTTGTAGTCAAATGGTCATGATCACGTATTATCATACTAGGGGTCACGGGTTCTCTAAGTCCGGGTTTGAAAAGTAATTGTTTGCACTTTTTTTTCCTTATACCTAAATAGGAAAAAAACAAATGCATTTTATGTGTACCTAGAGACCTAGATATTGCTCGCTCGGACGATTTTAATTGAAAAATACCCCTCAATTTGTTGTGAAAACTTGTCTACCTTAAATCTTACTCTCGTATATCAAGTGAAGCTTTTTTCTGAAAGGACATTTTATCACAATAGTTTAAGCTGATCATTTTCGTGATTTTTCAATTGGTTTTCATAATAACTGGGAAAAACCGGGATAAAATGTCGGAAAAACGGAGATTTGTACGAAATGTAGATATTAATAAAAAAATATTATGGTCTTTTTTATTCCTGTATACAATTTGATTTTTCAAATTGAATAAGAAAAATCTTGAAAAAATCGAAAAATGAACTAAAGTGCCTTCCCACACCGATTTCCTTTTAGAAAAAGTGCCATACTTAAAACACTTAAAAATCTAAGTAATTCTTTTGGTATAAAAGTGGCAAATTTAGCTAAGAACAAAACTATAATGATTATAATGTATGTATAAAAATAAATTTACCATTGGGCGTAATTGATCTTGCGGGGACTCGGTCTTGTGTGTGACGGTTGAACTTTCTGCCATACCTGTAGTCTAGGAATATTAACATTTTTCAGACGCATATTAATTATTAAATTTAAGATTTAAATATTAAAAAACAGAATTCAATACGGCCTATAGGAAAACTTTCTCTTTCCGCAATAAAAAAAATAATCATCGAAATCAGATTAATCTACAATGCGTGAGAGTATTCCCTATAAGACATATTTTTGAGCTAAAAAATGCAATGGTATTGGGCCTTTTGATAACACAAGCTATTTTCATGTTAATACTGGTGTATCTTTTTTTATATTTTCAATATTGAACCAATAGTTAAGCATTTTGACTTAGTAGCTAGTATAGTTACTTAAAATGTATATTCTTTTTCTTCTATAACTCTTACACCTTAACTTCAAATTCGAATAAAGACAAATCTAACATCGTTCAGTATTCTATGTATAGCTAACATAGCCAATAAATGAAAATATTTCCAGAAAGTTATTATAAAAAATATGTCTAATCTACAAATCTTAATTATCTGTGTAAAAAAAATCGTATTAAAATGAATAAATACTAAATACACAGTATACAAAGTATAGTACGTGTTTATTAAAATGTAATAATTAGGTACTTTAAATTTAACTAGAAAAACACTAAAATGATTATAATTTGAGTATAAAAATAAAATTACCGTTGCGTGTATTTTCAGAGGCTCGGGCTGGTGTGTGATGGTTGAACTATCATCTATTCTTGTATCCTAGGAATATTAAAGTTTTTTAAACGTGTATTCTTAATTTTAATTTGATGCAAATATCGAATAACGGATTAGGGTCCTAAACCTCAAGGGCCTTACTGCCCTTCCATAATACTGTCATTTTTTTCATTATTTAACATATTTACATGTTGAAAGAAGCAACAATCCGAAATAATATCTTGTTTCACATTATTACAAGAGGTCATTTTTCTCAAGAGTTTTCTTAGAAAATGTGAAAAACTAAGTAAACACGGGAAAACCAAGAAAAACTTACGAAAACCGGGGAAATCGATACATCATTAAAGAAAATATATTTAATATTAAAAATATTTAATTATTTCATTATAATAATGCATATACAGGGTGTAACTGGAATATTTGACATTGTAGTTGCATGTAAAAATGTCAAATAGTCCTGTTACATCCTGTATATTGTTGACAAAATATTAATATCAACTAAATTCCACTTAGAATCGTTTTTTCGTAAGCAATGTTTTTTATCGTTGTTTACAGGTCTACATTAAATTACCTATAACAGTGGCTACTTCTGTCTTCATTATCCTAAGACGTCTTTTTAAGATTTAAATTTAATTTAGATTAAAATGCAACAAAAAAAGGCTCATTTCGTTTATCTATTGGAGCAATATTTCTGGTAGAAAACATAATAAAAACAATGTAAAGGGAATCACCGCGATACACCGTAAGTATTAGCCGTTTTACCTATAATTTTCTTTCGGGTTTTTTCCAATTATTTCGAAAACCCTTTGGAAAATCAAAAAATCTCTTTAATGATCTAATTAGAGAAAATTACCTTTCAGAAATAGTGGTATAGTATATACTTTGGAGAAAGTTTCCTGGTAGAAAAGTTGTTCACTGACAGAAGAAAAAAAAATATATATATCATAGTATAATTTATATTGTAAAATTGTTACTCAATACTATATTTAATACTGTTCAATACAATTTAAGTTTTTACAGTTGTAACTTGTAATTGATTTTTATCCTCACCAAGCCAAGCATAATATTAATTTGCTTCGTTCACGTTTGTTATTACTCGGAAAACTCAAAATAAGAGCAGATCATTTTGTGCTACTGTTCACAACGATAAATCATTGGCCATTTTTAACGGATATATCTTTTTATACACCAATATAACAAAATTTTCTTTCGAAAATTATCTACGCTTGAAATTTCGGGCAAATGTCTAGTAGAAAACATAATAAAAAATATTGACACTTTTATTGCAGTAAATCTGTCCGTTTTTCTTGTGTGTTTTTCGTTCTAGTTTTCCACAATTATCACAAAAACTACTCGGGAAATCTCCATAATGCACTAACTAGATTTTAAATATATTTTCTAGTCATTTATTGCTGAACCTAGATTTCTTGTAGACAAATTGTTAATAGACGGTAAAAAAATAAAAATAAAAACATACTTACATCAAATCTCTACACTCAGAATATAAAAACATTTAACGACTTTTATAGTCCATTTTTATTGACACAATAAATTAATAATCCTCTAAACTAAAGTATTAAGCTATTAGAATATAAATTACAATTTTTTTTAAAAACTTACTTGTTTAGTGTGATCTAGGATATATTGCAACAAATCTCTACATCTTTCACTAAAATCTTCATCTAGCTATTAAAAAAAACAAAAAACAAAACAAAAATCAATCATAACAAACAATTTTTTAAAATACAATATTTTATAATCCAAATTTACAAATTGAGTATAACCACTACTATTTTTGATCCAGCAAAGCATTGCAAATAAAATAGAATAAGAGAAAAATGATATTTGTTTTGTTTTATTTTTCATAGCTGGTGAAACAAATAATACTAAGAATTCTTCATTTGTAGAGATCCCCCATTACCTATGTATTATTTATTAGTATCCACCTAAATATTTATTCATCCTACAAAATACTATTTTTTATATAAGTAGGTAACGTGGAATATTCCAATATTTAAACATCCAAGCTACCTAATAACTATACTTACTAAATTTATAACTGAAATCCAGTTGTAGTTATAAATATACTTCATACCACTATCAGGATCAGAGATGTTTTCAGTATCTGCCACCTAATGCAAAAATAAGAAACTATCAACAATAATAGTATTGTTAATTTTTTAAAACTTAATTTGGTATATATTTGAAACTAAAATTATGGATTCAATACTGTAGTAAAGTATTGATTAGAACAATTAGCTATTCTCACTTTTTCAGTAGGTGTCTATAGGTTCTATATAATGATCTAATCAGTAATTATAATAATGTCTACATTTATAGATTTATGGACACAAACAAAAACAAATTTATCCAAATTAAGTAAATCCATAATTTTTTCTTTACAACTAAATTAAATAAATAAGTCATTTTCACAGTGATAGAAAACTTACACATTTTATAGAAATTAAATCTTAAAAAATAAATACATCATCATGGCATTATATTTAAGTTATTAAGTAATTATATGTTGTAATAAGACGTTGTGTCCGTTTATGGTGAAAAATATAAATAAAATATTTATATAATGTAGTCTGTAGCCACATTTCTTGTATTAAAAATCAAAATATTAAACATAAAATAGAAATGATTATAATAATATATGTACCTACCATTAAGTCTTCCCACGCCAATAAACCTTCAAAGTTACCAATTTTTGTTAATATTATTGGAGTGTCTATTAATTTAGTCCATATCCATGAATTGGCATTTATCCACAATGAAGAAATATCACAAAATGGTTTTGAAAATGCGTTGATTTTTTTTTTCAATTCAGGAAGTAATGTCGTGGTAATGTTTTCAAATGATGTATTCAATGCAATAGTTTTTCCTGTTAATGATTCATCGTAATTTCGGTTTTTAAAATGGATTTCAACAATTTCCTTGAGATTATTTTTATGTACTTCTACTATCATTTTTAATTTAGTGAAAAAGATATAATCAGTTAGTTTATTATTTAGATCTATATTGAAACCGCTGAAAAAACCAAGTACACAAAAAACCATTGAGTCTTCAAACATAATGTGATCTATTATGGGAATTTCATTTTCGGCCTTAAAATACTGAGAAACAAGTTTTATAACTAGAACATTGTATTCATCCAGTAACGCCATTATTTTCTTATCGAACACGCCAAGAATTGTATTTTTATATTCGTTTTCGTAAAAAGAAAGTAATTTATTATAGCAGTTTTTTATGTTTAGATGTTCACATGTTACACCTTTTTCATCAGAACCATTCTCATTTAACGCCTTTCCAATACCAAACGAATCATTTAGACTATCCATTAATCCAACAACCGTATCTATATCAAATACAGTTCCCTTGACATTTACAATAACATAAATCGAAACGAGAATAAAAAAAAATGATTTTAAAATTTTCATATTGACGCGTAAATAGTATGTTGTTTTCACTTATTCACTGTAAACTTTATATTATGTATATTAATGAAAAACTATTATATTAGATATTGTTATAATAAAAAAAGTGAATTATTTTTTATGGTGATACTTTAATATATACCTAAAACATTTTTATTTACACATGTATCGATGAGTACAAACTTCGATAGGTGCAAATGACACCTGCTTAGTGAATAGCAAACATTATGTATGCCTGCAGGTATGTAATACAGATATATCTAACCCGGCGGTTCGGCAACGACGCCGCGCGGCGCTCGGTAGCATTGCCTCTCACTTAGGACGATGGTTCCGGTAAGGAATGTGTGTCGGGCCGGGGGAAGTTATGCTAAAACGGTTCCCCGGGCTCGGTGGTGATTGCAAAAGAGAGAAAGAGTAAAAAAAGGTGTATCATACATATTTTACAAACATATGTACATAAAGATACAACATTTTTTATTTTAATATAATAATGCAAAATAACAAATGTCATTATGCCAAACCACCTCTGTATAAGCCACCTCATGATTCTCTTCTCTACTGATGTCTATCTCAATGACTTTCTTCTTAGTGGGCCTACTTTAGACCTAAAATCTTTTCTCCCTATTATAATTAACTTCTTATCCAATTATCTAGAAACCTTTTTCCCCGATTTCATTATAGTATATAATAATGGTTCAGTATCTTCTCTCTTTGCCGGTTTTTCTTTTTATATTCCTGGTTTTCACACTTTTTTCTAGTAATTTACCACCTGCCATCTCTTCATTCATCACTGAACACTACGTCATAATTGAAGCGCTCACGTTAATCTCCTTCTTTCCGCCAAATACGTTTTTAATCGCATCTAATTATATCCCTTGTCTTCAATCTCGCTCCCCAACTTCGCTCCCCTTTAACTCTCATTAATCTACTCTTGTTCTTTAAATCAAATACATCCTGTTTCAACTTTGTCAAAAAAAATTTTACTATTCAGTTCTTCTGGGTTCTTAGGCTACGTAAATATCCACAGTAACGAGATAGCTGATAGTTTGGCCAAATCCTCCTAGAACTCAATAAGCACTATTTTTTTCTTTGATTCCCTGGTCAGATCTTACACCTATCCTTCGATAGAATGTTCTTACACCTTGATCAATGCATTTGAACATACTACCCATAAACTTTGCCTTAAAATTCAAATCCACAGTCCTTGTCATTCTAAATAATATTTGGTTTAAGAAGCTTAACTTATAATGATCTCAAATTATCAAATTGTATCGATAACGCATAAGCCATCTCCTTCCCTCTCATTCTTATAAGCTCTATCTCAATGATTTATTTTTCTGCAGATTCCATTTAGATGAAAGCATCTAAGACACATCCCATATTCTTTTCAATTTTCCATCTTTATCTGCTTAACGCCTTATTCTATTTAATTCTCATATGTATCTCAACATCTCGACATTCTAAAATCAAATTTCAAGTATGTTATTTTTCTGATTATTTCCTTTATCCATGATGCTTTCTTATTTAAAGGTTTTTAATTATTGTTTACTTCTGTAGCATTGTTTTTTTATCTATGTCTCAACTCTTACATATTTAATCATCGTAATTAATCACCATTAATAGTTTATTTTTAAAGCTCTAATAAATAAATAAAAAAAAAGGTCATATAAGAACTTTTATAATAAGTTTGGAAATTAAGTGCAGAATTACACGATGAAATCTAACGATAAAATTTTCATGATTTCCGCGTAAATATTTTTAAATTATGGAAAGATAAAATAATGCAATCGAAATTTTTGGTTTTGAGCGAAATTCATTTAAATATTTCAGGTTATGAACACGAACATTTTAACTTTTTTTTGTGCGAATACTGACGCATTGTATAGCACCTGCAACGTATAGTCGACTATGTTTTCAGAGTGCAGATATATTTGTTTGCACACAAAGAAATAAAGATTTGTTATTTGAGTAAGATAGAAAAAAGACGGCCATTTTTCATACGATGGGCCACTGTTGAAGGTGAGAAGTTGGGAAGGTAAGATATAGAGTGGAATTAAGTGTATATCTTTATTCAACCATTAATTATTGATAACGAAAAATGATTCTAAGCGAAGTTCATTTTTTGATTTAATCAAAAATATGAAAAACCGAAATAAAAACATGGGAAAACGGGAAAACTTGTACAATATTAAATATTATTAAATTATTATACCATAATACGACATATATATTGTTGACAAAGCATCACTATCAATTGAACTCCGTTCAGAAACGTTTTTTCGTTAGCAATGGTTGTTTACAGATGTACATTAAATTCCCTTCTATATCCTACCTTCTCAACTTCCCACCTATAACAGTTGTTGCACCGTCTTTTTTAATTTTATAACCACAAAGTACGACTTATATAATGAATCTCTTGTTAAAGTTTCAAGTATTTCTGTTTGGTCTAACAATTTTATCCACAGAGTGCATACTGAATAAAAATTAGGTAAAACTAGATAGAATGTTTAAAAAATTTTTACAACGTCCAGAAAAGGTAAATATAAGTTTTCTATCTAAATTTCAAGTCTTTACGAATATTTTTTAACTGAATCATCACAGGAAATATCTAATAATAAATAATATAAATGGTAAAATGTTATGAAGATTTCAGAAGGTGAGTGTTGGGTTTGTTCACCCAACAATCTAAAAACTTCTTCCCAAACTTCTACTGACAAACCATAGAACTTGTCCGTTCACTATTTGATAACCATTAGTTTTGGTTAAATTATCGAGTTAAATCATGATACTATAAAAAAGGCGTCCTAGAAGAATAGGGACTGGTACAGCCAATGTTATGGATAATTTGATGTATACCTGTAAGCAACGATAAACCATTGCTTACGAAAAAACAATTCTGAGCGGAGTTTAGTTGATAGTGATGCTTTTTCAGCTTCATATATGCAATATCATAGTAAAATAATTAAGTAGGCTCTATATATTTCCTTTAAGCATATTTATTTACTGTTGTACTGATTTCCCCGGTTTTCCTAAATTTTTCCCGGTTTTCCTATGTTTTTTTTTAGTTTTTCGTATTTAATGAGAAAACTCCGGTGGAAATCGAAAAACGACCTCATTAAGGTACCTCCTTACACCGATTTTTTCTCAGAAAAGTTGTTAAACTTAAAAATCGAAGCAAGTCCTCTGGTAGAAAATTTAGTACGTAGAGGACTGGAGTAAAAGGGCTGAAGCCCCCTTCATTGATCGTATTTAAATATANAGAGCTGGAAAAAACGTTGGAACCAGTGTATAGGGGTGGGAGGTTAGGTTACCGTGATCACACTCGTTTTAAACAATGGTTTTTTTATTATTACAACTATGGTAGTTGATGTTACTGTGTATACGTTCACTTCTACACAACCTTAGATAATATCTATGATTACAAATTGCAATATTGAACTTACTGAACTGATGTTAACAACAATTAACGCATATTTAAGGTAGCCCACTGATATTTTAGACAATACTAATATAACCTTAAATTAGTGAAAAACAATTAGGTAAGTAACGTAGATAATTTTGTTTTCATTTATTTCTCTAATCAAAGTATCAATATTTTGTACAGGTTTTTCGTCATTGTTTTCATATAAAACGTATTTCATAGTTTTGCACACTAAAATAACTATTTATTTTTTCCGACTTTTATTTTGAAGAAAACAAAATTGTAGGTAAATATGCAATCTACAATTCATAAAATTCTAATTTTGGTTGACCTCTGGCTTTTTAAATCCTATACTAGTTTAAAAATTGTATTTTACTGCCTAAAATTTTCATAATTACCTAAATATTACTTTTTAGATTTTGCGTTTAGCGAAGAATGTGCTGGTTTTACTAATATGTTAATTTTTTTTTTTATGTGAACACTTTTACAACAAGAAATTTTACTCCGATTATCATGTACAGCACCTTTTCTAAAAGGAAATTTTCTCTGGGTGGTACTTTGAAGAGGTCATTTTTTGAAATTCTCATTAATATTTAAGATTATAAGGAAAGCCTGATTCGTTTGGGTTAGATAAGATTGAAAGATTAAAAATAAGGTTTCATCGGCAATCGTTTTTACTTATTTTTTATTATTTTTTAAACAATCATTTTTGTCATAGAAACGCACATTGTAATTATGTTAACATAATATGTATTGTTGACAAAGCAACACTATCAACTGAACTTCACTTAGAATCATTTTTCAGTAGCAATGGTTTATCGTTGCTTACAGATATATATTAAATTCCTATTTAAATCCTACCTTCTTAACTTACCACCTACAACAGTGGCCACGTACGAAATATGTCCGTTCTCTTTTTTATATATTTTTTTGTGTACCTATATTTTATGATTATTATCAGTCAGAACCGAGAATGCTACTATATAAACCTACTATATATCTATCATATCATATGATGAATACATATCATTTTGATATTTCATACTAAGGGCGTTTCTAGGAGCATGCCTAGGGGAGGGTTTTGGGTGTTCTACACCCCCCCCTTGAAATTTTAACGAATTTAATTAAAAAGTATTGCTTAATATTTGTATACTTTTTAAGTTTTGTGTAACAAAAATTTGCCAGAGACCAGAGTTATTTATACAATCCATTATTGATCTATCTAATACTATAGAATAGATAAGATTGACCATCTACCGTGGTCCGTGAAATCGGAAATGTTTATCTTTTAGTATTTATTGTATTACATTATCTAGTACTTTATCGTTAAAAACTATTAAAAACGAGAATTAAGAAAGTTGCACACGGTTCATTTCGATCAAGTTATTGTACAGTGAACAACATCAAAACATTTAAAATTCAATATTGCCACGTAAGTTTTATATTTTGTTTTTTATTGTCTAGTAACTAATATATATATATTATATTTTTTATTTATTAGGATTATAAATAAGAATTCCATTATAATTTGTAGAAATTGAAAAGATTAGGAAAAATAACGGATTTGTTCCAATTAAGAAAAAATAAATTGCCAGAGACAACTGATACTGACAACATAGAAAATATCGAAAGCGTCGAAAATGAAAATTAAGTTTCTATGTCAATAAACTACAATTCTCAAGACATTAATGTATACATAAACTTAAGAGAAAAAAATATTATTTTAAATGATTTTAAACGTGAACAATTACTTATATATCCATGGATGTGTATTTCCAATAAACAATATCATAAACGAAATTTACGTTTTAAAATGGTTAGATGAAACAAATTTCATGGTTGGTATTTTCTGATATAGAAAATGGGACTGTGTGTAAGTTTTGTGTTCTATTTTCTAATTCTGATACTGGTTAAGATAGTCGCGAAAAACAAAAAGTTTTGTCACACAGCCATTTAAAAAATAGAAAAATGCGATAAAGAAATTTAATGCAATATGGCAAATTGCCAATATCATAAACTATCTAAAAAACACGCAGAATATTTTTTGTCAGTAAATTATTGAAAGCGAAAATCTATGATTGAAGTTTTACAAAAAAAAAAAAAAATTGTAAATGTTAAAAATATATTTATCATGGTACCTTACCGTACCGTAATACCTATCGTATTATTAAAATTAATATTTTTTGTTACAATTCACAAAATATTCCAAAATATGCAACAAAAGCTGAATATTCTTTAAATCCATGAAATATTCTCAAAAATGCAAAAACTTGTTCCTTCGAATTCAGAATTGAACTAATCGCCAACATTTCTTATTCTCATAATTCTGCATAAACTCAGTAACAATATATAAAAACATAAAAATCCGATCCTTAGTTATTAAGTCACACCTCTGATTACGAAAATATATACATTACTTATGTGAATGCAGATAATAATGTATTCTGAGCAAATTAAATCTATCAAGTTTAAAATCCAAAAATTCAGGTTTTTGAACTATACGAAATCCGAATTTTTCCCACCACTAACACATATACACACACATACAATTTAAATAAACGTGTCGCGGCTAATTCAGTAGCCCATTATATCTTCCGTGACAATAGAATAAGAAAATTAATAATAACAACAATAAATTAAATTAATTTCAATTAGATTATTTTATTCCAATACAAACCAAATATTCTATCGGTTGAATTACTCTGAAAGAAGTTGATAATATTAATATCCAAATAGTATTGTATGTCATTCTATAAACATTTCATTTCAATCCTTATCAAAACAATACAATTTAATCTATGTATATATTTTCGTAATCAGGGGAGTGATCTTAGTAACATATTAAAAGTTATTATTTTAAATGACCAGAATAGGTCGAGGATTTCATTCAAAAGTGATATATTCTAAAAAAGGTGTTTAACCTGCATTATATATTAAAAATTTCTGATTGTATTTACTCTCAGTGTCACTATAGTGTAGTGATTCCTAACTGGTGGTCCGCTTTCCCATAGATTTTTATTAGAAATTATTAGTATTTTTTTTAAATAGTGAAAAAATTATGGCTTATTGAGGAACCGTATAGTTGTACCTAATGTTTTTTCCACTTCATAAATAATTTTAAAATAATAACCATTACTTTAAATATCGTTTACCTATGAGCAACATTCATTCGAGAATTGAAAAACTGGTCGAAGAAATGCAGTCACAAAAATCACATTAAATAAATTATTTTGTTTAGTATTAAGTATAGTAATACAATTTAACTTAACGTAATATAATAAAAATTAACATTTGTTTGATTGATTTTGGGTATTCTTGTTAAAATTTGTTGTAAAATTGGGGTGGTCCGCGACCTATAATATGTAACCAAAGTGATCAGTAGTGGTAAAGAGGTTTGGAAATACTATTACAGTGTGTGTGAGTGTGTTATCAACTGATGACGTGTCAGGGCGCGTGCCGGTTAACCGGCTATCGATTTTCGTCACGTTCGTCTTGAAATTTTACTCCCAGCACGCACAAAAAAGTTTCACTTCAAAAATTTTGTTTTAATTTTACATTGAATATTTGATATTTTATTTTGTGTACAAATACATATTTTGAGTATTCAAGTTTATGTGATGATGTATGATATATAGTTTGTAGGCATAAGAATTTATAATAATATTAATAACTTATGTGTATCGTACAAAGTATTTAAAAATTTAATATAATATTTCACTAATTTAAATTTGCCTTTTAATTTCTACTAATTTTGATAAAATAGTATTGATTTCTGTTATTTCTTGTGTTGGATTAATCCATTTTGAATCCGATGTGGATGAAATGCTTTTATTTTCATTAAGCTTGTGGAATCGCACATCTTCGAGGTATTTCTTTATTTTATTAACTGTGAACTGCTCTACGTTACAATGAACTACGCTTTGTATATACTCGAATCTAGCAAAGTTTAGTATTCTGTTACCGTCAGGTATTGCATATTGGCCGAGTGTTAACGGTTTAGAGTTGGTGTACAATTCCCACGTAATTTGGAATGCTGTGAATTGGTCTCCGAGATGTAGAAATTCGGTAATCAAATTTTTTAACAGAACAGACTTAGTATCTTTTTGTTCTGTAGTTTGGTTGTGTTTTTTCAAATACAAACTGTACATTTCTAAAGAGTACGCTAGCCTGTCAAGGATTCTGTAAAATAATACTTTTGTCACATACGCGTCTATTGAATGACTTATGGTTAAATGAAATTTCTCAATTTCATCAAATGTTACTGTATCGTATTCATTTTGAAATAATGTTCTCAATGAATTTTTCTGTATTTAAAAATTAATAAAACAAAATGTATTTATAATTAATATGTTTAATAACTAGATAAAAGCCAAATTATGAGTTTCTTAAAAAATGATCTATAAATAAATCCATAAAATTTACTAAATTTAAAAAATTGTTAAGATGATGGATTATGAGGCAACAAAAATAGACTACATGATATCTTCTTCTTTTCCTTCGCTCTAATCTCAGTTATTTAGGGTCAGCCATTCTCGTCCTAAATTCCACATAAGGCGATCTCCCAAATACACTGGATGATCTTAAGTGTCCTCATATCATTCTCAAAGGCATGCAACCACCTCATATTTTGTCTTTTCCTTCCTTCATTTCCTCCTACGTTTACTTTAGATTCTAAGCAGAACGAGGAATATATTGGTTTTACAATGGTATTTTTTTTTTTTTTCTATAAACAACTTTTCTACCAAAAAATTTCCAAGTGTATCTACCGTGAAAGTGTTCTGGTCCTCTCTCACAGAAATAAAAATAAATTAGGTATATTATATAACAATCATAAACTCTACTAGTTTAATTAATTGAGGATAATATAATCAGGGTTGGACAAGTTACTCAATTTATTGTAACCGGCTATAAGTTACAAGTTATTCTAAAAATGTGTAACAAGATACAAGTTACATTTATATAACTAAGTTACATTTAAAGTTAAAAGTTACATTGATAAATAAAATATATTTGTATTAATTTATTTATTATAATTAACAAATTTCCAATGTAGTTATTTTAAAAAAAAGGCAAGATAATAGAGACGGGTACAGCCACTGATGTAGGTGAGAAGTTGGGAAGGTGGGATAAAGACAGGAATTTAATGCATATTTGTAAATAACAATAATATTCTGAGCAGAGTTCAGTTGATAGTGATGCAATATCAATAATATATATGTCATTTTGTAGCAATAAAATAGGCTATATATATTTTCTTTAATAAAATTTGTTTAATATTGTACCAATTTTCCCAGTTTTCCTACTTTTTTCCGGTTTTTCATATTTGAAGAAAATTCTTGGGAAAACCAAAAAATGACCTCTTTAAAGTACCTCCCTAGTGAAATTTCCGAAACATTGCCATCATTAAATATTGGAGTAAAATTGCTGATAGAAAAGTAGTACATAGAAAAAAATAAAGCCATAATATATTTTAACTAATACCTACATTTTTTATATTTTCCCGTTTTTTTTTTTTTTGGTTTTTCAAATTTTCAAATTTTTAGAAAATTCTTGAGAAAATTCGAAAATGATCTCCCTAAATACCTCCCCATGCCGATTTTATTATCAAAAAGTAGAAAAGTTGCGCACATAAAAAAAAAAAAAGAAATAAACATCTTTTTAAAACCAGCTTCTTAATAAGCTTCTTCGCTCCACTCAGAATCTATAAAGTTCCATTCAAAACAACAGATCGATGATCCATTTTAAGAAAAGTAAAATTATTTGAGTTTTAAGGCTTGTCAACAACAAAATCACAAAAAACATAAAAGTATTATTACATAAATAAATCTATTGATCACGTTTCCTATTAATGGATATCATACGAGCATACGGCTGTATATAAAAACCTAGCCATAATATCTGCAATAAGCCAATTATATGCTTTTGATGTAAACCAGTGGGTATATTCTTATTCCACTGAGTTCATTAAATTCTATTTTGAAACTGGGAAAAATGGTCGTCGTCCGGAGAATTATTGATCGACCACAGACGACTGGCAATGTAAAATAACATTATAATAAGGAAAAAAAGGTGTACTAACCATAATCGTATAACCACTGAATATCCAAAAAAACCATAATCGACGACTTAGATAATTTTAAATTTTAAGCTGACATTAAATTGTATGATATATTGTGCACAACTTTTCTACCAGTAATTTTGTTCCGATTTTCAACTATAACACATTTTCTGAAAGGAAATTTGATTGGGGTGGTACTTTAGGGAAGACATTTTTTGATTTTTTACAGATGTTTTCAGAATAAATGGGAAAAAACGTAAGAAAAACGTGAAAATATGTACAATATTGAACAAATATTAATAACAAATTATATTTAATGTATATGTAATTATTTTATCATGACATATTTTTCATTTACAATGGTTAATGGCCCACTCATCGTGTGAAGTATGTCCGTATATTTTTTTTTTTTTGCTTTTGCAGTCTCACTTATGAATTATCAAAGCACATAAAACACAATGTAACTTTTAATTATAATTTATAACTTTCATTACACTTAAAGGAAAATATGAAACTAGTTACAAGTTACAAGTTAAATTAAAAATTAGTAACTTATCACCAGTACAAAAGTGATTTTCTGATCAAATAAAAATAAATGTATAAACATGACAGGTTTTTACGTGGAGGTCTGTATACCTATCTTAGTCTTTACCGATACTAATGACTACGTTAAAAAGTAGACCCACTTAACGAAGTTATAAAATTTAATTTTAGAAATACTAGAAGTTTTTAATATAATATACATCGATTTATTTTAAAATATGTGTGTAACCATTAAATAACATGACTATCAAAGAAAATTAGAAAAGTTACCTCATGAGGTGAAGCCACTTTATCACCCATCTTAATGATTGGAATTGGATTTGATGGATCATTAACTTTTATTTCCTACAACAATAATTTAAAAAAATGTTGAATCAATAGTTAGTTTAATGTGTAAAATTGTATCTACTTACATAGTTATAAATATTTATACCAAAACAACATTTTTCATTGTGAACAATGTTTATTTAATTGTAATGGAATATTTTAAGAACCTAATTCCCAAAAACTAATGTTATCTCCACTTTAAATATTAATTTTTAAAAAAAAGTTTGTATATAAAATATAGATCAGTTTTAGTTTTCAAACAAAATTTTATTACAATTTATATACATAGTTTGAACTAAATAATTATTTTGCCTATCTTTATTAATATTGTCAAATATTTATCGCCATTTCAATTAAGAAATATATATATGTTATATAAATACAATTATAAATCCATAACATTATCATATGTATCTTTAAATTTTGTTTATGTGATTTATAAAAATTTACCATTGACTGAAAATTATACTGTAGTTGATCCATCATATCTTTGACAACTTCTGGAATAGCATTAGTTTCCTAGAAATAATAAATAACTTTGTAGTGCCAATAACCTATAAGCAGTGCCGTGTTGACAAATTTTCCAGCAAATTGAAGGCAGATATTAAATATCACCTTTAAGTACTGTCTACTACCTATTTTTAGTGAATTATCTAATAATAATCACAATTAATATTGTGAACATTTTAGATTCGGAGCAGAGCAAAGAAGCTTATGGTTTTACAAAAATGCTTACCTATTTTTTTTTTCTGCGGACAACTTTTCTACCAAAGAACTTGTTCGGATTTTTACGTGTAGTATCTTTTTTGAAAATAAATCGGTATGGGAAGGTAGGGAGGTCGGTTTTTTCGATTTCCTACTGAGTTTTATCAACAAATGTGAAAAACCAGAAAAAAATGGGAAAACCGAGAAAAACGTAGGAGAAACGGGAAAATCGGTACAGTAAACAAATATTATTAAAGATAATATGTAATGCCTATTTAATTATTTTACCATAATATGACCTAAAATATATTGTTGACAAAGCATCATTATCAATTGACCTCCGTTTAGAATTGTTTTTTCGTTAGCAATGGTTAATCGTTGCTAACAGATATACATTAAATTATCTATAACAGTGGCTGCGCCCGTCCCCATTATCTTAGGACGTCTTTTTTCAATGATTATCATAAAGCATAATTTTAAACCATTTTCACGAGCTTAAAAAATATTATATTTACACATTTTTCTTATCTTGTCTTTAAAGCTGAAAATTTTTATTTAAAGCTATTCTATTTCATGTTGTGTGATACAAGTAACGAGTATACGAGTTCACAAACACGCCTAAAAGAGTCTAAATTAACAGCTTATATTTTTAACTATTCTGTTTTCTTAATAATTTCGTTTATTATATAAAAGTACAAAACAAACAAAGATGTATTCAAATTTTGGTGTTCAAGGCAACTTTCCCCAACTCTCTTACCTCCTCTTGAAACTTTCCGTCTTAATAATGACACTGCCTATAGATTGTATAACATGTCGAATATCGATAGTAAAAAAAACGCCAGATACTGTTGACCAATGTATACTAAATATAGTTAGGAAAGTATAGGATGTATAGAATTATTATTAAATGTCTGTATGTAATGATAAATCATTGCAATTTGATTTACAACTTTGCCTAAAGTTGGGTTAAACATCTTTCGAAATACTAAAATTTTCGTTTAAAATGATAAAGGTTATAGGTTATGTTTTTCCTAATTTTATTATAAGAAAACTACAAAAAATAACCTGTGGTGATCTACTTAAAACATTTTATTTTTACAAAACTTAATAAAGATCTTAACTGAACCAAAACAATTTAACTTGTTCGTCATGATGCTCTAGAGGTCGATTAAGAGAGGAGAAGGGGAATATTAGGTTCTTTTATTTTAAATTATGATTTTGGGGGAGTAGGGAAACCTCAAGGTCGTTAAGTGTGTTAGTAATTGAGAGAAAAAAATCCACAAGTCACGTTTCTTCTTCTCCTCCTGGAGCAAAGTATGATCGAAAATTATACGACATATTTTACGCCTATTTAATTCAGACTTTAACTTTTACATTAATTAATTTTAAAATAATTACCTGTGGACATGAATAGTCTAGAACATATAGAAATAAATCCTTACACCTTTGATTAAAATCTTCTAACAGCTATTTAATAAAAATAAACAAACAATTAATCAATACAAACAATTTTATAAAATAACAATGTTATAATTTTTTTTGTAAATTCGGTGAATAGGGGACCTAGATAGATTTAGATAAGTCTATTTAAAAATAAAAAAATAGAACCTATATTTTACTAAACCGTTATAGGTTTATGTGCATGGTACTACGGGCAATTTACATTCAAATGTGTTCGTAAAAATCTATAGTTTATTTATATAATTTGATTCCTACTTACCACATTTATGCTTGGTGAACTATCGTAGTTATATTTATAATTCACATCAACAAGATCAGTGGAATGTTTTAAATCCACCTAAAGCAAAAACAAGAAGCTATCAATAAAGTTTCAAAATTAAAATTATGGATTCAGTACAGTGAAATGCTGATTAGAATTAAAGTATTCTTACCTTCTCAGATACAATAAACAACAAATGCATTAAAATTAAAAATTAAGTAGGTTTGGATCTTATATAACTTTATAAAACATAAATCCATCGACATGTCAACAAGTTTTAAATAACTATGATTTATAGGTAAATTTTTTTTTAAGAATCAAACATTTAATAAAAAAAGTAAATATGAAATATAAATTATTTATGAAGAATTCAGGTAACCTTTATATCTTGCCATTCCAATAAACTTGGAGAGGTAGCTTGGTTTACATTTTCACCAAATGCTTTACTTAATATCGGAGAAGATTCTAATTTTGTCCACATCCATGAATCTGCTTTCATCCACGGTAAATCAATATCACAAAATGGCTTTGAATACTTGTTTATGGTTTTTTTTAATTTGGTAATTTGATTAGTGATTTCTTTTCGATCTGCTTTTACGATATCTTCACGTACGTTTGCATCTTTCGTATTTAATTCATCCATACGATTATTAAAATGATCTTTCAAAATTGTCTTGATAGGTACATTTTTTTTCTGTTTTATCTGTTTTAATTGAGCGAAGAAGATAAAATCATTCAATTTATCATTTAGATTTACGTTTATAATGCTAAGAAATCCGATTACACAGTACACTCTTGAGTCTTCAAATTGTATGGCTTCTGTTATTTCATCATCAGCTTCATCCATTTCTGTTGGATATTTAGACAAAAGTAACATAACTAAAACGTTGTATTCTTTTAGTAACCTGAGAATTGTATCATTAAATATGTTGCCGATTTTAGGTAATAACTCGTTAGTGTACTTAAACAATAATAGATCATAACATTTTTTTATGTTAAGTTCATTGCATTCCACACCACTTGGAAAAATTGATGATGAATTTTCATTAGGTAACTTTTCTTCAAAGTACATATCAAACATTTCCCCTAAATCATCAACTAATTTAGATACAATATTAATATCAATTTCAGTTCCATCGACAATTGTATTACCATGAATCGTAACAAGAATCAAAATACACGGTATAATAGTATGCATAATGCAAAATGTAAAATTTGGGTGAGTATTACTTTATTTTAACTTTCACTATAACTTTCACTATAAAAATGAATATTAATTAAAAATTATAATTTAAGTTATTGTCACGATAAAACAAACTGAATTATTTCTTATGTAGTTACTTTAATATCTACATTTTTGTTTACATGTACATGGATGAGTCCAAATGTTAATAATGTACAAATAACACCTGTAGAGTTATACTTTTATATGCCTGTAGGTGTTCGTGTCACGTATATACACAAAGATCGAAAGATTTATTACAATTTGTAAAATAATACAATCATTTTTTAAATAAGCAAGGGAAATTTTAAATTTTAAATTAATAAAATATTTTATTTCATATTTTCGGTCTAGGATTGTTAAAATGACACCCTGCAAAAATAAATAAAATGGAACTAGGAGTTCAGAAGGTGGCTTTGTGGCAGTCTAATATTGGCAACAGCCTATACAACTTAAAAACCTGTACATATGTTCAAAACAAAAAATTTAAAAAAAGGACGGACATACATCGCACGTGAGAGCAGCCATTGTTATAGGTGGAAAGTTGGGAAGATAGAATACAGACGGGAATTCAATGTATATTTGTAAACAACGATAAACCATTGCTTACGAAAAAACTATTTTGAGTGAATTTCAATTGATAGTATTGCTTTGTCAACAATACAATATATGGTATATATCATATTATGGTAAAATGATTACAATATGCGTTTCCATGACAACAATAATTGTCTAAAAAAGATCAAAATAATAAAAACTTAAAAATAACAATAAATAAATAAAAGCGGTTGCCAATAACTACATTTTTTTTAATCTTTCAATCTGTTTTAACGACCGAGATTTTCCTCATTATATCGAATTCTAATGATAATTTCAAAAAATGACTTTTCTAAAGTACCACCCAGAGAAAATTTCCCTTTAGAAAAGGTGGTATACTTGATAATCGCAGTATGCTTTTGAGAAAAAGTATTCTCATAAAAAAAAAAAAAATAATAATAATAAATTAACATCATTTCAAAGCGATCTTGTTTCGCTCAGAATCCGAAAACCGTTGAACTTTGAATTAATTGTTTGTGACTGTTATATAAATAACTACGCTAATGTGAATTTTACTTGTACCTAATATTTTAATAATACACTTTCATTGTATTATACTGTATTCGTAGTTGTCGTAACTAGTAAGTTAAAATAACGTATTGATTGTATAATATTTCGTTTCATTTATTAAAAAATATAATAGATAGGTATAATATAATACATATATAAGAAAGTGTATACATAAGTTACAATAAATCTTATATTATGTAGCCCTATATAATTACGTATTGCATACTACAATTCATACATGTAAGCAATATGTGTAGGTAATGGTATTTTTAGTTTGTAATTGTAGGAACCTATAATTTTTTTTTAACTAATAATAATAATATATGTATAATATATTGTATAACATGAATCGTATAAAGTATTTAAAATTGTATTACATTTGGAATTTTCAGTTCAACTAATTTCAACAAATAAATATTGATTTCTGCAAGTTCTTTTGATGGATTGGACCACTGACTGGAAGTATTCGGTTCGTGTAAACCAGAAACCCGGCGGAATCGCACATCTTTTAGAAATGTATTTATTCTTTCAATATTGAATGGCGATACGGTATATTGGATGACGCTACGCAAGTATACAAATCTCGCGAAATTGAACATCCTGTCAACGTCGGGTATTGTATATTTGTCAAGTGTCAAGGGATTACCGCTAGTGTACAATTCCCACGTGGCTTGAAAAAGTGTAAACTGATCTCCGAGATATAGAAATTGGTTAATAATATTTTCTACCAGCAACTCTTCAGTTTCAAATGTGCGCAACATAGTTCTTAAATTGTTCAATTCTGAATTGTACACTTCTAGAACGTACACCAGTATTTCGAGGACTCTATAAAACAATACATTTATTACATATGCGTCCATTGATTTACTTACAGTAAGATAAAAATCCTCGATTTTACTAAACGTAGCTGTATGATATTCTTTTTGAAATAGTGTACTCAATGAATCCCGCTGTTTTAAACAATTAAAATAACATTATACCTAAAGTAACTAAATAAGTAAAAATAAATATTAGTTTTTTTTTTTTTAAAATAAATTATATCAGCCTATAAATTAATCCATACATGATTTACTAAATTCAAAAAATTATGGATTATAACGCAACAAAAATAGATCACATCACAGTAAGAAACTCTAGAAGTTTTATTAAAGATAATACAATCAGTGCTCAAATTAGAGGAGACGCAAAGAAACGGAGGATCTCAACTAATTTTTCAAAAATGTTTGCGTACATAATGTTGTAAAAAATTACAACATTACACTGAATTTTTTTTCGACTAATTTCAACTCATGATAAACCTTGTGTTTATCGTGTACCTTGCGTTAATTTTTGAACATTTTCAATAGGCCAAAATAATTTGAATCATGAAAACCAAATAAAAAATACTCAAAAATTTAAAATTACTATAAATGACTGAAGAATCGCTGGAATGTTTTGAAAATTCTGTCATGTCTGAAAAGAGCTGTATATGTTCATCCTTCATTTTTTTTCACTAATAAACAAAATAGAATAAAACAAAAACCGTTAATGTGTAAATATAAAAAAAAAAATTTTCCTGTTGTTTTCCCTATAATTAAGAATACTACAAAGGAAATAAAAAAATAACCTCCTCATTGTACCAACAAGACAAATATTATTACTAGAAATCATCACTTCTAAAGTTGATGATCGGAGCAAGATCTCTGGTAGAAAATGTGTTTATATACCTAGAAAAAAAATAGCAAAAAACACATATTATAGCAAAATTATAGTAGTGTTATCCTCATAGTAAAATCTAAAATAAATATTATCTATTAAGAAATCAAAAATTTGGTGACTCGTCAAAATATCTCCAGTAAAAATATCTCCGTCGAAATATCTCCAGTAAAAAATGTCTCCGTCGAATTAAAAATAAAAATAAAAATATTTTCTAAAATATTACATCGGTACCATCAGATGTTACGACTTATTTTTTCAGTTATTTTTTAACCGGTTTCTACTATAAACAACTGGGTTATACAATCAAATATATATTTATCTATAGAGATAAGATCTTTCTATCTTTGCCCGCTTACCAAATACAGATAATTTAATTGCAACAGTTTAGACGAGAAAGGTATCATAGCGGTTTGTGTTACGTAAAAATGCCTTTAAAGTTTGTTAAAAGCCAAAAAGGTAAAAAACTTTTAATACACAACGGGTATATATATATATTATAAAAATGGTACCTGATGATCAATTTACTTGGCGTTGTGTCGATTATCAAAAATAAAAATGCAGCTCATGCTTTACATCAACAATGGATGAAACCGGTATGTAAATTACTTTCATTTATTGAACAATATTTCAAATAATTTTAAAGGGTCAGTTATAAAAGAGTCAGTTTATTCACATGAACCAGATATTTCAAATGTCCAGGCAAAAATAGTTATAAAACAATTGAAAGAAAACGTCTTAACCACAGAATTATCAACAAGAAATACTATTAGTAGAACAATTTCAATAACTGAAGCTGGTATGGTTGGCAAGTTACCAAGTATAACTTCGATGTCTCGTACGATTCAAAGAGTGACAATAAAAAACGAAAAACCTCCAGAAAACTCATTGTCTACTCACGATTTGGTCTTATTTGAAGAGTAAGATTCGAATATTTATGAAATTGAATATTTTTTTCTATTTATCCAATTTAATGCTGACCTGGATACAAATTTGATTCAAATTTTACTTAATCGAATAGTATCATTTTTACTTTGCATATTTTTATATATTTTATGGTTTTGTATTTTAAATGCATATTTTGGGATTTTAAAAACATAAATATATATTTCAGTAAAGTTTCGAAATCATTAAAAAAAAACCCATTGTATCACAGTGTAACGATTTTATTGTAAATTAATATAAAATATTAAAAAAAAATAAATAAAAAATAACTACCTACTACAAAGCTCCTAAAAAAAATTAAATACTTAAGATAAAATATATTTTTTGCGCATATTTAGGTGTTTTTCAGCTAAAATTGCATATTTTATGATTATTAGTGCATATTTGGTAATTTTTTAGTGCGTAAATGCATACATATTATAGTTATTTTAGGTGCATAAACATCTGAACCCTACTGATGAGTATAAAAACATAAACGGTAATAATTTTAAATTCTGAGTGGAGCAAAGAAGCATATAGTTTTACAAAGATGTTTATTTTTTTTTTTTTAACTGTTAACAACTTTTCTACTAGAAGACTTACTCGAATTTCTAAGTATAGCATCTTTTGTGAAAGGAAATCGGTGTGGGGAGATCCTTTAGAGAACCATTTATTAGATTTTCAAAACAGAAACAAGCTTTACAAGATGTATTATTTAAATTAAAAATATTTAATAATATAAATTATATTAAAAATTGAATATATTTATGGTGAAGTTAGAAAAATTAATTTCTGGAGAGCCTAGTCCAAAAAGAAAAAGAAAAAATGTAGCTACTTTATACCTATTTCAATATTTACCTATACTAATGATTATTTTTTAGAAGTTTATAATATAATAAACTTAATTATAAATACGAATTAATATGATCATCAATGAAATTAGAAAAGTTACCAATTCCAGATTTTGTAGTGAAGTATCCATCTCATTCATCTCAAAAATTTGAATTGAATCTATTGGACTATCGACTTTATACTCCTATAATAATAATTTAAAAACATTTTAAAACACTAGTCATATTAATGTATATAATTATGCCTACTTAGTATTACTTCAATAGTTATACCAATACAGCGTTTGACAGAATTTGGCAAGTCAACATACTTTACGAAATCAAATTTTTCCTTTTTTGCTCTTTTTTAGCTACTTATTTACTCTTACCTTGAAAATTTTTCCTTAGTCAAAAGTTTTTCCTCCCTTTTTTTTATTCGAGTTGGAGTTCCTAATAGGAGTGACCTCTCCCCCAAAATGTATAACACTTTTACGGCAGATATTCCTCATACCTAGAATTCTTTCCTACCAACCTACACCAGTGACATATCCATTATATCGTCCAATAGTTACTCTACCGATGTATTTGAAGCTTTCAAACACCATCTTGATCCAATTAACAATTGGCTTTCTAATTGGAAAATTAAAACCAATACTGATGAACAATTAATCTTGCGCCATAAGCCTAACAAGGTTCTTCTCCTTGGTAACTAAAACATGCCTTACGTCTCTTGGACGTTGATGAATTTGGTCTTTCTGTCTCTAGTGATCTTACACCAGCTTCCACTCTTATCGTTGACTCTTTCTCCTTCTTCAACTTTATCTAATTTAATTATATCACCAATTGCTCAGGCAGTAATCTTGATCTGGTTTTATTTAATTCCAAAGCACTGTCAGTAGCCAAAATTACCTTGCCTCTAATCAAACCCTTGCGTTCCTCAAGGTGGCCACCTCTGCCCTCTACTTTTCATCCTCTTTGTTAACTCACTTCCTGATTTTCTCTTACATGCTAAGGTATTTCTATTCACCGACGACATAAAACTGTTTCTCAAAGTTAACTCTTTCTCTGACAGCGTTCTCCTCTAACCAGATATCGATACCTTCTCTAACTGATCTAAACAGCTGAACCATTCTCCCAATACCAGCAAATGCCACGCTATGTCCTTTTCTCGCAATCGCACTCCTATCTCTCACGCCTAATCTATCGATAGCTCTCTAGTCGACTACGTCTCAATTATCAAAAACCTTGGCATCTACTACTCTTCTACTCTTTCTTTTGAATTCCATATAAACAATATTATTGGTAGAGCTTTTAAAGTTTTAGGATTTATTAAACATAATACAGTCAACTTCACTTCAATCTCTAGTCTTCGTTTTTTTATTTGTCCTTGGTCCGATCTATTTTAGAGTACAGGGTGATTGCTTGGCACCCCTACCTAAACCGTGATGAACTCCGTATAAAAGGCACCGTGCACTTAGCACCCGTGCGTTTTATGCCCATTACCTTTTTCGTGCGTTTTGCGCCCATTACTTTTTTCGTGCTATTTTCGTCTGTTATAAAAATCTTTACCTGCTTTACCCCCGTTGGTCGGGGGTAGAATAGGCCATCGGTTGTTCCTGCCTGTCGTAAAAAGCGACTAAAAGAGACTTGTAGGGGGGCAGCAGCCTCTACAATACTGGGTGTAGGTGCAGGTAACCATAGAGTTATGGTAGAAATAGCTACACACCGGATAAAAGTCGGCAGATATGGGAGCCGTAAAACTGGCGACTTCACTGCGATGAGGAAGGCAACGGGATACCACCTCATTATTTTCCCTAGTTAAACAACAGTTTTTAGCATCGATTCAACATGGACTTTAGCAGAGTAAAAAATATTTCCGGAGGTAAAATAGTTCCCCAATCGGATCTCCGGGTGGGAACTACCCTGCACGAGGTACAAGTGGTGAATCCCTGTAGAAAGATGAAAAATAAGATGATAGGGACATGGAACATAAGAACAATGCGACGAATAGGCAAGTTGGAAAATATTATAATCGAAATGGAAAGAATGAAATTAGAAATACTAGGTTTATGTGAAACAAGGTGGCCAAACAGCGGAGACTTCTGGTCAGAGAACTATAGAATAATTCATTCTCAAGNAGTTCCCCAATCGGATCTCCGAGTGGGAACTACCCTGCACGAGGTACAAGTGGTGAATCCCTGTAGGAAAATGAAAAATAGGATGATAGGGACATGGAACATAAGAACAATGCGACAAATAGGCAAGTTGGAAGATATTATAATTGAAATAGAAATAATGAAATTAGAAATACTACGTTTATGTGAAACAAGGTGGCCAAACAGCGGAGACTTCTGGTCAGAGAACTATAGAATAATTAAGGAAAAAACGGACAATGCGGAATTGGTGTAGTGCTTCATAAAACCTAGGGAATAAAGGTTACATATTATATCATATATAGCGAAAGAATTATTATGATTCAACTGGAAGCAGAACCAAATGATCTTTTTGTAATTCAAGTATATATGCCTACGTTAAGAGCTGATGATGAAGAAATTGAAGAGGTATATGCTGGTATAGAAGAACTACTAAAACTCACAAAAGGAAAAGATAACGTTATTATAATGGGGGACTGGAATGCTGTTTTAGGTGAAGAAAAAGACGGTAGAGAAGTGGGAAAATATGGACTAGGTCAGAGAAACGCAAGAGGAGACCGATTAGTGGAATTTAGCAGAGAAAACAGTTTCGTGATTACGAATACGCTATTCAAAGAACACAAGAGAAGAAGATACACATGGAAAATACCCGGCGATACAGGAAGATACCAGATTGACTATATACTAGTAAAGAATTGGTTTAAAAACCAAGTCAAATCCTGCAAAACTTATCCTGAAGCAGACTGTGACAGTGACCACCAATTATTGGGTATGAAATTTTGTGTAAAACTAAAAAAAATCGTAACTATAATCTCTAAGAGCTGAAAAACGTGGAAGTAGTTGAAGATCTAAAGAAAAACATAGAAAAAATATACAACAATAAGGATAAGCGAAAAGAACCAATAGACAAAAGATGGGAAAATATAAAAAGCGCTGTAATAAACGCCTCAAGAACCACACTAAGTGTAAAAAGAAAAATACCTAGTCAGGAATGGATCACCCCAAATATCTTAGACCTAATTGAGGAAAGACGAAAATACAAACATCGGACTGACATAGAAGGACAACTAAAATACTGAAGCATAAGAAACCGTATAAACAGAGAATCAGAAAATGCAAAAGAATAATGGCTAGAGCAACAATGTGCTGAAATAAACCATCTTTTTGCAACAAGTAGGCTAGATCAAGCCTATAGAACCATTAAAAGTTTCCTCAAAACAAATAAAACTCGCAATAATAATATTAAAGACAAGAATGGTAAATTGCTCTTGGATACAAGAGGGGTGGTAAACCGATGGANACATTACCAAAAAAGAATAAAGCTGACTCATGTACAGATTTTAGAACTCTGAGCTTACTCCCCCACGCCTCAAAGATACTCATAAAAATTATATATCGAAGGATATTTAATAAAGCCAACCAATATCTTGGAAATGACCAGTATGGATTCAGAAAACAAAAGGGAACTAGAGAGGCAATTTTAGGACTTAGGATCTTAATAGAAAAACAAATATCTCGAAATAAAATAACATGCTTATCATTTATAGATATCGAAAAAGCTTTTGACAACATTGATTGGAAAATTATGTTCTCAATAATGAAGGAAATAAATTTAGATTTTAAAGACAGGAGAATTATATATAACCTCTACAAAAATCAAAGCGCAGAAATTAAAATAAATAATAAGTCAGCTAGTGCGAAAATACGTAGAGGTGTAAGACAAGGGTGTCCACTTTCACCATTATTATTCAACTGCTACATAGAAAAAAGTATTATGGAAGTTAAAGATAAACTTAACAGGCTTGGGATTGGAATCAAAGTGGGTGGTATATTAATTCCAATGATCCGGTTTGCAGACGACATCGTAATACTAGCAGAAACAGAGCACGACCTTCAGAGAGCTCTGGAAGAAATGCAAATAATTATAAATAAGTATCAAATGCGTATAAATTCAAGTAAAACAAAAATTTTAGTTTGTGCTCGTGAACCCACAATTAACGCAAATATTTATTTAGAAAACCAACTTATTTCCCAAGTTTCTAGTTTTTCAAATACTTGGGAAGTCTAATAACATCAGACGGAAGAAGTTCACAGGAAATTAAACAAAGAATCGGGCAAGCAAAAACAACTTTTATCAAGAAAAAGAAAATTTTGGTTTCGAAAAATATTAGCAGAGCAATAAAAAAGACATTTTTAAAAACATTTGTATGGAGTGTCGCTTTATACGGCTGCGAGACATGGGTTATTAATGAAAAGGAAAAAAGATCCCTGGAAGCATTTGAAAAGTGGTGTTGGAGACGAATAGAAAAAATAAACTGGACAGAAAGAGTAACAAATGAAAATGTATTGACCCAAGTTGGAGAAACAAGATCCTTAATTAAAGCCATAAAGTGACGACGATGGGACATGCTGGGACACGGTTTACGTCATGACGAAGAATTGTATCATACTATAATAGAAGGTGCAATTGAAGGACGCAAACCACCAGGAAGACCAAGAAACTCGTACATATCTCAACTGAAAAATGACGTAGGGCTTGATACATACGCCGGATTAAAAAGACTTGCTGAAGATCGTGATAAGTGGAGAGCGAAGTTAAAAACGTTGTAAACCAACCTAATATAGGTTGGAAAAAAAAAACCTGCTGAATATAAGATAGACTATTCGAACAAAATTTAAAATTATATAAAATTAATATTATATAATTTAATCGTATAAAATAGTCAAATTATAGTTCTGATTCAGATTTCTGAAAAAATTATAACTGATAAGTATAATAGTTATACAAATTATATTTCACATCATTTTATACGTATGGATTTTCCATCATAATTATTACCTTATTAATCGATATAGACTTCGGATAACTAATAGACGTATTATTATTATCGATTAAATATTCACTGTTTAGTAGTGTTTTGACTTTAGTTGCGTTATGTTCGGATTTTCAAATATACCAAGTAGACTATAATAATTTTGACAATTTTATACGATTATATAATCATTATTATATTACATTAATTTTATATAATTTTAAATTTTGAGCGATTAGTCCACCTTACATAATTCCAGCAGGTAAAGATTTCGATAACGGGCGCAAAATGCACGAGCGCCACCATATAGAAAGAGTCCAAAACAGGTTTTTATCAAATGCTGCTTACCTTTTAAAAATTGATCGTCCCCAGCATGAATACTCTCTTATTCGTTCTACCCTTCAACTTCCATCCTTAGCCTCTCGCCATATCGACACCGACAATTCTTTCATGAAATCTCTTCTTAATGGCTCCATTGACTCACTTAACCTCCTTGTCCCTTTTATACTCAATAAAAAGAATATGCCCATTCTTCAGAAGGCCGTCTTTTAACAAATTAACAAATTAAAATATCTTGACATTACTCGTTATAATAGATTAACTTGAGGTCCTCATAAAAAAACCAAAAAAGGAAAACATTAAATACTAAAACATTCCATACTTAAACCCGAACTTTCACTTCAATACAAACTCCTTATTTATACATCAATGGTAATGGTCCTCCGTTTAAATACAACCGTTCCTTAGTTTGTTTCTATTCGCAATCTTCATGAAGACTCACCATACAATGTTTCATTCAAGATTACTCCATCACTCTAATTCACTGATCTACACTAATACACGACCACTATTCCAGGTAATCAACTTGTCGCCTTAGTGTCTTGAACTTTTAGTTTGAAAAGTCATCGCTACCTTGGGTTCTAGCTTGTAAACTCTCTCTTTAGCATCCCTAATCATATAGTCGTCTATGTCTTTCTCATTCTTTGTTCTTATTAACTTATTGTATTAATTATACAGAATCTAAATGTTATTTTAGTAAAAAAAAAATTACCATTGTACTAAAGTTATATTGTAATCGACGCATTATATTTTGGATATCTTCTGGAATATTTTCATCAGTAATCTAAGAATAATATACAACTTTGTAATGCTAATTAATATAACCTATTATAGGCAGTTCCATGTCAACAAATTTTCAATCGAAGGCAGATATGTAATGCCACCTTTGATAAATGTCAAGTGTCAACCACCTATTTCCAAACAATTAAGTAATAATGATCATAACACACATTTTTGTAATATTTTTTATAATTTAATATTTTCCACAATATTTAATTTAAAATTATTAAGTATAAGTAAAGAAATATTTTTTTTTGTAATTTTAGATTTTAAGTTGAGCGAAAAACCTTATGAATTTACAAAGATGTTTATTTTTTTTTTTTGTGGATAATGTTTCTACCAAAGATTTTGCTCCAGTTTTTAAGTGTAGCAAAATTTCTAAAAGGTAATTTGACTGAAGAGGTACTTTTTGAAGAGGTCATTTTTCGATTTTCTCATTAAATTGGAAAAACCGAAAAAAAATCTAAGGAAAAACGGAAAAATGTAATAAATGTAGGTATTAGTTAAAAATATTACGGCCTTCTTTTTTTCTGTGAACAACTTTTCTATCAGCAATTTTGATCCGATTTACAATTATAGCACCTTTTCTATAAGAAAATCTGACAGGGAAGGTATTTTGACGATACCATTTTTCGATTTTCTCAAGATTTTTCTTAGCAAATGTGATAATCCGGGAAAAAAACACAGGAAAAACACAAGAAATTGTGTTTTTTTCTATTAAAGAAAAATTCTATTATCCTAAAGACCGAAGTTTTTCTCATTTTTTCTATTATTAATGAAAATTTAAAAAATGACCTTTCTAAAATACCACCCAGAGAAAATTTTCTTTCAGAAAAGGTGCTATACTTGATAATCGGATTATGTTTTCTAGTAGAAAAATTGTTTACATAAAAAAAAAAATCATTATAGAACCAAAAAAATAAACATCTTTGAAAAACCAAAACATTCTTCATTACACTTAGAATCTAAAATAATAATTACTATTTTCGTGGATTTCCCCATTTTTCTACGTTTTTTTTCGGTTTTGCTAAATTAAAAAAACAATTTTCTTACTTATTAACTAGATTATAAATGCAACAACAATGAACCCTTTGTCAGATTTTTTATTAGAGCAATATTTTTGGTAGAAAATAAAGAAATCTTAACATTGTAAATTTGTTAGTTTTCATTTTTTTTTTTTTCCCAATACCTATAATGAAAATAAAAAAACGACTTTCTTCTTGAGAAACTAGATCCAAAATTCGACAAAAACTTCTTTTATCATTTTTGATTGAAAAAATATTGCTAATAGAAAACATAAGTTACAAAAATGTAAAACTATGAACTTGTTACGTTGTAAATATTTGTCCGTTTTTCCCTACTTTTTTCCTTCATTTTCAATCCAATCATTATGAAAACTACTTAGAAAATCAAATAATAACCCATTCATAGTACCAATTAGAAAAAATTTCCCTTCTGAAAAGGTGCTAAACTTGATACATCGTGGAGCAAGATTTCTGTTAAAAATTGTGTACACAATATAAAAAAAAAATATAAATAAACATTGTACAACCAACATATTCTTCACTTCGCTTAGAATCTAAAATAGATTGAAAATAAAGATAACATAAGGCGGTTAAGTATGTTAATCATTCAGAGAAAAAAAGCCCGTAAGGGGACAACCACATTCATCTAACCCCTATATAGTAATATTGAATAATATACGACTTATTGTAGGCTCATTTAGTTAGAATTTAAACTTTTATATTATATTATGATAAAATAACATTTACCTGTTGACCGTGATCTAGAATATATAGAAATAAATCCTTGCATCTTTCATGCAAATCTTCCTTTAACTATTAAAAAAATTTAAAAAAATTGTAAAATAACAATATTACACAACATGTTTTAAAAATTCTATGAATAGGATACCTACTATAGGTGTATAGATAAGTAGATTTACAAAAATAAAAAACTATATCATCTAAATTGTTTTAGGTTTATATGAACGTTCAATTTGAATAAAAATATGTTATTAATAATTTATATCTTTATTATAATTATTTATAATAATAATAACAATAAAATATTTATTGTTAAAAAAAACAATTTTTAAAAAGTATACATAACATAAATTTTAATTTTAAATATTTGATGCTGCTCCAAAAGCTTGTGGCTGGTGCAACTGTTCAATATTAATTACAATTTAGAAATCAAAGAAAAATAGTAAGAGGTATAAAATAGAAAAGAAAAGAAAAAATAATAACTAAGACATATTTTAAACAAACATCAAAAGAAAATGTACAAACTAATTTGATCTAAATTTAGCACATTTAAATATTTTTTTTAAATGATACTTGCTGTAGAACAGTGGTAAATTAATATTAAGTTTTATACATAGGAAAATACCGACATTAACAACCGTTTACCTACCAGATTCTTTATGGGTTACAGATCAACTCTTTATGGTGTATATAGTAAGTATGAAATTGAATTACAATATTCAATTAAATTATAATTTAAGCTTATGATATCAATGCAATCTTTTACAAAAATTAAAATACCATTTGATTTATTTAAAATTCCTGAACAGTGAAAACTTTTATACCCATCAAGACTAATGTTACAATCATTCTTCAACCAAGTCTCGCTAAGTATAATAACATCAAATTCAACAATAATAGTTAATACTTTATATTTCTTTTCAGTATTACTGACACGGAATTCAACGTCATTAACTTGACTAATAACCATATCTAGTTTAGAGCCAAAATCATCAATTGTGTCTAAACAAAAAGAAATGGATTTTTCAACTGAATTTATAGTAGAGACAAGATTATCTATTTTTGATAATATAGACGAGATATCAGCCTTAACCTGATTTAAATTATGAATAGATGAAGAACCCGTAGTCTTACTCCTTAATATATATTTATGTAAAGCGCGTCACATTTCCATGAATCCCTCATAACGCCAGAAATTTGAAGTTTTGACAGAGAACTAAGTTCAGTACAGACAGGATAGTAACTATTTCTACAACCACTGCATACAATAGATTTTGATGACGAAACATCATTATTACAACTAACACATGACATATTAAAAAATAAGATAACAGACGCACGGAAAAAAACACAACCTTCACCAACTAGTATTGAAACTGAATTTAGTTTATAATAATTTAAATGAGTTTTTGTTTAAGAATCAAAAATAATTATTTTGAAATAAAACTATACCTATTAGGTACCTATAATAATTTTTAATTTAGCAATAGTTCACATAAAATATAAGAATACCTACTATGATATTTGTTTTGTTTTTATTAACGGTAAAATAAACAAAAATGAGCATTTCCTAAATAGGCAAAAGTTTACAAGGATTCTACAATGTTTCTTAGCTATGTATTATTTATTTATAAGCAGATATCTAATCCACATTATAGTTTTTTTTTTTTTAAATTATATATAATATTAAAATGTATATGTATCTCCAATATTTACATACCAAATTTACGCTTGTCAATAGGTCGTAACTATAATTATGTTTCACACCACCAGTAATAGTAACAGCTTTAAATTCCATCTAAAGTGAAAACAAGAAATTATCAACATTAATAATATTGCTAGTTAATAATATTATTTCAGTACCAATAATAATTTTTAATTTAGCAATAGTTCACATAAAATATAAGAATACCTACTATGATATTTGTTTTGTTTTTATTAATGATAAAATAAACAAAAATGAGCATTTCCTAAATAGGCAGAATTTACAAGGATTCTACAATGTTTCTTAGCTATGTATTATTTATTTATAAGCAGATATCTAATCCACATTACAGTTTTTTTTTTTTTAAATTATATAAAATATTAAAATGTACATGTATCTTCAATATTTACATACAAAATTTACGCTTGTCAATAGATCATAATTATAATTATGTTTCACACCACCAGTAATAGTAACAGCTTTAAATTCCATCTAAAGTGAAAACAAGAAATTATCAACATTAATAATATTGATAGTTAATATTATTATTTCAAACATATTTTGGTCAACATTTGAAATTGAAATGTTTTATGTAATCTTCCAGCGACATTGATTAGACTAGTTAGTTATTTTCATTTTTATAATTGTACCTATAGGTTCTCGGTAATGATCCATTCAGAAAACACTAAATAATATCTTTTTTATAAATTCATCATTATGTCATTCTATAAATGTTATTATGTCCAATAGGTACATTTTTTGTATCAAAAATCAAACATATTAAAATGTATAAACAGTAAATATAAATTATAAATTATTTATGAACAATTTAGGTAACCTTTAAATCTTGCCAATTCAATAAATTGTAATTTTCATCGAAACTTTTAACTGCTCTTGGAAAAGATTCTAAGTTTGTCCACAACCATGAATCCGGTTGTATCCACTGTAAATTAGTTTCACAAAATGGCAATGAAAAATCATTGATGGTATCTCTTAATGTGGGAAATTTTGAAGAGATAACCTCTGACAATATCTGATCGGTATCTGAATATATGACTGGAATTAAATTACGTAAACCATCTGCACGACTACCAAAATGAGTTTCAACAATTGTCTTAATATTAAAATATGCACGTTTTTTCTCATATATATGCATTAAATTAGCGAAAAAGACAAAATCTTGCAATTTGTCATCTAATTCTACATTGATAATGCTAAGAAATCCGATTACACAGTATGCCTTTGAATTATCCAAATGTATGACATTTGCAATTGCATCACTCACATTACTGTCCATTTGAGTATATTTAGACAACAATGCCATAACTAAAACATTGTATTCATTCAGTAACCTGAGTATTAATGTGTTGAAAACATCAACGATTTTGTACATTAAATGGTTATTGTAAAAATGCATTAATCGAGCATAGCAGACTTGTATGGTTACATCCTCGCATATCACACCATGAGAACAGATTTGTGACTTTTCATTTTGAACAGTTAACTCATGGACCAAGTACGATTCAAACTTATTTCCTAATTTATAAATTATATCAGATACCATATTAATATCAATTACTTTTCCCTCGGTAATTATATTATCATAAATCGTAACAAGAATCAAAATGTACGACGTTAAAATTTTCATAATTACACGTAAATATTATTTCTTTTTCACTTATTTACTATTGAAAAATTTAAAAAAATGAAAAATTATGATAGCTATTGTCGTAATAGAACAAATGAATTATTACTTGTGTAATTACTTTAATATAGAGCATTAATGTTTACACGAGAATCGATTTGTACGAATGTCACGGTGCAAATAACACCTGCATAGTTATAATAATGTATACCTGCAAGTGTCATACATAATAGGTACACAAAGATGCAAAGACTTCTTATTTGAGTAAAATAATATAAAACAGTAGATATAATATAATAATTTGTATAATACGCAATTAATAATATTCAATCAATGGAAATTGAAAATCTGTACTAGGCATCAAAAGAGTTTCTTACCTGGTAGAATACTTTAGTTTTACTTTTTCGGTTATCATAATCGTCAATATAGTAACACAGAGTAGGAACACTTTAATAAATTGATAAAATGGAACTAAGAGTTCAGAAAAAAGGTGTATGGCTAACCAACAATCGTCAGTGGCTGTTAACCATTTAATAGTCATTAAATAGTCTCTCATTTCTACCATAGGCGTGCACTTAGGTCGCTCAGGTCTGCCCGATGTGCCGTGGTGACAGTGACAGTACATACTATGCATGGGCGTTCATAAATGACATTTCAAGGGGGACTAAAAAAAAATAGCTGATACTTCTTATGTGTGTTCAACTACTGTAGGTAGGGAGTTGGGAAAGCAGATTACATAAAGTTATTTCATTAAAATCTGTAGATAAACGATAAATAATTCCAAACAAATTTTACGAAATACGTGTTTTGATGTATCGTAATTTTTACGATTTTCGCCAAATTTTACTTTAAAACTCTTAAAAAAAAGCGACTACATTACGCTCAACAATGTTTTTTACTACTAAGTAAAACATATAATGAACCTCATGTCAAATTTTCAAACATTTTTGTTTGATCAAACAATTATGTCCACATAGTAGCTATAATAAATAAAAACTAAAAACAAATCAAAAAATATAAAATGCCTCTAAATATCATAAATATCACTAGGATATTTTGATAATTTGATTATGTCTTAAAAAAGCCAATATACTTATTCTGTGAACATTTCAGATCTTTAAAATGTATTTGAACAAAAAAACAAAATTGAAAATAATGAAACCCTTATTTCAGTAAGCTTTCCACTTCTTTCTACGTTTTTTCCCAGTTTTGCACAATTGTTAAGAAAACGACACGGAATATATTTCTAGTAAAAAACATACATTATACAAATTTAAAATAAAAAAATCACTAACGCCGCGCACCAAAAGTATTTGACCGTTTTTCTTATATTTTATTACCGGTTTTCTAGTTATGGAAATAAAAAAAATAATTTTCTAATGCGCCAAACTAGATTCAAAATGCAATAAAAAAGGTCACTTAGTATTTTTTTATTGGAGCAAGAAAGGTGATAAGAAAGTTGTTTATAAACAGAAAAAAAAGAAAAGAAGCTAATATTGAGGGTGTGCCACAGTTGTACGTGGGTAGTTGGGAAGGTAGAACACATATACATGCATATCTGTAAACAGCGATAAACCATTACTAATGAAAAACGATTCGGAACGAAGTTCGTTTACACAAATCTTGAGAGGCCGTATTATTTACGATTTTCGTTAAAATTTGATATAAAATCTTATAAAAAAAAATTCTACATTACACTCAATTTTTTTTTACCACCGAGTACGATTTTTAATGAACCTCATGTCATATTTTCAAGCATTTCTGTTTAGTCCACTTCTCACCTATAACAGTGGCTGCACCCATTCCCATTATACTAGGACAGCTTTTTTTATTTAATAAATAATAAAATCATAAGTAACATTATATATAATAAACGTATCAATAAACGCCGTAATAAACTCTGGCAACCACTATCGCTTTACGTTTATACTACAACGGTATATTCTCCTGGACAACCCCACACGACGTCTCACGGACTACCGGTGATCCAAGGATCATAAGATGGGAAACACTGCTCTAAAACGTTGAAGCCAGGCTAGGCGTCATTTAGAGTTTTAAATAATGTGTTTGATAATATAAATAACGAAATTATAAACTTTTAGAATGCCTGTAATTTTTTTAGTAATTTAAATTTTTAGAAGTAACCAAATATACTAATTTAAGTCTAATAAAGACATTGTTTTTTTCTGGCCCCATCTGCCAAGACGGTCTAGTACCGCCTTTGTGTAAAAATGATAATTTATTCTCTCAAAATCTCGTTAAATTTCGCTTGTCACAGTTATCAATTTAAAATCAGTCGAAAACATATTTTAATTTTAAAGAGATAACAACTTTTTCGTTTGCTACAGAAATTCGATAGTATGATAATAGTCTATTATCATGCTAACAAATGTCTATTATTAATAGATTAACTGTAATCGTCCTCTATATCAGATTATACTCGACCACGGTCACACCATAAATATAGTATTTCGTGTACCGTGGTGATAATATTACTTTTAACTGATAATAGGTGATTATTTTACCACAACGACTCTGCATTTTACATTATCAATATAAATTAAAAACTACATTGAATATATGTAATTAATAAACTTTAATAATATATGTATAAAAAAAGTATGGAAGTGGATATACCCTCATGATCCACCCCCGTAAATACACCGTTGCAATTTATTTCTGTCTTTGATATCTTCTATTCTTGTTTCTTGGAGAATTTTGGCAAGATTTGACTTTATCCTGTCTACTCATCTTGTTCTAGAGCAACCCTTGGGCCTTTTTCATTCGGCCTTCCGGTTAAAACGTTGTTTGTTATACCTTCAGTTTTCCATATATGCCATATATTTAATTTTAGGATTTGTACTGTTGGTAATGAAATTGATTTTTGGAATAGTTTCTAACTTTTTTGGTTTTTATGTTCTTCATTCTCTACAATCGGGCCATAAATTCAGTGTATTATAATACTCTTCTTTCAAAGTTGTTCATTTTCTCCTAGTCTCCTTTAGGTACTGGCCATTTTCATCCATAAGCTAGTATTGGATGTAGAAAGCTTGGATATAGCTGATTTTTTTGTAAATGATTTACAATTTTACATTATCTTTATAATCAATCCTTTCTACTGATGTATTTCTACTGACGAGAGTGTATAGACACACCGGGACACCGGGATTTTTCCGATCGTCCACTTTTTTTTTAATTAAATGAACAGCGGAAATGGCTGAAAATGCACAAAGTAGAATTTCTCCCGATCGACCAAATCTGTCTAACCACTCCAGTGACCACTGGTATAAAAAACTACTACATAATACTTAATTTTTTTTTTTACCACTAAGTACAACTTGTGATAAACTTCGTGTTAAATTTGCACGCATTTTTACAATTTAACATTTTGCACATATTTTATTCGTTGGTAACACAATAAATTTCGTGTTCAACATTTCAACACATTTATTTTTGCGAGCATCGATGAGTATACAAATAACGCCTGCATAATACATATATACTTGTCTATGTCTGCAGGTGAATATAGTGTGTACACAAAGATACAACGATTAATTATTATTATTATTATTATTATTAATTATTATTAACATATAATAATATATTTATTATAAGTTTTAAAATTCGTAATGAAAGTCCAGTGTAAACCTAGGCAGAAAATATTAATTTGGATGTATATCAAACTTTAAAATCTAAAAAGAAAAAAAATGTCGTGTTAGATGTAAGTATTCAAAAATTGAAAAATATAGCAATGAAATAAAAATAAAGTAAGAGGCAGTTGGAAAGATAGGATTTAGACAGAGATAGGACAAAGTTATTTTATTTTTATTTGTAAGCAACGATAAATCATTGCTAATTAAAATCGATTCTGAGGGAATTTGATTAATCATGTTTTTAAATGTCATGATTTTTAAGTTTTGTTAATAAAAAAACTACCTACTTCATTACGTTCAACTTGTTTATTTATGAATTTAAAATTATGGAATTCCAAATTTCTACTGTAGGTACAGTCTTATCCAGTCCAGATTTTTAAATTCCAATTTCTAAGCGCTTTTTACAGACTTTTAATAATAAACCATAAATATTAAAACCAATACATTTCTCGATGTGCTCAAAATTAAATATATATTTATATACATTATTCATATTTCCAGTATTATAAAAAGGGGTGTGATTAATCGCACCTCCCTTTTAAATTTTACATGTAATAATATAGCAGTGCTTATAAGCAAAAACCACACACGAGGTGGTGCTCACCTTCCAAATATTTCAAATCTCTCTTTGATTATACCATATAGATAAATTTGTATTTAGGAAATTTCACTGGGAAGGAATTTTAAAGAGGTCGTTTTTCGATAAAGAATGAAGAACATAAAAACAAACAAGTGAGGAATAACTATTCCAAAAAAATAGTTTTATTCAGTACAAATCAGTACAAATCATAAAATTAAAAGATTAGATATATATGGAGAACTGAAGGTACAAAAAATAACGTTTTTAGACGAAGGCTAAATGAAAAAGACCCAAGGGTTGCTCTAGACTAAGATGAGTAGACAGGATAAAGTTAAATCTTGCTGAAATTTCCATACTTTTTTTATACATATATATTAAATTTTCAACAGATAACTTATGGTCTAATTAGATTCAAACTTATTTCCTAATTTGTTCATTATATTAGATACCATATTAATATCAATTACTCTTCTTTTGGGAATTATATTGCCATAAATCGTAACAAAAATAAAAATATACGATGTTAAAATTTTCATAATTACACGTAAATATCACTTTTTTTAAAGTGCATCAAAGTCGTTAAGGTGCTTAGCCACACGCTTTATTGCACCACAAGTCCCTAATAACTACTGTTTTCTTTTTAGCGCCCTTTAGTTGACTTCACCTCGTGCATTTGTGCTCATTTATTACCTATCTAATGCCTATATAGGAATGTTTACGCGTTTTGGGAACCATTGGTCTTTCTTATCAGATATCGCTAGTGGAACATGCGCATGTTTTAATAGATAATAGGTATTATCTATAAGCATTGGAACATGCGTACTTATATTTTTAATATTTTCTGCCAAAATACTTTTTTTTGAGTACAATTAATACTATTTGAATAATATATTTTTTTTCATTAAAATACGATTTTACGTAATTTTTTTCATCAGTTGTTTTTTTTGACAAAGCATCATGGTAACAAAATATGTTCGTACGCGTTCCCGTTTTGAACGTAAACAACGAGTTGTAATGCTCTATAACTATACGCTAAACAACACGCCGATTATTGTTTTATTATAAGTTTTGTTTAACTTGATTTAATATTATTCAATAATAGTTCTTCTCCTTCGCCTTCATCCCTTCCATTTGGTTTAGATACGAATAAAAATAATTATTAATGCATAGTTAAATTACTAAATAAAATGTCAAAAGTAAAATCGAAAAGAAATAAAAACGTGATTGCTGTCGACGGTTTTATGTACATCCATGATAAATCCAATACTGACAAAACGAAAAAGTATTGGAGGTGTCGTCGCAAAGATCTCAATTGTCCAGCTCGGATACATACTGGTTATGATGATTTCACCGTTTTAAAAAAATCCACTAAAAATCATTGTCACAATTCTGAAATGGCTCGAATAGAGGTGGATGCAGCCTTAACGGAATTGCGTGAACGAGCCATTTCAAGTAATGAGCCCATGTCATCTTTAATTAATGAATGTGTTAACAGTTTATCAGATGCAGCCAAGGTAGGAATCAAATTTATTATTTGTATCATATGTAATACAAATTATATTATATTAAACTATCTATTTTAATTTATAATAGAGCGTCCTAAAATCATCCACAGCTTTGAAAAAACAAGTTCGACGCATAAGAAATAACGAAAAAGTAGTATCTCAGCAAGATCCAATGGAACTAGTATCTTTACAGATTCCAGATAACTCTGATGAAGATAACCATGAAAATTATTCGTCTTTTAGAGATAAAGAAAAATTTTTAAGAGGTATAGAAAATAATGTCTCTTTGAATTGCGAAGTATTTTATAACCATATTATATGACTACACTTTTTATCTATTAGTAAAAGTAGTACCTTCTAATTGCATTTTAGCATATTAAATTAACAAATGATTTTAGTTTTGTTTTTAAATTTTAATTTATATTACTGGGATAAATATAATACAGGTCTGGGGGTCATTTGGGAAGGGAAGTTGGTGTACAAATTATAGGAAGTCTCAAAATTCTTAAGGCATTCTTAATAATTTATAAGAAGTCATTCTGATTTAATTTTTTTAAATAAATAAAATTTATACCTCAAAAGAAATTATGTTTTTCTTAGCTTAATAATTTGATATTTTTTACACACTTACAGTCTTTTATGTAAGTAGGTACTAGTCACTATAGGTATCCATTATAATTTAATATTTGTTTGTGCCCATATAACTTAATAAATAAATATTATTATTATTAATAATGGGCAGAGCCCAGAGTACAGAATGAAAGAAAAAAAAAAATACAAATAATAAAATATTTTAATATTAATTTTAATTAGGTAGCAGTGATTGAATTCTATATTAAGAATGGTTGGAGTATTGGCTAGACGCATTAAATGGTCAAGATGATGATTAAGGTAATAATTTGTAGTACTTTTGTATACTACATAGGGAGTGAGGGAACAAGTGGAGCGCTGAGGACCACGGAAATTAATACAGGAGAGGAGGAAAGATGCATCAAATGAGCTATTTATAAGCTTAACCAAGAAACATAGTTTAGCATCAGTACGTATATCGACTAGGTTAGACTACCCAAACTCTTGGAGAACAGTGGAGTTGTAATGTATTACAGAGTATTTATAGCGAAATTAACAAAAGGCCAGAAAGCCATTAATTAAGCCTTATTATTAAATATGATTTAATACTTTTATTTGATAATAGTTAAACATTTTTACTTGTGCACCACTCATAACCTAAACAATCAAACTTTAAACTACTACTATTATTCATGTGTTTACTGTAATAGCACTGTCTATTTACCAATTATATATCTCTGTTTCAACACTTGATTTTCGGTACTTATTTCTATGAATTTTATAGAATGTCTTAAATATATTAATTTTATAATTTTTAGTGCGTTTTGTAATTTTTTTTAAAGTCTGGGGAATTTTTGATAAAAAATGTTTACTTTGTAGTATCAATTATATGAAAGTTTTACACCTAAGTAATAGGTATATATTGCAGATTTTTAATACACAAAACATTTAGGAATTTAATTAAATCCAGAACTAAATAACTAAAATTAAAACTAATTTTTTTTTTTCACAGTGCACAATCTTGCATCAAAATGGACAAGTTCCAAAGACAATATGTGTATTCTACCGACTACGAGCAGTATAAAATCTGATTTGATACATGAAATTGTTGAAAAAACACAATTGTCTGATGATGTGATTTTAAATGATAAAATTAAAATTGAAAACGATATAGAAAACACATTGGTTCCTCCACCTAATCAAATTAAAAAGGAAACTAACTTGGAAACAAAAATTGATTTATTATTGGACTCAATAAAACAAAGCTGTACTGAACAAATACAAAGAATAAATAGAGATACTGATGATGAAGACCTTAACTTTTATAAATCAACATTACCTATGGTTAAAACATTAAACAGAGATCAAAAAATTAAATTCCGAGTTGCAATCCTGAAGCTTTTACAAAGTACTTCTACTAAAGATAACCAATAATTCATCTAAACCGCAGATAGGTTATAAGGATAATAAACATTAAAATATTTTATAACTCTATTTTTGTTAAAATGCTAAGGAATGTAAAATATATTTATTATATTTGTATTATTTGTAAGTAAGCAATGTAAATTAATTATTTATTAAGCATATCTTTACAGTAGGTAACACTTAACATTTCTTTTGAAGTATTGCTACTGTAATAGTTCTCATTTTCTCATCTCGATACATTATTTTCACAAAAAATTCCATATTGGAGTGAATTAGTTACCCCATATGGTGACATAACTATACTTATATACTGCAATATTATATTTTCATTTAAACATTGTATTTTTTAAAAAAATTTTAATATCCTACTTTAAAAAAAAAGTAAAATTATCAAGTAGGTATATATAATAAAAACAATTTCAAGTAGGTAACTTAGTTTTTTTGACTTACAAAAAACTAGGATAATAAATCATCATTCATCATATTTACAGAAAAAATTAATTAAATTAAAACAAATATTGTACACAAATAATTATTTAAATAATAAACAAATTAATTAAATAATCTATGCACTGAAGCAGACTTAAATTTAACGTTAAAAGAAATATAATAACATAGTGCCAATCTTTAATTTAATGCCATCTTTGATAGAAAACAAATCTGAACAGCTGATAAGATTTCTGTATCTTTGAGATCAAAGGGCTTATTTTCTAAGTATTAAAAAAGTTTTCAAATTCTAGATTGTAGTACTTTTTACAAGCTAATGTATATTAGAAAGAGTGTTCAATCAACCGTATTTGAGTCTCAAGAGAGTTATCTTAGTGCCACTGAATCAAATTTAAAACAGGCAATTGTTTGTATTAACACTATTTATATTTTGGAAGCTAAACAAATAACAAATAATTGTATAGCACTTCCAAAATTGCATTTCTAGTTTTGCTATGAAAATGAGTACCTATATGTCTTATATTATCATATTTCATGCACATAAGAACTGATATATATTATACAAATATAATAATTTATTACATTTAATATTCTTAGAATAGTCTCGAATAAATCTCGCTTATAAATGTACTTATAATTTCAAAATACATTTTTATTAAACTATCAGTACAAAATATACAATATAAACTAATTACTAATAGACACATTATAAGATTACATATTATAGGCAGACAATTAATTTTTCAAACGGCCTGCTCTAGCATCTGTTATGACACCCCAGAGTTCAATAATAAAATCATCTGTGAATCCTAATTCATCTAAATCAGAATTGTCGACAGCTTCGGCAAAATCCATGCTATTCAGTTTATCTTCTCCTTTCTCCCAGATCTGTGTGGCTGCATGAATAAAAAAAAACAGTAGGTACAATAAGTTACTGATTTACTTGTTAAAAAAATAACAATATTAATAATAAAAATAAAAATACCAAGCTCGACGTCACTGATACCCAACAAGTTTTCAAGTAGTTGATTGATTTTGGCAATACCTTTCTGTGACTCATCGTTCTAATAAATTGTTTTAAATATTAATTCATATTTTTTTTAAAATAGCTGTACACATTTTTAAAGTTAAAATAATGGCACTGCAAACATTAAATAATATAAAAGTAAATTATTTTTTACAACCACTACCCACTCCAATCCAGTAATTTGTACCTACGGCTAATTAATAACTACATGTACGTTTAGCAACGTGTCTCCTAATCATTCAAATTTCATAAAAAAAAACTCATCCAATCACCCTATAAAATTCAAAACAGTAGTTTGCTATGTTACTGGGTGGGAAGGTAAAACAAAATTATTTAATTTAAATTTGTAAGCAACAATAAACCAATAATAATGGAATAAAATTCTAAACGAAATTCAACTATACGTTGTAAAATGCTGTAATACTGACAGTTTTCATCAATATTTGATGTTAAAACAATTATAAAAAAAAATTACATTGCGCTTTTAACTTTTCTTTATCACAATGTACAACTTATAATAAACCTTGTTAAATTGTCAAGCATTTCTGTTTGATCAAAAAATTAGATCCACAAACCTAACCTAACCTACCTACTAAAGAAAGACTGGAAAATGTAAAATAACTTGTATTTAAATTATACATAAATAAATAAATAAATAATATTTATATATAGTAAAATAGCTCGAGAAATATTTTCAGGATATTTTAAAAATTTTAAGTACCATGTCTAGAAAAGGACAATATGAGTTTTCTGTCGAAAATTTCATGTCTCTATGAATATTGTTAACTGAATTACAAAAAAAAAAAATTGAAAATAAAGAAATTATTTCTGTAAAAGATTTTTCTGTTCTTTCTGTTTTTTCTTAGTTTTGCTCAATAGTTAAGAAAATTAAAAAAAAAAACAACTTACTCATTAACTAGATTAAAAATTAAACTAAAAAGGCTACTTAAATTTTTTGTTTTAAGCAATATTTCTGGTAAAAAAAATTTACCTATTTATACTGAAAAATTTGTCATTTTTCATTTTGCGTGCTTTTCCTGTTTTTCACAATTATTAGGAAAATCAAAAAATGACTTTAATATTCACCAATTATTAGATTAAAAATGCTACAAAAAAAAATTATTTTGTCATTTTTCGATTACTGCGAATTTCTCGATTTCTGGTTGAAAGTTGCTCACAGAAAAAAAATCTCATATCATAGTAAAACAAATAGAAGATCCCTTGCTATAGTAAGAATTTAAAATTTAGATTTATATTTTACCTCTTTATGAATCTCAGCTGCACCATTGGCTTTAAATCGTAATGTCTCTTTTCCATTACCATACAAATTCTTTCCACGTTTTGAACCTCTTGCCTCGATATTTGCTAATAAAATAAAAACATATAATTAGGTAATATGTTAATTATTTAGTTTATTCGAAGGATGTGTGGTTTTTTTAAATAAAATCTACGTACAAAATCCAGCTTTTATAGGCTCTATTAATCGCAATGTGAAAACGGATCCTTTTGGTATGTCTTTTAACAATTTGGCAACTTCATAGTGTCTTCTGCCTACCATAGTTTCATTGTCTATTTTTTCAATATGATCACCTACCTATTATACATAATAAATATTATTTAAATACATTTTCATGAATAGTGATAATTTATTAGAGTTCCTTATTATATTACATATGTATCTATGTATCATGGTTTTTTTTTAGATTGTCATATAGGTTATTAAAGAATTCTATGAAAGAATTAAAGAAAGATAAACATACCTACATTTTGTGATGCAAATGTGTAGTTATTATTAAAAATACCTATTTACATCTAGATACTTTGCATATTTTCCGATTTTTTATGATTGCGTATTTTAGCTTTATTTCTGTTTTTAAGCACATTAGGTACCTATTTTATGGTTTTTGGTTTAAATTATCATCGAAAAAACCCATTTTTTTTTATATATATATTTATCAACTGAATTAGGTGTATTTTTATTCTTAGGATTGGGTATTAGTATAATTGTATGACATTTATGATACAATTGGTTTTATACAAAATATTTTTTGTTCGGGAAAACTTACATTTATATATGATATGTTGTCAATTATGCTATTTTCTTTAATACGTTTAATGAAACAGTATCCTGAACCGTTATCCGTGATAGTTAACCCGAGTGCCTCGTTTGTCTTTGCAATTTCGATTTCTTTTGGTCTGCCTAATAATTAAAAAATAACAACATTGTTAGATATAGGTTGATACTATCCAAAATTTTCTTGACATACCTTTACGATGTACAAATATAAAATCATCTAGACCGATTTGACTGCCCAGAAGTTTAGTCATGTCGATTTTATGAGTATTCAATGTACAAAACAATATCTGTAACAAAAATACATAATTTTCAATCGATTAAATAGGTTAATACCTAATTACTAATTAAATTCCTACTAATTTATTTATTTGGTATTTGGTAAAACTTTACATTTTACTTATAAGTCTCGCGAACTTCATTATCTTGTCCTGGCACATGTTTCTATAGAATACAATTTTACAATTTTCAAATGGTACCTATCTATTTAATTTTAAACCTAATTAATACATAGGTACAATAACTTTTATTACAAAACATCGTAAAAAAATTATAGGTTTTTCATTTTTCAATTATTTTGAGTACTAATTACTAATGTTATAACTTATAAGTGTATACAAACCTGACAAACTATTATAATGTTTTCAATAAACATTGCCCATTATTGGTGCCAAAGTATAATAGGTATTGATTTTATCTTACATAATAAGTTTGATTACATGTAACGGATTTTCTTTTTTAACGCGTTATTTGAATATAATTTCATTTAATGTGATTCTGAATGCTACTTAGGTATGTCTATATTTATAGTTTCAAACCGTTACAGATGAATCTTAGTTGCGTATTTCGTTATACAACAATAGTTAGATGAAGGTATTTTAAGGTAGGAAATTTCTCATTGATAAAATAAATAGTTAAATCTACCAAAATGTTGTTCGGTTGGTTGCTTCTTATAATTGTCGACTGACAAACAATACGTAGGTAGATAGGTTGCATAGATATATGATGACTACCTATAAGAATTAAACAATCACAATTTGGCCTCTAAAGTCTAAGTAGATATTTATGATAAGAATATTATCCGTACGGATGAAAACGAATGAAATCGTAAATTTAATTTTAAATGCCCATATACGTACCTACCCACTTTTCTTTATTTCTATTTGTAATTGAACAAATAAAATAAACAACTGTCAAATGCATTTCTATTAAAACATGCTTTTGTTCCAGTATCGTTTTACATAGGCACCTAACTTATTTCAGTTTCAGTAAATTATATTACGATCAAGTAAACTTGGCCAAGGCCAATGAGTAATATCAATAAGCGTTTCACCTTGTTACAAGGTCATCGTAATTTTTCCTCGAACTATAAATCTCATATTGAGAGCCTTATCATGTCTGGATAGATTTACCTACCTGTTATTTTTATTTTATACCTACAATTCAATTTATATGGCAAAGTTTATATGCAAAGCACATTATATTGTAAAGTTTAGTTTAGAACATCTCACGATATATATTTATTATTATGATTATTTATTTTTAATAAATACCCGTTATTATTATAACCCCCCCCCCATTCCGCTGATTAATTAGTTTACATAAGCCAAGAAGGTACTAATATTTCAACAGTAATCGACATCTCTAATCTATGCCCGATATCTATTAACCTAGGTGGTAGTGTGGTACTTAGTATAATTTTTGTTTTATAGATTCATTTGTACAACCTTGGAATCGATTACGGCTCCCGGTATCTATCTGCGCAAGGTCGTGTATCCAAGATATTTAGATATTGTTTACTTTTGGTTTCCAAGATAATTAAAAATTATCAAAATATTCTAGATAGTATATACCTAGGTTAGGTTGTCTATAGGAACACTATAATATCTACCTATATATGTTTAAATCATCTTATATAATTAAAAGAAAAAATTAAAACGCGTGCTACAACTTAACACAATAAGTATAGGTATTTGCAAAATGATAAAATTATATTAAATAGCTAGGTGAAAAGATAAAATGTTTACGTCGAATATACACGTAGGTATGGCTGCAGCCGTGTTGCAATATTATTGTAAGTAGGTAAATTATAATATGTTGACTGTTGAGTGTATAATTTACGACACCTAGCCACCTAGGTGCAACTAAACTAGTCGTCTAATATCTACCTAACATACATAGACATGTTGAGCAAAATGCAATGGCTAGGTAGAGATAAACTCATGTAATCTTACAAATAGAATTATTCCTCATTCCATGAATGTTTGTGTCACAGATTATTGCGTTGAGATTATCATTTGTGAACAGGTACCTATGACGTGTCCAGTACTTTTATACACCTACATCAATTATATTACACGGAAATTATTACGAATGAACTTAATACGTTAATATTACAGTGTTAGATTCCGAACGAAGCTAGGAATGTTTTGATTGTTATGGTGAGCGTGTGTCAGTTATTAACAATACTTTTTACCGGAAATTATTCTCCGACCATCATCAACTTCAAAGGAGGGGGGGGGATTTCATTTCTGACAGTAAATTGCGTCTAGTCGGTGCATCGCGAAGGTCATTTTTTTTCTTAAAAAGTTGGACAACTTTTCGCAATTACGATTTCTGTGTTATTTTTAATTTAGTTATTTTGTTGGGCACTACTGCGGATTTTTGTGCAATTTTTTCATTAGAATTTAGAAATTATAATTCCGATCATGGTATTGCCATATTTTAAATTTTGTTATTTTATTTAAAATTGTAACCGTGGGCTTAACAGTTTTAATTGGATAAAAAAAATACGATATCTCCGATTTGTACATGAAAAATATTATTCGGCATTTTATGGCCTTCTGAAGTAGCTCGGCATTTGAATTATTCGGCCGTTGAAAATTTCGTTATTTCTTCAGATCTCTGTCTTTAATTCCAAAATCGTTTAGAGGTTGTTCACTTACAATTTCGATTTCTCAAACCCAAGGCATGAATTCATCTCAAATCGCATGGCTTTAGATCTCAACACCCGGTAGTTAATTTCGATAAACGTTAAAAAATGTTGATTTCGTTGTTATTTATCTATTTGAAAATTGTCATTACGTTATTACCTACCATTATTATAGCTTTTTTTTCTTCTTTTATACAATGAATGACTCATGCCATTTAACAATACCTCAATTGTGGTTTCGTTGTTATATATTTTCGATGTTAAATTGTATAACCGATCATAAACTTTATCCTCCACGTCACGGTTTTTTTAATATCATTCTAAAAATTAAACATACATAAATATTTAATAATTGACAAATATATATATATAAGAATACAATATAGGTAAGTAACGTTTTATTTCGTTAAAACAAAAAAAATGAAAATTCTATTATTTACATCGAGTATAACCTTCTTATTGTATCTTTATTTGTCTATATATTTATGTCAAAAAAATTTAACGTTATAAAGTTACATTTTTTAATCGTTCATTACAACGGTATATATATATATATATATATATTAATACATTTTTAGAATTCTTATTATTTTCGTTAAATATTATTGCTGGTCATTACGTTCTGGTTTGATAATTATATATTTTATTTCCTCTCTCAATTTTCTCGATCCGTAAAAAATAAATGGAAACTAAATACCTACGTAATGAACTAAACTAAAACTACGTAAACTAATTAACCACGAAATCACGTAATAATCTCATTTCGCCAATTCCTTTTATTTAATTTCTACCTATACCTGCCATTTTTTTTTTTCTATTATTATTATTATTAATATTATTCGATAATGCCAATTAATTTATAAAATTGATATAATTTGCATCACAAATAATATCAGTAGTGTTAATATTTTACATAATTTTGCGTTAAATTTAAATTACTATACAATATAGGTATATACAAATTTTATGATATCTATACATACTATCTACTAAGTATATAATAAGTAATTAAAACGATTTGGATGAGAACAGTTGGTCGCTATCATAATAACTTTTATTATCAATTTTCATCAACGAAAAATTTTACAATCTCATTTCTGTACAATTGTCGGTATATCGCCGCGTGAAGATTTCTAAAACAGTCGTATAGTGTATAGAAATCAACCGTTGATTCAATCATAAACTCTGGATCTCACTTAAAAACAGAGCATCAAACAGAAATAATTTTTTTCGGTTAATGACCGGCGTTCGTTTTTCAATTTTTTTTTTATCAACTCTTTTTTTTTTTTATTAAAAGTATAAATTGTGGTTTTGTTCGTGTATTATAGGTAAATTTTTCTATACAATATATATATATATATATAACCAGTTAATTCAGAAACTGGTTTGAAGCTCTGTTTATAAAAGTTTTAAACCAGAATAGGTACCCTATATTATACACGATAGTATTTTTTTAAAATGTAAAATTAAATTCGTATTCTAATGCAAAAAAATATAAACGTTAACTGTTATAAATTAATTCAATTCTATATTTTGTTTAAATAACGTCTTTCTTAAACGTTGCTAAATTAACAACAACTTTTAACTTCAATCACTTGACCTATATTGTATTATTGACCGTTCGGCGGTATACATGAAATATTTAAATTATCAATTAGGTTACGGGCGCTATATAATATATGTACATATACATAATTTAAGAGTTTGGTTTCCATCAATGAGTGCGCACATAATATAATAATAATACGTTGCCATCATCTGACATTCTCTATACAGATCTGCAGGTCCTGTTTTATATACTGTAACATCGCATTTTTTTTTGTTTCCGAAATGAGGATACACAATAATGTATACGTACCTGTATACGTTCTAATTAACTATTACTGCGGAGTGCGGGTACCATATTATATAGGTAACCACTAGCCAGCACAAAAGTATTCTGCACAAGTTGATAATGATCGGTTTTAAAAATCACAAACCGTGTATCACGGTCTCTGGCACTATGGAGCCGTATACATTATACAACATACATAAGAGGTACCCAGTACGCCTGCCTATATTATATATTAATCAACATAGTATCATTATACAAATGTACGTTTCATTTCGGTTTTTTATTATAGTTATATTAGGTTTGCCGTGTCCATATATTATATTACATAATTTAATTTATTCACAAAATGTATTCTATAACCAAAATTAATTTTTACTTGAATATAGTATACGTATACCTATGCACCTATAATTCTCGAAACTGAACTAGTAGTATAACTAATAAAAAAGTTAAAATTTAAGTTACACAAGATAAGTTTCATCATTAGTTAAAAAAATATTTATTATTAGAAAATAACTTAGTTATTTCGTTAAAATATAGTTATTTTTGAAAAGTTATTAATTATGAATTTTTTTTCTAGAAAATTACGTATTTTTACGTAAATACCGATATTTTATCACACAAGATGGGCACACGGCGCCTATACAGAAATATGGGATAGTCTATAAAATTCTTAATATTAAAAGTAAAAAATACGTTTATGAGTATGCAGCGAAGGGTTATTTTAAAAAAGTAACTTTAAAATTTATCATTTTTCTGAAAATGTGTATACTTATTTTGCTACTCATATTCATTTAAATTTGAAAATAAAATTTAACTTAGTTTAGTAATTTTTTTTTTTTCAGAATACCTTAACTATTTAAAAAAAATTGGTTAATTTCTCCAATTTTGAAAACATTCTTATACGCATATGTTCAGATATAAAGATAGCAGATTGAGATTTTATGGAAACAAATTATGAAATAAATTCCATTGTCGCGCATCAATATTTAAAACCTATTAGTACAATACCACGGATAGGTACGTAACATAATATAAAACTATAAAATATTATTTATCTATTACGTAGCAGTGACTGGTGTCTGGTAGGTAGGTGATGTGTTCTGAACTTGGAAATATATTTGCATCGCAAATATTACAACTGTCAAATAAATCATTACATTATATGTATGTAGGCAAATAGGTTGTATAAATGGTGATAATAAATGGTTAGTTTGTAATTATTATACATCTATTATACTATTATATGCTATTATATATCTAAAAAAAACTATACTATTTGCTGTTGTGTATTTAGAAATTAAGATTATCCTATACTTATGAAATATTGTTGTAATAAACTGCAATTTCAATTCTTTCGAATATTTTAGATTCTAAGCGGAGCGAGAAATATACTGGTTTTACAATGATTTTTTTTTTAATATTATGTACAAAATTATAACCTTACATCTTGCTCCGATGTATCAATCGTAACACTTTTCCTAACAGCGAATATTATCTAGTTAATATTTTTTGAAGAGTTATGTTTTGATTTTCCAATCAGTTTCCATAATTAACGGGAAAAACGGGAAAATGTATGATAATAATGGTTTTATTATTTTAAATTTTGTTATAATTCAGTTCAAAATGTTCGTAGAAATCTAACTTAACCTTACACTTCCGTGGATAATAAATATCACATTTATAATACAAAAATATACCAACTTGCATAACACTACATACATACATACATACATACATACATACATACATACATATAGGTATTATGAACCTCAGATAATTATGAAGTATACAAGTTCAACATAATGTTGTTAGGTACGGAATTGCATATAATATGTGTATCTATATCGTATATAACTTTAAATTATACTCAAGTAATTGTTACCGTGTAGCCATTTAGACAAAAAAAATGCTTACATCGAATTTGAACTATGATCAGCTGAGGTTAGTTTAGTGATATTAATTTTCTGTTACATAGTTTCTGCTAAATAGTGCATGCAAATAATTAATATGTTGATAAATTCAAATAAGTATAACAAATAATAATAATTAAGTAAGAGCATCAAATTGATTTCTCAGTTAAATAAATGATAAAGAAAATACAATATCAGCAAATTGTATTATTTGTATTTTGTATAAATATGTACGAGAAAATCAATACAAAATAATAGATTAGTTTTATTTTTAATCTCATTATGTTATTTATCTAGGTGTATATTATATATACATATATAATAACATGCCCTGACCGACTGACTGATTCATATTCGCCTATTTCAAACCACTGGACGAATTGAAGGTCGGCATACAAATAGCTATTATAACGAAGGTATCCGCTAAGAAAGGATTTTTGAAAATTCTATCCCAAGGGAGTAAAATAGGGGTGTTTAGGTATTTTTGGTTCGAATATCTATAGTTGTTTATTCATATATTTATTTTTGTTTATTCATGGGTTACCTTGGTGCATGGATGACAAATATGGTTGTCATAGATAAGAAAACTATTATTATTATCACTATTATTTATACTATTATCTAGCAGTAGCAAATCATTGTCAGATCAGATAATATTGTATATATATATTATGTATCTAATATGCCAGACCATGAGGGTCCGTGGGATTCGGATTTTGTATGTTAGTAATGACAATATGATTTTTTCTTTTGAATACCTTATACCTCAGCCTTAAACCTTCTTTTTGTTATACATATTTTAAAGAACGATGCTTGGTGTTATTGGGTAAGTTTAATATTTGATATTGACAAAGATTAATTTGTCTCTAGATTCTGGATTTCTCTCTACGACCGGTCGGCAGTCGCAAATTGCGGGACAATTAACAGATAAGACTATTTTCAATTTTATAATGGATCATGCAAAACTATCAAAAAAATAGAAGTTTATTATTACTATCAAATAGTTTAAAATATGTATAAAGTATTATAATTAGTATTTATGTATGCTTTAATTTCAACTTTTAATTTAGTTTCCCATATTTTTGTTCAATCTTAAAAATATTAAAAGCCAACTATACTTGTAACATAATATGTCAAATATAGATTTTATTAATTTAATTATACTTATTGATTATTATTTTGGACACCTCCCTTCCGGAAAGAAAAATCGAAATTCAGCCCTACTAAATGTGAAATGTGAAAAACTTTAATAATATAAACGTGATTAACTACATTTTATTAAGACTATATAATAATTATTCTTTTAATTATGTATTCATATTTATTCGTTGTTTATCTCGATATTTAATACTTAATATGATTAACAACAATAACTGTGGACATTATACCGGTCTAATGTTTAATATGAGGTTGATGGCATCGAATAAACCTAAATAAAATAGAAAACAAAAATACGGTATATTGTATAGGTACTTTGTTTATTTGTTAATGAATAATATTATGATTTTTACTCGAGATGTTTCAAAAGTAATTCTAAACCAACTTATACCATAACTACTCGTCAGAATTTTAGATTACGATTAAAATAACATAGATAAATCTAATAACAATAATCAATTTATTCCATTGAAGTCCATAATATTAAAAGATATAAGTTGTACGAAATAAGTCTGGATATATAAGCCACAAAAAAAAAAAAAATGTTTAAGTAAATCAATGTCTAGAAAGTTTGGTAACATTTTTATATTATTTTTTATTCGTGTAATACATAAAACATAACAAAATTTTACATAGGTATATGTATACGTCATCTTTTTATATTACCTACCTGTCACATTCACTAGTAAAAAAAATCTTTTTTTTCGTGAACGGAATACCTAGATTTCTAAAAAGTATTTAGGTGCAAGATTTGAACATACAAAACTAATATAATTTTACTTTTTATTTTTAAAAAATAATTTTATGATTTATTATTATAATATTTACTTAACTAATTTAATATCCGTTAGGTATGCATGGACATTGTGTAATTATATTGGGTACCTATATCCGTTTAGTGTAAGACATTGAAATAAATTGTATTGGTTATGGGTTGCAGTATAGTAAAATAAGAACAATTACATTTAATTTAATTGATTAATAATTATACTAATAATATAGGTATACATTTATAATGAATATATTTATTATATTTCGATTACTGAAGATCACTGATGGTTATGATATGATTTTTTTTTTTTTTCTTAAAGCAATAATCATAGTAGATACTTAGTAATTATTATTTGAATCAAGTAATCTATAGTAGGCAAGAAGTAGGTATAAACCACATTTAAACAACTAAATTGAAAGTTATTAATACAACATTATAATTATAAAATTACGGTAGAATTAACGTGTAATAAATACTTAAAATTAAATAATTATGGACTCTAATATAATGAAATAACTTGGCTGGAGTAAAATGAAATGAAGGTAATGTAATTATTGAATAATGGTTGGCGCTTTTGCAGGGCAATCATAATATATTCATAATATATCCTTTTATATATTGACGAATTTTGTTCTTTTTTTTTCTTTTAGAAGTATACTTTTGATATCGCCCCCATTTAAGAAAAATATCATACCTATAGGTTTATTGATATTTTATTAAACACAAATGACACAAATTATGTACTACTGTAAAATTAAATAGTAATAATGCATACATTACAGCAGAACATTATATTAAATCTGTATCTTTATGTTTTGTTTGAGATGGGTACTTTTTTTTAGAGATGAATCATGGCGCGATAAGAGGGTACCTCAAAGGCTGTATTTCAGATTTTTTTGCACGTCGGTAACAAAATTTGGAGGACCTCTAGGCAACTAGAAATGTAAGATGTTTATTGCTATTTATATTAATGAAGATATTTTGATAACTCCACGATTCAAAGCAAGAAATTGCCTATAAACCCCTATGAAACGGTTGGTATCCAATTCCCATAAAAGACTATATTATTCTTAGTAAAAGTAAAGTATTTAGTAAAGTAAAATAACTCAGAAACTTTTCGTTCAAATTTCAATAACAATACGAGTACATCAATATTTTCTGAAAAATCATCTGATTAACAATTTGTACTTAACAAAACAAATAGATTCTCATTTTAAAAACCAAAATTAGTATCGCCATAGTATACTACTTTACTCCTTAAATGATGTGGAAAATCTAAGTATGCGAAAGTATTATCTTTCACTACATTTAAAAATTCCAAAAATTAGAATTAGAATTTATGCATAATCTAACTATAAAAATACGGCGAGCATACTTAAAAATCACCTTGTATATCTAATCAAAGTAGGTTAAAAAAAAAAAAGAAAAGTTAAATAATAAATCTGACATTAGGTTATACGTTCTTAAATGCCATGTCACCCAATGTTTAACATTTTCAATGTACAACAATATAATAATATTTTGGCACTGAAAATAAATACTAACCTAACCTATGGCTATTCATATAAAATTTGAATAATGCACACTGACCTATTGTGTTTAAAATCATAAAATATTTTACCTATTACGTTATAATATTTTAAACTCTTTTTGTACACCTAATATTATACCTTTATATGTTTACACTTTCGAATGCCTAATTAATATACCTAATAAAAATGTTAATTATTTTCCCCGTAGAAGTAGTAATAATATATCATTTCGGTTTTGTATAGACTTCAAATCATTATTATGACTAAAAAAAAATGTAATTATTATTTTACTATCTATACCTACGAGAAAAAAATAAATCCTCCTTTTTATAAGAATATTATAATATTAATTTTACCTGGTATATTACAATATTGTATTTTTTTCAATTGATTACTTGCGTATAGGTATCTATAAAATATATTTTCAACAAAATTTGACTATTACAGTAATGGTAGATAATATACGTGCATAAGTAATAGGTATACATGAATAGGATCACATTATATACATATATTATGGTTTTTACAATCTAAAAAAAAAAATATGTATACCGTGTTAAAAAATATACGTTAATCGATGATAATTTATAGGTAACAATTTTTTTACAACTTTCTATACACGCCACCGTGAATATTTCAAACTCGACCTAGAATCAATCCAACGTTTCATCTTGTTTGACAGTATCGCCATTAACAAGACGAGTAGAATGTGTTAAAGCGAAGTGATTATAAATACTACAGCAATGCGAAAATAAAAGTTATACCTACCTAGTACCCGTATATCCACCGGCTATAATGACAAAAAGAAATGTGAAGATTTATATTGACTTTAACAAATATGGTATATAACTAATAACTAGTCGTGCAACTTTTAGAATAGCAATGTATATCATTATACTTATTATAGTTATTATTTTAACAACGGCTTTATAGTTGAACTTCTAGAAAAATATCATATTATTATTATAGGTATATTGTTTAGAAACGATCGAATAAGTCAGTTTTACCGGAAAGTACTTACAAGATTGTAATTTTAAACAGTAGGTATATAATTTATAATATAATTATTATAATTAGTATGAATGTATATTTTAGTCGATTTAGACTATTGTGTTCGACGGATTTCAGTTTTGAACCCGGATTACGGTACTATACTACAGGATACCTAAGTCGGAAATGGAAATATATTTATTTTACTGGTAAATAATTTTAATTGTGCTTATGATAATTTTTCATTATCGAAAAAAAATAACACCATGCATAGATAATGTTCCCATTTATAAGTTTGATAATAGATCATATCATTTCAATATACTATTAAAACTAACAGCACAAAGTTGTCCCAGCTGAACGTATTTGCTTTCGTACGTATGTAAGACGGACACAGCGCATGTCGGTATCACGCACTTTTATGAATGATCATTAAAATGTAAAAAAAAAAATAATATTTTTTGATATTTTTTTTTTAATTCAATATTATATAGGCTTGAACGTATTCCATAAAATAAACGTAATTATCAACATGAGATCAATATTATCTATAATATAGTCCATAGAAATAATTGTAATTTAAATACTATTAAAAATTCATAAACGTATTAAAGAAAAGATAATACACAACTCGCTAATGTTGTTAACTATAGTAGTATGAAATATCAAAATGATGTGTCTAACGAATTCGCTAAAATTCTGAACAAATAATATAAAAATCGCTTTTGAGACTAATAATAATTTAATCAAACATATAAACAATAGAACTAAAAACTTCACAAAAAATCCCCCTTTTTTGAAAATGCTGGTATATATAAACTTAAATGTAACTGTAATAAATTATATGTAGGTAAGACAAATAAAAATTTTAAAATAAAATATGAAGAACACATTTCTGAAATAAAATTAAAAAAGACTGCCCCTAATTCAAATTTCGCTATAAATGTTTTAGAAAATAACCATAATAAAAGCTTTGATATTAATACAGACTAATAGATATTAAACACCCAAAATAACATTTATTACATTAATTCAGTATTAGAAGAATTACATAGAAACAATGAAATAAAGAAAAATAATTTTAACAATATTTTAAATGTACAAACCGAATTTAAAAATAATATCTATTATATTAATACATTTTAGATAATAAATAATAACCAAATAATTTATAGTTCTTAACATGTCTATGTGTAATAATAACCAATTTAAGAAAAATCTCTCTTATTAAAAAAAATTATTTCTATGTAAAACGACCAATTTGTACAATTTTTATTTTTCTATGTATTTCTTCATTTCATTTTTTTATATTCAGTCACGTTTTACATTTTTTCTGTGATATACCTGATGTATTTTTAATCCGAAACCGGTCGCATAATACACTTATCATAATACCCCAGGCGACGCATTTATTCATTTATTTATTTTTTATTTTTATACATACATTTTTTGTTTATTTATTTTTTATTTTATTATATATAATATGTACGAGTATTCAGTTATTCTCGTTTGTAAAGAGGACACACGATGTTGTGTGATGAAATATTATGATGCGCTTAAATGATTCAAATATTATATTGGAACTATGAACACATCCATTTCAATAGAGTCGTTCACAAATTATAATAAAACGGCTGCGCGCTATTGCTCTCAGCTAGGCGTATTACGTCATACGCTATGTATTTTACTAATATTCGATATTAATGATACATTATTCAAATCGTTTAACAAGAACGTCGTATTACAAATAATAATTATTATTACCATAACATAGTATGTATCCTATGTATAGGATTTGAAATAAAAACCAGCGGTCTCTATATTATATTCTATAATATAACAATGGGCATGGATAGGTTTTCATCGGGTTTGAATCAACAAGTAAATTAAGTTATTCCATTTACCCGCTTTATCCGAACCCGTGGTGACTTTTTATCAACTTGCAAGTATAGGTTTTATAGGTAAACACTTATAGGATACTATAACTCCTTTGGAACAGTATCGGGTTTGAACCAACAAATAGGTTATATAATATTTTGTAAAACACCTAAAACTCTTAAAATCAACTAGGTTACGTTTTGACTTGGGCTAAACTCGGACAGGGCCTATGTCTGTCAATACGCGTGTCAATAGTCATTAGATATTAAATACATAATCTGTCGCGTTTTATATTTTGACTGTGATATACTTGTTGTTGATGAATTTTTAATACGAAACCAGTCGTATAATACAACTATCATAATACTGCAGGCGACGCATTTATTTATTTATTTATTTTTTATTTTTATACATAATTTTTTTATTTATATACTTATTTACCGTACATAATTTGTTTTTATAGTCAAATCTAATAAGAAAGAATCACAGAGATATTTTTTTTGTGTTAAAAAGCAAAATTTACTTAATTTTAAACATATTTTTGTACCAACAAAAATAATTTTATATTTTTGTTGAATGATTACAATCATTGGAGTATATAGAAGGCTTAAAACTTATAGTAGTTTTAAAATTGAGACTCTAGAATTTTCGTAACTTAATGTTATACTGTATGTGTAGGATATTATTATATTGATATTTTAATATGTATAATTTGATCGATAAATAGTCGAGGGCGGTTTATGCCCTCACGTTTTACTTATATGTATAAGTATATTATAGTGGTGCATTTTATGTGCCGTGGCTATATGATTTGTGGTTCATGGGCCGTTTTGATAAGAAATCCAAAGTCCGAAAAAAATAACAATGGACATGTTCACGAGTAGTGATAATATTATGTTTATGTGAAAGCGCTGTTTGAATGTTGCAGATGACGCACACAGTATGTGACGATGAAAAGTTTTTTTACGAAATTCATAAATCTCCTATAGTGTTTTCCAACTGGTGAAAATCGCATATTATTATTATTGTACTAATATATTATTGTTCGTATATTGTTGTGGTGCACAGAGCTGGGGGATTACCTACTGGTAGGTACGCGCGTTATGGCCAATGATTTCCGTGTCCCTTTAACCGGAACGGTATTTGTTCTCTCCGCCACCACGCGCAGTTAGTGGCGTAGTTAGTCTTCCGGTCCGGAAACTCATAGACGCCAATTTTTTTTTTATATATTTTTAAATAAATTTGTACATGCGTGTACGTAAACCGACAGATTTTCACCGAGTGACGTTACAAACAAATATATAGGTAGGTCATAACACTTTAGAATATAGGTAGTATAATATATTATTTTAAGAGAGAAATACTTAACGACACATTAATATAAGTAAGAGTTGATACTATTAACGGGTGTGCCAGTACTTACTGTGGTAACATAACTTACGGAGAACATCGTATTAAATATTCAAGCACTTCTGCTGAGTATAAAACAATCATTTTGTCGTCATAAAACCAAATAAAAACTAAAAATTAACTAAATAGTTTCGAATGCCTACAAATGACTCACAGATCGTTAAAACGTTTTCAACATTTTACCACATATGTAAAGGGCTAATATTAGTGTTCGATGAATTTGCAGGTCTTCGCGATTATAGTTTTAATCGAATTACAACAAAAAAACAAAATCGAAGGAACAGAAACCGTTAATGCGTACATCCGTTTACCCTATACGTTTCCCCCTGATTTTCGTGAATATTACAAGAACTACTGGACGAAATGCTCGTTTTGTTTTTTTTAAAAAAAACACGTTACATTTGATGATCGGAGTCAGATTACTGGTTGAAAAGTTACATATAAAAAAAAGCATGCGTATCGTAATGATATACAGCTAAAAATGAATACTGTGAGATACGACAATGTCAGTATATCGGGGTGAGAATATTGTATTTTGCGGGCAATGCAATAGGTATGGTTTTACTATTGTTGTTGTTGTTATTATTATTATTATTATTATTACTTCGTCTGAAGAAAAGTCATAGCAGTCGGCCACCCGCTGGTACAGTTCGCGGACGTTGGAGAAATTGGACACCAGTCCCGTCGGACTGCCCTGGGCCTGTTGACAGTGAAACACCAAGTTTTTTTGCACTTGCTCGTCGTGTTCGTTATTGCAGTGCTGTTTGTTGTTATTGTGCACCGCGGCGGCGGCGGTGGGGTCTTCCTTGATCTTTTGCGCGGATTTCCGGTTAAACAAAGGCATGTTCAACAGAATATCGTCCGAAACAATAACCGCGACTATTAAAATACAATATTATGTTGGGGTGGGCACAGAACACGCAACACACGCACGCGGTCGGCAATCAAGTCATAATGTTTTTTCGTATCGGGAACAATAATCACAACGGTTATTACCCAGCTACGACCGAGCTATTACATGGCGGGCGATGTTGCCCTCCGATAGATTTCTCTATTGCGCGTGTACGCGAAACAACAAACGAAAAATACGAAAATAATCAGATCGCGGAGAGAAAAAGATTCGCCGAGAGGACGGCGACAGAGTGACGGACGAACGTCGACGAACAGCACGCGTACGCGACTACGGAGCAACGGCAACGCGAGTAGTGGCGCGAGCAGTACGACTAAACTACTATCCGTTGGGCGATCGCAGGCAGCAGCTGGTGTCGAACCGATAGTGGAACCGGAAGGGTTATTAGAACAATGTGTAATAACAATAATAATATTATCTATATCCAGGTGCGTACTTACTACGGTTGTCATTACTATTATTATAATATATACTGCACGTCGTCGTCGGTATAAAAAAAATACTTTCGTCGTTTACGTCATCAAATTTATAATAATATTAATATAAAACGGGTATAATATAATAATATAATTATATAGGTACAGGGAGTGATCTACCGCCGAGGGGGCTTGAGAGGAGTCATATCATCACCCCACTTCTTTAGTTTTTATTCTTTATATAATTTACGTTTTACGAATTTCCTGCGATATTATTGGTTTTTTTTGTTTTTATTAATCTCTTTGTTATTTGATGACAATATATAAAACCATCACAAATGTGTTTGAACGAGTAATAGCTGGTACCTACCAAATAAGTATTTTATCGATTTCCACCTAAAAATGTGTGTAATGATTTAATTCCTGGGCAGGGTGTATAATATAATAACTAATTGTATTCAGATTCTCCCCTCCCTTTACCATATGAAAATGTTAAGCACGCAGCTATATAGGTAATTATATATTATACATTTATTGAATATGAATATATTATATTATTAATATTATGTTCGAGCACACGCGCGCACGCCTAAAATATATTATTTTGGTCTTAATTTATATAAAAAAAAAAAAAAAATTATAATTATAATATATCCACACAATACAAATTAAAATACAATGCTATGATTATCTGATATCTCTTTTAAGTAGAGGCAGCCCTAGGTGAGGGAGGGCAAGGTGCCCCAACTGAAACTGAATTGCTATGCTCATCGTGTATCAATAAAAATAAATCTATAAATACTAATTTTTTGTTGCTGCTTAAAAAAAGTTTAAATGTTATAATACTTAAGGCATTTTTAATGCCTTTATAGGTCCGACGCTACCTCTGGTTTGAAACTAATAAGTTTATGTTAAGCATAGAGATAGTTATAATTATAATACAACTGGTTATTGCATTTAACTGATGGTTTCACTTTCACTGTAAGTATAAAGTAGTTTTATTTCCTGTTTAACAGTCAAGGTAATTCAGGAAAACAAATTCCAAAATTCAAGTTTGCATATCATCGAAATTATAATATGGCTTCAAAATGTCATATCTGGAGGCGATTTCGTCCGAGAAGGTATATAATACACGTCGTAGTATAACAATTTGTTATTCCCATTTCACTCTATACACCGAGTTAATAGTTATCATATTAAACTAAATTTAAAATAATTAGTGTACACTTTTATTTTTCATTACAGTTTTATGATGATCAAAATTGATTTTGTCATTATATATTTTTAGGGCGTGAAAAACAAAAGAAAAACAATCTATTTGTGCGTAAAATATTTTGTAATTTTAAATTTTTTACAGTGGTTGGCGTAATTGTTTTATGGGTATAGAATAATTGACTTAGAAGTTACGGTTTCATTAATAATGAGTTTCTGACCGGAGTAGTCATAATAATACATGCATATCTAATACATTACATATATTATAAATCTGTGTAAAATATATCTAATATACTATCATATCTAGTACATCATGTAGTTTATTGTTTAGGACAAAATACTTTTTAACAGTAAACCAATATTTAAATAGCCTTTTTTTTAGTATCAGAATACATTTTCATAAAGATTGAGATCATAGAAAAATAACAAAAAAATTAGAATTTCAAATTTGAAAAATCAAAGAGATTGATTTCAAGAGATAATTTGATTCTGATTATAAAATTGTGAAATTAACATTTAATTTATTTTCACTTTCTTGTTTTTGTTTTTTATATAGACATTAATCACGATAAATGAGTATTTAAAATTAAAATTAGGTACCTAACATTTTAAATTCTAATAGGTATATTTGTATTAGTAAGACATGAATGTTATTGCTAGGCAACTTTCATGACCATAATAGCTAAATTTTCAGGATAACTGTTTAAATATTGGTTTCTTATAAGTTTAAGGTATATTTAAAATAATTAACACAATGTGCTGAATTATGGGTCACAGAGAAATATTCGATTTTTCTTCGTTTCATGGAGAACATCCATACATAGTATGATAATAAATATATTTTATGATAAATAATAAATAACAAACCTACTTAAATATTTTTAATTTTTTTTTTTTTTTATAGGGAATCTTATTAGTTCCATGGAACTATAGTCCGTGCATTTTAGTGGCAGCCAGTTGGTGTTTAACTCATACAACGCCAATTACTAGACAATAGTAAAGATATTTTTAACATATTTAATAATAATGTTATTTCCTATATAGTACTTACATAATTATTATACCTTTCTTAAAATTTAATATATAATTTATACATAGCAATATGTATAGTATACATTTGTATCTTGTACCTATTATATATCATAAAAGTTATCATGATGATATCTTTAATAAATTAAATATAATATATGGATAAAATTTGAAACTACTTTTCCGTGCTTAAGAAGGCATAAAATCATCCACAATTAAATTTTAATAACTGTTTTTATGCGGAAAAACCTACTTGGGTTATAGAATTGTAATTTCCGCTATTAAGAAAGGAAAACTTGCACTGTGCAAAGTTAGTTTTAGTTTTTCGTTGTTACAAACAGAAAAAAAACAAAAAATTATAATATTATGTTTTTCAAACTAGAATAACTATTTTCGAATTAATCGTCCATTTATTTAAAATACTATACCTGAATGCACTTAATTTACTATTATATTAAAATGGTTTTATTATGAAAGGTATGTGAACATTTTTTTTGGTACTGTGAATAATTTTTCTACCAGAAATTTTGCTCTACTTAAAAAAAACAAGACAAGACAAAAAAGACATTCTATTTGTAGAATTTAAATCTTGTTCTTACTTTCAGAATATTATATTTTTATTTTGCAATTTTCATAATAATTGGGAAAACATATAGGAAAAACAGGAAAGTTTACGGTGATAAAGGTTTCATTATTTATAATTTTATTCTTTTTTTGTAATGATGACTGTTTCTAAACGTGATAAAATGTTCAAAACATTTTGGTGATCATTGATATCATTTGAATCCATGGTTGTAAACTTAATATAACCGTGGTCATATCTAATATATTAACTATCATTTATTTGATAAAATTGATCAATTGCAATATACATCACAATCGATGGTTTAGTTCCTACATAAATAATAAAGAGATTAATAGACTGTTTCTATAACAATTTTATGTTGGACGATGTTCACAATGTTTCAAGGTCAAAAAACTGAGGCGATTTATCAGTTATTAATTATCATTAATTATCGTAAAAAGCTGTAAAAGAAAAACGCCTCTCATAACAAATCAATATTAGCACATTGACGTAAGGTAAGGATAGCCTATTCATATCTTTATTGTCTATGAGTTTCCATAGATAACATTTATAAAAAAATCTACCACTGATTTGCTGTCTGTGTCAATCTAACGGGCAATATAGCCAATTTATTGTATTTTTATATGTCTTAATACATTTGTATAAAACATTTAAATTTTTTTAACTTTTGCCGAATTTTATAATTTGTTCAAAATATTTTTAAATAGGCAAATTTTAAAATGTAATAGAATAGGTTGACAACAAATGTTAAAAAAAACCTGTTCTATAGACGTTTTGTAAAACTTCTTATATTTATTTTGTCACTAAAAACAATTTTAATGTTTATACATTCATCCAGGCCAGTGTACGATTAGAAGTACGAAAATACAGTTTTAGTATATTTTGTCCGTTAAATTGATAATTTGACGTCCGTATACAAATATTTGTCTGAGTTACAATATTGTCAGTTATTGCCATCTAAAATACTTTCCGATACATTATTTTATGTAGACATATATTTTAATACCTACACAAATTAAATTGAACTCTTAACATTTTTATTAAAAATGCCGTAATTTTATTATTAATACTTATACCACTATTTGAGTAGTAAAATGATTATGAAATTAATTCATTTCTCTTTTGACAATTAGCTTTGTGAATATATCAGTGCAAAATCCATATAAAGTGATTGCAGGATTAATCAGTACAAGCTATTATCAAGATGCCAACAAAAATCAAATGGGATTGGGAATAAAAGCGGTATTTCACCCAAATCCATTGGTTGCATTTGTATTAATCAAAGTACAGTAAACTCGTATTTATAAACAAATTAATACCTATACACAAAAATAATATAGGTAAAAGGCCGAGCTAAAATGATTTAATAAACTCTCCTTTATAACCTTTAGAGCAGCGTTAAGACTTAATGAATGAAAACAGTTTAATTTTAAAAGCCATCTCTGTTTTTGGAACAGTGTTGTGTGAACTAAATTAAATTGAAATTACATTAATTAAATACAAATATGCTTATAAGGATAATCAGTATTAGTTTAATAGTTATGCATTTTAATAAACGACTTAAGTTGGAAACGACTAAAATGGTTTTCTTCTATAGTATATTGTGGACAAGATATAACCGGACACGTGTCATGTCATAATATCGGGTGATCCATTTAAATGGGTACATTCATTATCTTAGAAAGTATTAACTTTTTCCGGAATTTGTTTTTCAGAACATTTAAGAAATAAGCTGCTCTACAGTTTTATATTTATGAAATTTATTTCTATTATGCACAGGTGCGGACTGGTAAAAAAGGGTAAGGGATGCCACATAATTTTAGAGTAAATGTTAATATTTATTGATGCAAATTATAATAGAAAGATAAATTTTAAAAAGCTGACATACTCTGTACAATAGATGGCCTGGATGGGTCACTTTTATCAGTTAGGAACGTAAAATATACATAAAGTAATTTATTTTATATCTAGATATACGCAATCAGTACAAACGAAAAACGATTTTGAAGCAAATTCAATTAAAATGTTTCGGCAAATTTAAATTGAAAACTGTATATTATTTTACAACCACAAAATTGTCATTGTTTTTATTTTAACGAATATTGTTTAACATAAAATGTTAATAAAAATAAATTGCAAAATCTATTGTCATTCACACGAAAAGAAAAAAATATCGAAAATGTCAAATAGTGACAAAATATTTTGAAAACAACACGTCGTATAAAAAATGCATATAGTTATATTATGTAATGCAAAATAATCAATGATATATTGAATCGTTGTAAACAAATTATTTATGATATATTTATTATAGATCTAATACCTTTATTGTATTATCAAAGAATTATAACTTTTTCATTAAAAATGCATATTAATTTTAAATAGATTGATTATGTTGAATTACTAAGGATTGGGGTAGATACATTTTTGGGGCATGGGATGTTATCTTAGTAACCCAGTACCCCAGTCAGTCAGTGTCTGATAATGCATTTTAATGTTTAAGTATATAAATAAATATTACAATTTCAATTAAACCACATTTATTCAGGAAAAATAGGAACTCATTAATCAATGTTATTCGATAAATCTCTAAAATCTATTATAATATTCACTAATTAATTTCGTTTTAATCGTGGACATTTAATGTGCTGCTTGCCTTATCTGCAATTAAGTAGAATTCTTATAAAAAGGGCATTTACTATATAAATTAACATTGACATAATATTTATTTATATTAAACTACTATTATTTTACTTGCGTCCAGGTAATTCCCGAATTTCGGCTCACATTGTTTGTGGATCATCGACAGTTGATGTACAATGCAAATGAATCGGTAAATGAAAATTGCGAATCTACGTATTGGTTTATGAACAAACGTGAAGTTAACAAAAAGGATTTTTTTTATGAGTACTTATTAATGAACCAGATCCCGTGCCCGTACAAACACTGTCATTATTCTAACACGACTCCGTGTTCAATTTTCAAAAAACCGAAAGTTAGTACAAATACCTAGTAGATACCTACAAATATTTTATCTTGAAATAAATTTAACAAGCCCGTAATATAGGTAGGTACTAATTAACAGGCTACAATTAGTTTACGCACATTTTAAAATTTCTCAGTTAAAACCTGGAACTAGTTTGCTCAGAGGAACTATTACTACTCGACTATGTACATAATATTATAAAATGAACATCCAACACAATAATATTATGCTATATATTTATACATCCATGTTTGTATAATATATCTACATCCTACACACATTCAGACAATGGTATTGCCGATAATAAAAGATTCATTATGATTAAAACTAAACCTAAATTAAAATAAATAAAAAATAATGTTAGTGACTGTTATCGAAAAGATATAATACAAATACTTAAATATATTGAAAATATACCTTGGTAGTCGAAAGTTAAATACCTCGGATTAGCGTTAGATAAAATACTAACTTGGAAGCCCCATATTTCGACAAAACTACAGCAAGCCTACCGATGTCTTTCAATGTTATTTCCTATATCAAATTCAAATAAAAAATCCACAGTACACAGGAAATTATTTAATTATCCTTACTATAACGCTGATGAGATTGCTAACTTTGTGGGTTTAAGGTTTCTAAAAACTAGAAGATACTAGCATATGATGTATCTTTTATTTATATGATCTTGAATGGTGTTATCGACTACCCTGAATTGTTACAAAAAATTGGCCTTCTTAGGCCAATTTAAAGTACTCTCTTTTAAATCCAAAATTAATCCATCTTTTGCTACTCCTCATTCTAAAAATAATTACTTTTCAAATAGTCCAGGGTGTCGTCTACCAATATTATGTAATAAAATTCATAATTTTAATATTTCACAGCTTATTGCTGAGTTTATCAGATTCAATGAACTACAACTTACATGCGCAACTACCTCAACGTCGACTAAAACGGGGTCGTTCTCATAACCTTCTTAGTTAACTTGGTCTGCTCAAATAAATCGTCTAACTTCTTGTGTCATAGACACTTATTAATTATTTTATTTTATTTTTGTACCATACATATAGTTATATCTAATTACTATTGTAATTATCCTCCTACTTTATAAACACCATTAATATTATTTGATCGTGTTAAAATAGTCAAAATTCATTAATCTGTATACATCCATAGATGTAGATAACCTAAGCTAGGAGTATCTTATTTTTTTTAAATTAAAAAAAAAACTTAAATAAATATTGTGTATATGATTATATAATAATTCAAGAACCGCAATCAAGGTAAATCTTTGAAGTAATTATAAAGAGATAAAAATACGATTTTTTTTTCATATTACAACGATTTCATTATTTAAAATGTTTAAGATTATATTTTTCTACTAGAAATCTTTGTCCTAATTTCAAAAGTAACATATTTTCTGAAAAAACATTTTGTCTAGTTTGTGAGTACGAAAGTCGTTGTTTGATTTTCCGTGCAGTTTTCATATTAATGACGAAAATCTTAAGAACCATGGAAAAATGTACGACATTTGGATTTTTTGTTGTTATTCGGATAAAAATTATTGTAGAGACCTTTAGTTTTCAAAAAATACTTTGCATTTTGTAAACATTCTAACGATTTTTAAGATATTTATAAATATTTGATATTTTCGTGCTTTTATATGCATTTTTATTTAGTAAGTATTTGTTATTAAAATTATATGACTTAATAGAAATGCTTGAAAATTTAACACAAGGTACATTATACGTTTTACTAAGTGGTTTAAAAAACAAATTTGAGTTAAATGCATTTTTTTTTTTCATAAGCGTTTTAAGATCAAATATTCACACAAAACGTAAAAATTACAGTATTTCAAAATATGACTTCCCGAACTCTGCTCAGAATCGTTTTTCGTTAGCAATAATTTTATCTTTGCGTACAGCGTACAGATGTAAATTAAATAACTTTATGTATTCTATCTTCTCAACAACAGTGGCTGTACCCGTTCCCAATATAAGATCTTTTTTATATACAATAACTTTTTCCTTATAAAAAAAAAAAACAGAAATCAACAAAAGAAATTTAATTTAACGTGGTTGCCCTTTTCACCATCATCCTTTTTTCACAGTTAATCGTTGTTAGCAGGTATTTATCATTAAGAATGGTACTTCGTTCAACCAAATTAAATAATAATACCCTATAGTTGTTTTTATCTGTGTATAACCAAGGTAATCCATAAAAAAAAAAAATAAATTTCCAGTCCAAAAATATCAAAAACGCCATGTCAGTCAGATTTCAGGGGTTAAATTTCGAGATAAAAAGTAGACAGTAATCGTCCTCTTGTTTTGAATGTCAATTGTACAAAGTTCATCTAGATCGTTATAAAACTGTATATTTGTATAGCGGACAGACAGACAGACTCAATTTTATACATAGAAATAAGAAGGTATAATTAACGATGACAATAACACAGTTAAAATACAGCCCCTTATACAATATATTTAAACAAATTTAAAACAAAAATAACCTATTTGGGATATCTATAAATATTTTATGTTAGGAATTTTTTATAAAAATAATGCCTTAACCCTAAAAAAAACCTTTTTTATCATGACGAGTTTGTGTAGATAAGTAGCATAACGGGAAGTATAGTACGTATTAGATAGGTTAGTACATCCTAAACATACCTATACTTTTTCAGAATTTACCGCCACCGGAAATACCTGAAGGTATTTTAGAAATGTAGTAACTAGAACGTATAAATTCATACTTACTACATTCCTAAAATTCTAAACAACGGAAAAAATAGGTACGTAATTATGAATAGTACTAGTTACTATAGTTACTGTGTAGCTACTACATAGCGAGCATGAATTTATACATATTGTACATTCCTATAATAATTCTAAACACCGGAAAGTATAGGTACCTGCAGCTGTAGGTTTATGATTCTCAGTTCTTATCTACATTAGATATAATTTATTTTGTATATTCTAGATCAACGATGTATCTGCCACGATATTATGTAACAATCACCTGATGGGTTTTGCCGAATTTGGATATGAAAATGGTCGATCTGTGCATTATCACAGAATCACCGATGACGTTATTACGTGGATGAAACAATGCCTCATTATACAATAATATAATCTGTATTATGTAAGGAGAACAATGCATATTTTTTATATGAAAATATTCTTAAAATATTGTCAATAAAGTTATTAGGTACCAACCTATTATATAATAGATTTTCAACAAAACAACGCATTTGTCAAGGATGTACACTTGCATACTCTTATAACAAAGAAGTTTACATACTTTTAACTGTAGGATTATTTATTTTCATTAAAAATGTCAATATTTCATAACATTCAGTTTTAGCCTTTTAGGTACCTATATTACTATACATTTTACATATATAAATAAATAAATGAGTCTCCTGGAGTATTATGAAATGTGTATTATATGACCGATTTTGAATTAAAAATCCATTGTCGGGTAAAATCACTAAGTTAAAATTAAAACAAAAAAAATAATGAGTTACACATAGATATGTTAAGAAATATAAATTATTTGGTTATTATTTATTATCTAAATAATATCTATGGAGGGCTATAATTTGTTGGAAACGTATTTTGTCGGAACTGTTCAATATAATTTCAACATACGCACTCCCTAATTGCATGGTACCGTCGTTGGGTAAAAATTATTTTCCGACAAAATATTTTCAAATATTTTACGCACTCATATATCTATCTCATACACGACCTAAACTTAAAAGTGGAATATCTCGTTAACACGTATTGACGGGAATCAAAAATTTCAACACTATAATTTATTTTAACTAATACTCCGTCTATTTATGAACTTTTTAATGAAGATTGCTATTTGAAAATCAAAAGTAGATAGTGGTTTTACCCCCGAAATTAAGGGTAACAAAAAAATAACACAAATATAAATTGTAGAGCAGCTTATTTTTTAAATGCTCTAGAAAACAAATTCCAAAAAAAGTTAATACTTTCCGAGATAATAAGTGTACTCACTTAAATTGATCACCCGATACTGATGTCTTATTGATAAATGATAAAAACTTTGACTTTTCGATAATTTAACGTAAAACCAAAAATAAATGAAACACAACACACAGTGATCACCTGAAATAAACGTGATAATAGCATGACAATACTCAACTGACTGCCATGTAAAAACTAACCAATGTGGCCATTGATTTCAATTCCCTGATGGAAAGTCTATATATTTAGGTTTATTTCGAATTTTTTTCATTTTATAATTTTCCCTAACGCTGATTATGTTCTATACATTTTTACCTTGTATATTTTTTTATTAACAAAAATAAAATACCACATAGGTAGGTACAATTTTAATTAAATATTACACGTTTACACGATTTTACAAATGTTTTATGTTACTAGATAATTATATTCTTATGATTTATGACCGTTCTTTGAAACAATTATTTTTAAGCCGTATTTTTACGATATGTATTATTTGAATTACTTTTTTTTTAGATTCCGAGCGTAGCGAGGGAGCTATTGGTTTTACAATGCTGTTTATTTGTTCTTTTTATTCTTGGTTCTAGTCTGTGGACACGTTTTTTCCTAGTAAACTTGCTCCGATTTTTTAACAAATTTTCTGAAAGCTCATGCTCTAGATTGTACTTTAAAAATGTAATTTTTTTGATTTTTGACGCCATTTTTTTAAATTTAAGCACTTAAGTGGGAATATACGTAGGAAAGCGTACAATTTCACGATTTCATTATTTTATAAAAACACGGACAACGTTTTCTACCGGAAAAAAATTATTTAATCGAAAAATCACAAGAAACCTTTTTGATTTAATATCTTATGGTATCATCGTCAAAACTTTTGAACCAATTTTGAGCATTTTAGGAATTTTAATTTTTGGGAGTTTTTTTGCTATAATTCGGTTATAAATACACGTAGAGACTTGAAACTTGGTGATAATACTTATATTGGACTTACCTAGAGGTGGTAACATTTTCAAAATCATCGGATGACTTTTTTTTTTTTTAATAAGCGTTTTGAAATCAAATTTAAACGAAAATCGCAAAAATCAATTACCACAAATTATGTATTATCGAACTACGCTCGAAATCATCTTTCGTCAAGCAATGGTTTATCGTTGCTTACAGATATAAATTAAATAACCGTATGTATCCTACTTTCCCAACTTCTCATATAAAACAGTGGCCGCTCCCATCCCCAGCATCAGCTCTTTTTTTTCCTGTTACAGTTTTAATGATAAACAATAAAAAGAATACTTTACGGCGAGAATGTTTTTTTTCATAATACCCCAGGCGACGCCTTTATTTATTTATATATTCATTTACGAGTATTAACCATTTATGTATATTTTTTTTTACTTTATTTTTTTATTATAAATTTTACATTTTTTTTTTTTTTTTTTTATGTATACAGCCTAAATGATAATTTAATTAATTTCTATTGTGATTATAATACGGACTATGCAATTATGTCGTATCAGTCAAAAAGAAAAAGGCAATAATAATAATATATACCTACTATTCTAGTAATAAAATTAAAATAAAAACAAAATTGTGAGAAAACATTTTTGAGACTAAAGAAATTTACTCTCACCATAATTTTCATGAAATTTCGAAGGGAGGGGGGGTTGAATCGCCCGCCCCTTGTACGTGCACTTAACGTGGAATATATTATATTATGATTTTTCTGAAACGACAAGTTTTTTTTTAAAACGTTTACGGTTTTAAGTTTATTGAAAGACGACTAAATTGTTATGTTTTTTTGGGTGTTTGTGATTAATTAAAAACAAAACTTCGAAACATAATGCTGTAATAAAGACTACAAACCTTTTATTATTGTTTGTAGAACAAGAAAATTTAATGGACGTTCAAATAGAAAAAATAGGTAATTTATGAGTTCAAAACTATGAATTATGAAAGAACGTTGATTATTATTATAACTTATAATAATAAACCTATAAGCCTATAAACTTATAATTTATACGTTTAGACATTATGTGAATAAACTAAAATGTGTATTTAAAAATAAAATGTTGTAAGTAATGTAAGTAATGCAGGTAAATGTTACCTAAATGAGATCGGCCAAGCCACCTAATACAATTTAATATTAGTTTTTTTATACATACATTTTAAAATCTTCAAACCAAATGATTAAATTCATATGCACACTTCACGCTGAACTCAAATCCATTTTTAGAATTCTTATCGCTTCACTACATCGATTGAATTAATCGTAGGTGCTAATATTATTTATTATTTATCATGAAATTTACGGACAGGCGTTTTAATACAAAATAAGTTACATTACAGTAAGTAATAGATAACATATTCCATATTATTGTCTATTAATAGTATAGTATATATTACCTACGTGACTTATTTTTAAGAAATTTTCAAAATACATACGCCCTATAAGAAGTGTCTTTTTCAATTTTGAATTATTAATTGTAGGTTGTGAAAAATGTACGTATAACAATAAATTCTAGAGCATTGAATACAATTTTAGATTTCTACGTAAAAACCAAAAATAATAATTAAATATTTCATGGCTTTAAAAATACATTCAATTAAATCGTATACGAATATCTGAATTAATTAACTTTTACTTATTTACACATACATATCTATAACTATGAAGTTTAGTTTATATGCCATAAGAGTGATGTCAATCTTTTAATTTAGTTTGTCCACCACTTCTACATCCTGAAATCACACTTATATCACCTTAACTTGATTAACTTATTAACTTACTAACTTAACTTATTTAAGTTTAATGTTTTTTTTAAAAAAAAAGGTAAGATAATGACGGGTGCAGCCACTAGTGTAGGTGAAAAGTTGATAAGGTAGGAAGGTAGGACGGGAATTTAATGTACATTTGTAAGCAACGATAAACCATTGCTTACGAAAAAACGATTCTGAACGGAGTTCAGTTGATAATGATGCTTTGTCAACAATATATAATTATGTCATTTTTTAGTGAAACAATTAAATAGGCTTTATATATTTTCTTTAATGAAATTTGTTTAATGTAGTATCAATTTTCCCAGTTTTCTTACGATTTTCCCGGTTTTCCAATGTTTTATCTTAGTTTTTCACATTTTCTGAAAAGCTCTTGGGAAAATCAAAAAATGATTTCTTTAAAGTATCTCCTAAGTGAAAGTTTCTTTTAGAAACATTGCTATCATTAAAAGTTGAAGCAAAATTGCTAGTAGAAAAAAAGAAGGACGTAATATATTTTAATTAATACCTACATGTCTTATATTTTTTTATGGTTTTTCAAATTTGATGAGAAAACTCTTGTGAAAATCGAAAAACGACCTCCTTAAAGCACCTCTCCATGCCGATTTCCTTTCAGAAAATATGTTACACGTAGAAATCCGAGCAAGTCTTTCGGTAGAAAAATTACGCACATACAAAAAAAAATGAACATCTTTGTAAAACCATAAGCTTCTTCGCTCCACTCAGAATAATTTTTTTTTTCACACAAAAAATAATTTCTCTTACTGAAGTTTGTAAAAAATACCGTTCATTTAGTCAGGTAGGCTTTTTTTTTAAGGAGTGGGCTAAATTGGATATAACCTTCGGGAGTTACCCTCTGAGTTTTGGTAGAAAACTCGATTTATTAATAGGTACTCATCTTTTCTAACTCCAAAGACACGATAGAAATTTTTCTTTGAAAATATTGGGTCAAATTTCGGTTTTGAAAAAAAAAATCCGATACCTGCAGTCTGCACCAATATCAAGTAGCGGCTTATAATATATCCGCCCACCCTTACTAATTATATAGTAAAAATACAAAAACTATACTTCTTTAAATTTCGTGGTACCTATCTACAACTGTGACAATCGCTACTGAAATTGTTAAAGTTAGATATTCCCATTTGGTGGTTATTCGAGGCCGTGTCATTGTATACAGTGTGACGTAAATATTTCACGTATTTTAGTATTTATATCCCAACATAGCTAATGGTTATTAATTATACAATTGCATACATTATAAATTATTTTTCACTTCTGCGGGCTGTAGACCTATTTAATCAAAACATCAGCAGCCCGCCGTAATTTGCCCCAGGACCTCGGTGTCCTAGTCCAACCCTGCCTAGCTCTATTAATAACGAATACCTAAAACTTTTTACGTTATCTAAATTCTAAATCGTATAACAAAATATTAACAACGTAAAACAAGAAACAGTAATTACTATCCTACAACATAAAACATATTGTAAAATATAATGGACATAATAGTATTGAATAATATGATACCTACGCGGATAGGGTATTCGGTATTCGTTTAATACGCTATCTACCAGAAATATATTATTTTTGTCTACCGTAATTTTATGTCGATTTAATATACCATCTAGAAACAAAAACTGTCTTACCTTTATAATGCGGTGTTTTTTTTCTAAATCTCGTTTCCCTGCAATTTTTTAAGAATTTCATTCAATTCGCCGCCACGAATTGTTTGGTAGGTTTTTAATTTTAATAGATGTCTGTTCATTACAGGTAATAAATCGCGTTTTGTTTGTAAAAACCATACCTACACACATTTCTTCATTTCGATTGATATGTCGACACATATAACTCGTATACTTGGTTGATTAATTTTTGCAGTGAACAATTATCAATTACTTATGGACAGAATGAAATTTGATAGAAGCCTAATCTTAATTCCGAAATGATAAAGTTTATACGGCTAGGTATAAACATTAGATAGCAATACAGCATACCAGTACCCGGGTAGGTACCAGATATTCGGATACGCCTCCGTAGTTCCGTGTACACTTAGGTAGGTACCAAAAATATTCTCGGTGGGAGCACGTAGTTTACGTAGATTTACTAAAATCACAACTTAATTTGCGCACATTTAGCTACATAATTTTACGTGACGACGCTTTTTTACGCGTACTACAAAATCATTGACATCATGAACGCAGTAGGTACAGAATAATAATACCCGAACGTTTTTGGTGTTATAAACACACGAACAGGGACGAAACTAAAGGAGAGGTAGTTTGACACTTTGACTCCCCCCCCCCCCGAACTAAACATCAGTCGGCCAATAGTTACAGTTATTATTCATATTTATTATTTTACGACCACGCGTAAACAGGTTTTATAAAAACAAGCGGACCTTTTTTTCCTCTGTTCGCTAAAATATGGGGCGCCGCTCGGTCCTGAGCTTGGGCCACGCTCGCCCGACCCCGCAGAAACATTATAACGCATGGCATAAACATTTGTTTACTACGATTTGTGAGGATAAAAAACAGTTTTGCATTATGTTTCGAGGCTTCGGTGAGGTTTGTTCAGTAACAACTATTTATTATAGCATAAATAATTAGGCATTGGCCCGACGAGGGGTTCAGTTGCCCGGATGGACAGGGTAAAGTTCTATTCGAAGGGTTTGGATCAATAACAGCTGTTTACACATAAGACCTCAGCACGCAGGAACGCGCTCTAGACTCGTGTGCATAATGGACATGATTTAATCACGGAAAAGTATGAAACGAGTGCGTTTAGTTTGAAATCGACGGCGATGATTTCATATAAAACATAATGTATTAATATTTAATACACTATTGTGCACGACACATTTGAAAAATAAAATCATGCGGGAACGGAATTCTCGGCTTTTGACGTTAGTCTCAGAAAATAGATAGTGGCTGAAAATGAATTCGATCGAAGGCTCCGAAACCGGCTATAATTTGCCGACAGGAAGTTGTCTGATGATGGTCAGAAATTTAGTGTCTCAATTCAATGACTTGTTCAGCGATTTCAATCGCTATATTTCCCCAGCCTATCATCACGATAGGTGTGAACGGTGAGTTATTATTATTATATCCGTGCAAAATCGAATAACATATTATCTATCTATTAAGTAAATATTTTTTAATTACAGTTCTGTACATATGCGTTTGTATTCAATGAACAAACGAGAATTCGTAATGGTGTTCATCATTCTGTTGACAGCAATGGGATTAGTTTTGTTCATTGGATTAACAGGTATAAGTATTTAACTAGGTACCTGCCTATACAAACATTATTATACGGTTGAATTTAATACAATTGTCTGAAAATAATAAATATTTATTTTAGGACCACCAATCACACTGACGAGTAAAATAAGTGGAGTTGAAGTATTAAAACATACCAACGGATCATTGCCACAGGGTCCATATGTAATGAAGACTCCCAGTCTGACTGTCTACAACCAAAGACTGTGGCTAATTGCAGTTGTACAAACAGACAATAAGGATGGTAAGTATAACCCAAAAATATACCAATGTAATCTGATTTACTTTGCAAATCATAACATTGTCATGGTAACAGATGAAACGTACGATAAAAGTTTTAAGATCAGTATGTCCATAAAAGGAATCACTCCACAACATAAGACCACAGACATAGTAAAAGTTTTTAAGAACAACAGGTGATGTGGTATATTAAAAACTATTCATATGTACATAATAGTTACCTAATATTAATTAAATTGATATTTATTTTACACAGGACAAGGCATTTACACTGCAAACAACAATTATGTAGCCAAGTGCCAATAGCGCATATTGGGTACATACATTATACTCATTACACATTTAAGGTTGATTTTTATAATTTAGAAACATTTCATCAAAAATACCTAGTAAAAGAAGTTATATTTTATGTAAGTGTGTAAATAATTTTTATTTAGCCAATTTGGGTATAATATTGATAAAATTAAATTATATTTTTGTGTATTAGTATAAATCATATAATCCAGGATACACTCAAATGGAGATTTGGTTTAGACTAATCTATTTGCTAAGTGCTTTCGGGGTACTTGTGAGTATGATGAATTTATTTTAATAATTGGTAAAAATATCTATGTATCTATGTATTATATAAAAAAAAACACAAATTTTCAGTGCGGTTTTGCAAATTCACTAAGGAAATTCCCAGTTACTGATTGGTCCTATGAACAAAAATGGACTATTGTTTTATTGCCATTATTACTATTATTTAATGGTAAGTATTCATGTCAATAATTTAATAGAAAATAATATAGTAAATTTGGGAGTAAAAAAAATTTTTTTTTTAAGATCCAATTTTTCCTTTAATGCTTCTCACAAGCAATCAAATTATTGGTATGTTAGATGGTGTCTTCCAAGTGACATTCGTGTGTACCATTTTATTGTTTTGGCTTTCAATTTATCACGGACTCCGTCAAGTAAATAATTTTTATAATTTTTACAATATAAATATAAATTTTAAATACTAACCACTAATTTATTAAAACAGAATGAAAGAAAACCAATGGCATTTTATCTTCCTAAAGTAATTTTAGTGAGTCCATTTTGGTTATGTGGAGTTGTAATGGCCAAATATCGTCGGATGAATGAATTTGAGGATCCAGCATTTAGTTACGAGGTTGATTCTAATGCATATGGTGTAAGAATACTACAAAATAATTACTTGTTACATTACATTATGTTACAAAATATTAATTTGTTTAATTTGTTTTAGAATATCAAATCTATTGTAGGTATTTTTTCCATTATATATATAATATACCTAGTTTGTTTGATCTTGAGAGCATACAGTGACTTACGTTCTATGCCATATTTTGGTTAGTACCTGTATGGAAATAAAATAAACTGCATTACTTATTAATTTAACTTAATTATTTTGTTAGACGCTAGACTGAAATTTGTAACTATTTCAATGATCATCTCACTTATAATATGTTCGACCATTACTCATATGCAATATGGGCTTGGGTTGATTGAAGACTCTTTTGCTGCCGATTTGAATACCAAATATATGACTTCAGCATTATTCATGGCATTTTATGGTATTTGTAATTTCTATGTGTTTACTTTGGCTGCTGTTTACGCACCAACAAAAAAACCAGGATTTGGTAATTATTATTATAAAAAAATATATGAATACCTGGCTTGTAAATGCTAATTTTATTATTTTCCAAACTATTTAGAATCTACAGTAACAAAAGATAATCCAGCATTTTCAATGGTTAATGATTCGGAAGAAGATATACCATATGGTTCAGACGAAGAAAGCCATAAACCACTAAACCCCCCTAATGATGATAGTGATTAATGGTGTTCCTCTAGTTTATATGTATATACTCTATATACTCTACTAGGTTTTATTTAAATATTTGGCATATTTAATAAATACTTTTAAACTTGTTTTTAAATTAAATTATTATGTATATATTTTTTTTTGTTACAATTTGTACTACTTAACTTCTATGCAATGTCAAAATAACCAAACAATTATTAATATGACAATAATAATATTAACAACAATAAAAAAAAATATAACAAGAACACGAAGATTATTGTTGGCTAACACTTGAGATAATTACAGTAAAAAATTGATTTATTATAACGGCAATAATAAATTAAATCATCCAAAAATGATGTTCAAGTAATGGTTAGATTTGGTAAAACATGCAAAGTACTGAAAGGTTGAAAATACTATTAAGTAAATTAAGTTATGATTATTTAATGTTGAACATTACTTAAAAATTAAATTACCCAAATTAATATCAGTTGTTTGGATAAACTATTGTCATAAAATAGAAATAATTAATTTAACTATATCAATGATATAAAGGTTAAATAATAAAAATTTTAAAAAAGATTTATTAACAAAAATTTGGAATCAATGATATAAAAAATACTATATAAATAATATAAATACGATTATCTATTTTAAACAAGTATGTTTACTAACATAGAGAAGTATTAATTGGACATTTATTTATCGGAATAAATTTTAAGTAAAATCTCTTATAATTTGTAACTTTCAATCATTGCACATCATATATATATATATTAAATTATATTTATTAATTGCTGTATGATGTCAAAATAAATAGTGATTTATTCATACTGTGTAAGTTAAGGTGTGAAATTAGAGGTTCAAGATAAAATGGTTATAACCTACATTTAAATCCAATTAAATACAATTTGTATTAAATATAAATTTAGAATAATAACTAGATATATGAAAAATATGTTTATTAATTAATTTGATATTCTTACTCAAATATTTGAACTTAAAAAAAAAGTTTTAAGTTTATATAAATAGATATATTATCAAATAATTATGATGTCTGAACATTTACAAGGTTTGAATTAAATGTAAACAAATATTGTATAAAAAAAAATTGTCAAGCTTTACAAGCTTTACTTAGGTTTTTAATTTTGATATCCAAGTTTAGGTATTAGTAGAAAATTTGGTTGTTATTTTCTTTCGCCGTCTTCTGTTATATTAAACTTATTCAACAACCTTAACATATGAACAATTTATAAGTTTATGAAAATAAACAAAAACGACATTTTTAACTATAAATATTTACATAAGAGTACTCTTAAAAGATCCGTTTTGAAAACCATATTTAAATCCATCTTTATACCCGTTATCAAATCCCATTTGAAACATCACATCAGATTTATGTTCTGTAGAAGTAGCTCCTTCCCGAAACGATGTCTATAAATATAGATTCAAATAACAAATAATTTAATAAAATAAGGACGATAATACTTTTTCGATTGCAGATAAATTTTTTTTCCAATTTCTTTCCATTATTTCTTTTTCATCATCACTACTGTTGTCTGCGAGTTCATATTGGGAAACATCAGACATTTTACAAATAAACCAAAAAATGTTAACTATTGAGTAGATGTTTTCAAAGTTTAGAAGGAATTAATTATTCGTCATTTTTTAAAAGGGAATGGCTATTTCAGCGTTCGATACATATCTACTATCTACCTATTTTCGCGTCCTATGCTATGATTGGTTTAAATATTGATAAACAAATTTTTAACTTATCACCCATTTGGTTACCATGTTTTGGTGATAATGACATAAATCATTAATTATTGTTACATTATATTAGTATTGTTAGTTTAAAATTAAAAATTAAAGTAACATAAAAATAAAAGTTGCTCATTATTATTGATCAATTTTCATATGAAAATTTGTAATTTTAGCAAAACCAGTTTTTTTTTTCTAATGTTGGTTTAACATTAGCACATTTGAATTGAAACCACTCCAGGCACCGATTACGTGGTTATAATATTTCAACTTATACTATTATTAATTTTTTTAGTCTAAATTAAATGAATTACGAGTATATTACAATTTAAATTTGAATTAAGACTATAATTATATTAGGTGATGAGATTCTGTTTATCAATATTTGGACCAATCACAGTATAGGACGTGGAAATAGGTAGATAAGCGTTGGACGCTGGAATAGCCATTCTAGCTTTTCTAAAAATTTTAATAAACAATACATTACCCAATATGGGTATTTACTATTTTGTTATTGGTATAGACCATAGACAAGTATACTATAGACATGATTATAAAGAACAGGTTGTGCAACGCGGGCTGGATCGGCGGTTAGAACTCCTTATGGCGTGGTTCAATTAACGGCCAAGTCGGACTTGTTAGATTTTCATTATTTCATATTACGTATTTATGTGTATGATCAATCACAGTCTGGGAACAATTTCACTTGAGTTACCCATTAAGTTACCAAGTTATCACTTGAAATTCGAAATTTTCCGTACTTATATATATGCACAACGCTCTAGTTTACCACGTCTTTTACGAATTTATATATTTTTTTTTTTATAAACTTAAATATTTGAAGTATTGGAATGAGTGTATACATAAATATGGATAATCGAGAACTTCAAGTGACTACATTTTGGAAACTAATGTTCCGCGAGAATTTTTTTTACAACCAGCTTAGAAATTTTAATTTATTTAAGTTACAAAGAAAAAATGTTTGCAAAAATTGTGTAATGCATATTATGTTCTATTGCAGTGTAATTATATCATAGTTCGTATCAAATACTATACTAGTTCTTTGTATTCGTATTTAATTTTTATTTAAATAATCTGTTAGTAAAAGTAAAAATACCAATTAGGTAAATACTGTGGCAATTTTATCACATTTTACTCTCATCTTTTTACACATTGTAAATGCACGTCGTATGTGACTTATGCGTATATAAACTAGTATAGTCGTCTAGGTCTTGGAGATTGGAGTCATTGGTATACTTACCCGGAAAATTAGGTATTAAAATAGACTAATAGGTATATTAAAATTGTTAAAAAGTACCAGTGGCGGATCTAGGAATTTTTATGAGAGGTGTTAAGGTTAAGGTCTCGTATTCTATATACTCCATCCTGATGGCAAGACTTTTTTTTTGTCCTCAAAATGAATGTGCTTGAACTGTTGGAAATTCAAAAAATGATATTATCAATAATTGATTTGTAGCTGGATGTGCAATACACGACACAGCATGAAGACGGGATTTTACAAAAGTTAAAAATTACGTAGGACTTTTTAGTTTTATTCGGCGGGCTTTTAGGTAAAAAACCGTGATGATAGGCTATCACTGATAGTTGTATGGAATAATGAAAATCTGACACGTCTGACTAGCAGCGCTCGGAAACTAATGGAACTACGCCGTAACGAGCTGTGGCCGGGCAGTTGTGTACAAATCGTATTACCGATAGCTAACCTGTTCTTTATGATTGTAACTATAGACTAGCATAATAAATGTTCAGAAAATGATAAGACATTTTATGATTGCCGACCTTCAGCTACGCCAACGTTAATAAATAAAATATTTCAAAGATTTACAATTTTACCGTATCATATTAACAATAAATAATGTTATTTATGTTATTACTTTTATTAGTGTAAACAAAATTGGAAAAGCACAAAATTTGCGTACTTGCAATTTGCCCGAATTAATGATTTATACACGACACGCAAGGGCGCCCATAGGGTAATTTTCAGATGGGGGACAAAATGAAACTAGATTCCAAAATCTATTTTTAGCATATAGATACTAAGTTGGTATTTCTTGAAAAGGATTGAAGAAAAAAGGGCATGTAAATTATGTAAGCATTAGCTTGGTGATAAATAACAACCTTTGGTTATCATTATTGATATAAAGAACATAACTTTTATTTTGATAGATTCAAACCATACTTCCAAACATTTTTTTCAGATACTTTATTATTTTATACTTGGGATTTGTCCCCTTTTTGCAATATATTATCATGGGCGCCCATGATTATATATTCTTTGTAATGATTTATGGGTATTTTATATTTTCTAGTTTTTATTTTGAATACTAAATGGATACAAATTTAATATAAAGTTTATTATAAGTTGTACTTAATGGTAAAATTATTGAGTGTAATGAAGTATTTTTTTTCATACTTAATCGTTTCAAAATCAAGTCTTAATGAAAATCGTAAATATCATTTCATTTCAAAACGTATAAAACTTAACTTCACTTAGAATTGTATTTTCTTATCAATGGTTAAATAAAGAGAAATATTCTATGAAGTTAAAAAACAATATATCTACTGCCCCAACAAAAAAGGTTACTACTGGTTATCTAGTAGTGGAGTGTTTTCTGTATCGCTCACGAAAACGGTCGTATCTTTAAACATCCACAGAGATTAGATATTTAATAATTGTATTATTAGCTGAACTTTGATTTCCATCGAAAACAGCTATGTTTGTTTTAATGAAAAAAAAAATGTATTTATTAAAAATGAAATAATACCTTTTTCGTTGAGGCAGTTGATATACATACTTATTACCTTCACATCTTCTCAACAATCTCAACTACAACAGTGGAATACCCCTCAAGGTCTTTTTTGTTTTGTTGAATTTTTGTGTAGATTTAAACTCTTTAAATAAATAATTCAGTACAATAAAAAGGAAAAGAAAAAACAATTTATATAACATAATCGCATACTTTATTTAATTTTAATATATTATTATATTATGAAAACATAATTTGATAAATTTACGTCATGCAATCAAAAAATAAAACTTAACAAATAATAGTAGATAATAATTACATATTATGTTTGTATTTTTTTTTTTCATAGATGCGTATGCATTTTGCACTGGTTAATTGAACATTTTAATGAAATCAATATGATGCGCAACTATTCTACTGAATAATAAATAATTATATATTAAAAATAAATAGAATGCTAGGATATTTTAAATTAATAAATTGTAAAACAGTGAAATGGGGAATGATTGGGATTATACAATTGTTTAATTAAATCTTGTCAAACAATCGACAATAAATTATACAAAAAAAAGAAAAAAAATGTTTTAAACATACATAAGTATTTATAATATGGCATAAAATATAATAATATTGACTTAAACATATTGATAAGAAAATAAGATTAAAAAAAAAATTATAGTTAGTTAGGTAAAAAGAAAAAAAACGGAAGACAACTTATTCACAGAATTTTTGGTCAAAATAATGTATACATTTATGAGTATACTAGTTAGCATTAAATGTTAGTTATAGTATCAAGCGTTTATGCTTTTCGTTCTCTCAATACTGTTTCCTATACTACAATGGTCTTCTATATCGTCGTAAGAATTTAATAGTTGATTTTCTGCTTCGGAGACTGTTGTTTTTCCCATCAAGAGTCTAAAATAAAAATGAAATCTAGTTTTTTTTTATACATATATATATATAAGAATTTATTTTTATTGCATGGTCAAGAAGGAATAAAAAAACTGGTAAAGAAATAGGTCTAATCTGGAATCCCTGACATTTCAAAAAGTATAATTTTTATTTTTATTTTGACTTACTAAAATAAAAAATTGATTTCATAAAAATTAAAATACTTATTACAAATTAATGATGTTTTTTTTGTTTGTTGACCATAAAACTAGAAAAGAATTGTGTTCTTAGTTTGTTAAAAAAGGGATACAAATTTAAAATTTTTAAAAACACAACAAAAAACCATATTGAATAATACTAATTTTTTTGTAAAAAATAAAAAAAATAGAAATATATTATACTACGCCAATATTTCTAAAGGGAGAATAAAATAAATCAGAAGTGAATAGTGATAGTACCAGTACAGATTATTCTGTGCTATTAAAAACACTATTAGACATATGTCAATAAACATTGAACAAAAATAGAAACCTATTATTATTTCAAATTTTAACCAGTAAAAATTCTTGTTTCTGTGAAGTGTGAATGTGAATCCAGTTTTCTTGGTTTTAGGTGTAGCAAAAATTCAAATGAAGATATATTCAGGACAAAAAACGGGTCAGAATAAAACAGTTTAAGACATTATTATATATTATGACAGTCATCATGTCATAGATTTTTTAAACTATTTTAAAGGTATTAAAATCCCTACAGAACTTCAGTACATCTCAGATCCTACTCCTCTAGACTTCTGCCGCTTTTTTTTACTGATAGAGAAAAGTCCCCTAAGGTGGTGAACTTGTAATGAAATAATTATATTTGTGACATTCAGTACTTCCCAGTAAGTGTAGTAGTAGCGATTTGTATTTCTTTTTTCAAAATGTACATAAATTGTAAGGTAGTATTCATGATTACTGAACTGAAGAAGCCGCTGAGTATTTAATAAAAGGTTTTCTGAAGTAATTGGAATGAATT